TTCATGCACCGTAACACCAGCTGGTGCCAGAGGCAACCGAGGTAAGAAGGCGCTCGCGATGTACCACTTCCAGCTCAGGAAGAGCAGCGTGAGACCGAGGAGGGTAAGATACCGCGAGGTTTCGATGGCGTAGGCCCAGTAGTTGCAGTTGAATAAACCCTCAGCCTTGATGCGCTCGTGAAGGAGGCGGTACTTTTCCACGATGGCATCCTGTGTGGCTGGCTCGAGGGATGGATATTTGGCAAGGTCGAGCTTGATCTCCTTGCGGGTGAGCATATCAAGGTGAGCCATGCCGTCCGCCGGTGCGGGCGTAGCACCATCCCCGAGAGACGAGAGCGATGTTTCCGAGTTCGACCTCGCCATCCCCGGCTTCCGCTTGCGGAGGCCCGAGTCAGGGCCGGCGTCGTCAGAGTCGAAGGTGGGTGAAGGTGAGCGAGAACCGGTGTCACTGGACGATGCCGTAGCGTTTTCCCTCCTTTGCCGCGTGATCAAGCCGCCGTCGTACTCCTCCTCCTGCTCCTTCCCATCACCAACCCTCAACCGAAACTTGCCGCCCTGAACCGGAGGCAGGAAGTTCTTCCAGCGACCCTCGATTCTGCCAATACGGTACTTTTCCATCATGCGGCGGGCTTCGAGAGAGTGGAGGCTGAGGAGAGTCAACAACAAAATACTCACACAAGGTTTCCACGGTGGTAAAGTGTGTTATTGGAGTAAGAACTTACATAGTCACTTCATCAGTGGCGTCCCTGCCCACCATGTGCATAATGGCTTTATCACCCCCCGGGTGGTATTTGAGCCAGGCGTCCGCCTTGATCACATACTGTTCCAAGATAAAGATGGTCCTGCCTTCGGCGATTTGTGCCTCGATCTCGCGCCGCGATATCACGGGGTAGGAGCGCCCGCCTTTTGGTTGGGAAACTCCCGGGGTAGCTGAGCCCGTGGAGACAGCCATTGCAGCGGTTTCCGCGTTGCTGTGGTGAGAGGATTGGAGCTTGAAATTATTAACACCGGTCGGTTGAAGCAGTCAAGAACGAAACGGCTGACCGCCCGTTTTCCCAACGCGGACGCTAACGAAGTCGCGGGTGCCGGTTGCAGCTCCTAGTTTGAACCGGGTTTGGTGCCAATTCCCGTGCTGCAACTCACCGCAGTACGATCAAGTGCTGCTATCCTCGTCGTCCTTCACCGCGCATTCCGTGGAAGCAGCGAAAGGCGTGGTGTGGTGTTTGAAGCAGAAATGAACGGTGCTTAAAGGAGTGCAGAGCCAAGAGAACGATGTACGCAAGCTCGCATCCCCAAAAAGTCAAGTGCACAGCAATCCGTTCCCGTTGACCCACCGAATTTGAAGGTGCCCCCAGACCGTGTGGTACGATCAACAAACCCAACCTCATTTGAGACAGGGGGAGAGTGAAATAGTTAAGGGTTAGGGTATATATACACAATGCAGCATGTAGGGGCAGAGTGCATGGTGTGTGGTTTTTGGAGCTGAGGAACCCCTCTGATTTCATATCGAATTGGATGGAAAGAGCAAGCAGGGGAAGGCCGATTAGTACTGCGATTGCCTCTTCCAAGGGGTTGGCTGTTAGTCGGTACGAGAAGCGTTGAATCTCACCCACAACTCGTCAAAAAACAACGCACACCATCTCAACCCCTATACTCAGATTTAACAAAGGAAAGACGGGGAAAAGAAACTCTATCTTGTCACCAGATATAACTACGGCCCACCAGACCCATCTACTATCGAATAAAGAGTGGCTCTTGAGACAATGTAACGCAAAGCTCGACGCTCGCCTGCTCCGGTAGATTAAAGTTCAGCTTTCAATACCTGCTATCCGGCGGAGTCCATTTACCGATAATGCCTTACGAGGGAAAACAAGCTAAAGTACAGGAACGCAAGAAAAATGTTACGTCCCATACCCCAAGCCAATCCGCCTCACTTAGTAGTGGATGGCCTTGGAGTATGTCGCCATGGCCGCTTCCTTGAACGCCTCGGCAAGCGTGGGGTGCGCGTGGCAGGTGCGCGCAATGTCCTCGCTCGACGCGCCGTACTCGAGCGCCAGCGTGCCCTCGGCAATCATCTCGCCGGCATTAGGCCCGATGATGTGGACACCGAGCAGCCGGTCCGTCTCGGGATCGGCGAGCATCTTGACCATGCCCTCCGTATCCAGGTTGGTCTTGGCACGCGAGTTGGCGCTGAAGGGGAAGGTACCGATGCGGTACTTGATGCCCGCCTTCTTCAGGTCCTGCTCCGACTGGCCAACCCACGCAACTTCGGGGAAGGTGTACATCACAGAGGGGATGCAGCCGTAGTTGACGTGGCCGTAGCCCTTCTTGATGTACTCGACAGCAGCAACAGCCTCCTCCTCAGCCTTGTGCGCAAGCATGGGTCCGAAGGTGGCGTCGCCGACGCAGCGGATGTGGGGGATCTTGGTGCGGTACTCTGAGTCGATGATCACGCGGCCACGCTCGTCGAGCTCGAGACCGATGTTCTCGAGACCGAGGCCCTCGGTGTACGGGCGACGGCCGATGGCGACGAGGACGACGTCAGCGTCAAACTGTACGAATGTCAGTAGCGCCTCAGGAGAAAGTCATCGCCAAGGGCGCAATTATAAACCCACCGTCTCTTCCTTGCCTCCCTTGGCCGAGTCAACGTTGACCCTGACACCCTCACCAGACTGTTCACCACCGAGAACCTTGGTGCCCGTCTTGAACTTGATGCCTTGCTTCTTGAGAATCTTCTGAATGTTCTTGGCAATCTCAGTGTCCATCCCCGGGCCACCGATCTGGTCAAGGAACTCAACCACGGTAACCTCGGACCCAAGCCGGGACCACACCGACGCCATCTCGAGGCCAATGATACCGCCACCAATAACCGTCATCTTCTTAGGCACCTTCTCTAGCGCAATGGCGCCGGTGCTGCTGATAACCGTCTTCTCGTCGATCTGAAGGCCGGGGAAAGGCGTAACCTCGCTACCGGTCGCGATAAGGATGTTCTTGCCGGTCACGCTAGTCTCGCCACCATCGTTGAGCTGGACCTTGACCGTGTGCTCGTCCTGGAAAGAGCCCGCGCCCTTGATGTACTCAACGCCGTTCTTCTTCAGCAGAAACTCGACGCCCTTGGTCAGACCTGAGACGGACTGGTCCTTCGCCTTCATCAGCTGCGCCAGGTTGAGCTTGACGTCGCCGACCTCGATACCGCGGTGTTTTGAGTCGTGGAGAATCTGGTGGTACAAGTGCGAGTTGTTGAGGAGCGATTTTGATGGAATGCAGCCGACGTTGAGGCAAGTCCCACCAAGGGTGCCGCGCTTCTCGATACATGTAACCTATTCGTTTCAAGAAACGTTAGCCATTGGCCGGGGCTGGGCTATCCGTATGCCTTGTTCATCTTGCCTTCATGCCCTCTTGGCCGGCTTTGATAGCGGCAACATAGCCAGCGACACCACCGCCGATAATAACGAGATCCCTCGACTCTACATGTATGGTCAGTTTCAAGGGCCAATGCCAGCTACTTCCACAATTACTAACCAGCCTCGGTGGCATATGTCCGCCCCCATCTCGACGCGCCAACAACAGAGGGCAACCTGGGGCAGGGAGTTAGCGAACGAGAGCCATTTTCCGTGCGGATGGAGCCGGATCCGTACCCTGACGGCTTGAACGCAGACCTCACCGCGGTGCGGCCTATTAATCTCTGCGACAACATTTTGGGTGTGTATATTCGACCAACGGTGCAACGAAAAAGGCAAAATCAAAGAGGTAAGCAAGGAACTCCCCTAAGCGGAATGCGCAGGATATGTGAATGCGGTGGTGGCAGGTGCGTCACGAAGTTTGTTGGGGCTTTGCTGAGGCTGCATCCCCAGTGTTGAAAAAATGTCCCCAGTCCGCCGCTCCGGGCGTCCAACCGTCGGTTGAGCTCCCCCAAAACCAGGCCCAGCACGGCGCCGGCCCAGGATTGGCCAGGGGTTGCTTGCTTTGTTGCGAAGCCGCTAAATTTCAGGTTCCCGCCTTTCAATCCCGAGCCGATCTCCCAATGGCAGCTCGAGTTCTCGATAAGCCGCCAAATCCCGCACGCTCAGACCGACTCGTGACCTGTGACATCTTCGCTCTTGGCAGCTTGTCCCGAAAGCGCGAAAGTCATCCAAACACTTGGGCCCTTCTCCTGACCTTAGCTCTTTGGATCAGGGGCAACACCGGGAGGGTTTGTCCTTGATAATTAATCGGCTACATTGGTTAATGTGGCCGCCGCAGGGCTACGGGAGAGAGACAACTGGAACCAACACACAGTGGCACGGACGTACGGGATAACTCGAATATATACAAGTAAGGCACCGGAAGATGCCGGACAGACACAAACCCCACCGGCTCATGCTTAATCCTCGCCGCCCGCCGCTGCTGCTTGAACAACCGCCTCGGCCATCTTGCATCCCTCCTTGAGAAGCTTCGCGTTCTTCTTTCCACCAGCCAAGTCAGACTTTCGAACAACTTTCTTGAGGAAGTACTGTAACCCCCTGGCCAGGTCAGGGGACCCCTCAACACCACCAAATACTTTGGCGATCGTCTCCTCGGGACGTTCGTTGGCTTGGCATTCGAGTAGCACATTGACGAGCATGATCTCGACAAAGTCGCGCGTCTTTTTCTGCAAGTAGAGCAGATTGAGGCGTTTGAGCATGGCCACCCCCAAACTGCTACCCGAGACGAGGGCACCAAATAACTTGGCTGTGTTGACGATCCGCCGCATATCCATGGCTTCATCTTCTTCCTCCTCTTCCATTTCATCCTCGCCAAAGCCTTGCTCCCCCATCCGTCCAAACATTTTCCACAGGCTGGCCTGGAACGCCCACCTGACCTCGCGCTGCTCCGAGCAGAGCCGCTTGGCGACCAGGGTGTAGTAGGGATTGTAGTGCTGCTCTGCGCCGACGCAACGGATGATGACGGTGGGGATTTCCCGCTGCCGCTCCCGGTTGAGCCGCAGTTTGAGGATGCGGAAATAGGCGTCTTGGTAGTCCATGGCCGACATGATAGAGACGAAGATAGAGCGCCGGACTTCGGTGTTCATCCCCTGCTCCCTGGCCAGTTCCCCTAGATCTGGCCCTTGTTCGACGTCATCAAGCAGAATGCTCTCGTCGTCGCTACTATCGTCCATTGCATCGGCGGGTTCCTCTGCACCCTTTTGGCTCGTTGAGCGCCCGGCCCAGCTGGCACCAACAAGCCACCACTTGCCATCCTTGCCCGCATCTTGAATGTCCTTCAAACCCACGCGCATGGGCTCGGTGGATTTGACCTTCCTTGACTTTAGCTGGCCCAGCAGCTTCTTCATTCGAACGATATGCTCCGAGACGACTGCCGATGCGCCCACCCCAGTTTTCATCTTATTGTTCTTCAGGTCGGTAATGGTATCGATCATGAACTTCGTCCTGACAGTAAGGCTTTTCTCCCCTGCTTTCGCCACGGCTGGTGGGATAAGGGAGACAATGTCCTTTAACGCCATGGGGTCATCGTGCCTGAGGGTAGGGCCGCACATGCGGACTATCCTTAGAAGTAGCTCAGCATTAAGCTCTGAGAGGGTTTCCAAGAGTCTCCTAATGTAGTCGAAGACAAGATTGGGGCCGATAAGCTGGAAGGTGTAGAGTTCCGAGACGAAAGTGATGAGATTGGACGTTTGCTTTGGTACGTCCGCCCGTTCCAGCGCAGCAACTTTAGCCTCTTCGTAATAGCTATCGAAGCGCTCCACCACTTCCTGTATCAGTTGGCCTCCAAAATCCGTCCCAAGAACCATGTAAGCTGCCGTAGCGAAGCCGGCGGATAGAATCAGGAGCGTGTCGGGTAAGCTGGTAGGCTCACAGACCTGAATTAGCAGCAGGTCCACGAGCGAGGAGGTAACGTGCTGCCGAGGGTATTCTCGGTAAAGCTTTTCGATCTCTGTCATGATGGTCAACAAGTTAGACTCGGTTATCCTGTTGACTAAACCCTGGGTCTGCCGGCGAATCCGCGCAGACAGTTCGGCGTCCGACCCGGACTCTTTACGTAGTGATGGAGGCACGTATTTGGCCGCTTGTCCTGTCGTAGGCGCAACATAGGGGTTCTCGCGGACTCGCTTTTCCGGTTGTTCTTGTGTGTCTTCGTCTTCGGAGTCAAACCCTTCGAAGTCATCTTGGTTGTGCCCTTGGTCCTCTTCGTTAGAACCGGCGTCCGCCATATGTTCGCCATCCAGGCTATCGACATCTTCACCGATTCCGTCCAAACCTCCGCCATCATCGCTCTCGGAAAATTCAGGTTCTGGTTGCTCCCGCGCCGCCGCCGCCGCCGCCGCTTCCGCCTTCCTCCTCTTTTGGGACAGCCAGTCGTCCGCTTCTGCCTTGCGTTTCCGCTTTTCTTGTTTCTCCTCATCGAAACTGCCACCTAGACCATCCAGGAGATCGCCGAGTCCGTCATCCTTAAAGGACTGGGGTAGACTTTTCCGGTTCTTCAGGCCGAGTTTCCTTTCAAGATCCGCAATTTCGGCATCATCCTGCGCGAGCTTTTCTTTCGCGGTCCTCGATAACTTCCGTTGCGGTACTGCATCTGCAACTTCTTCGTCGTTTTCGTCCTCATCCTGGCTATCTTCTTCAACCCCATCGGAATCTTCGTTCAGTGTTCCGTTGAAAAAATCTGCCCCGTCGTCGTCATCGCCATCGTCATCGTCGTCGAGACCTTCTGAATCCTCGCTCTCTTCTTCTTCTTCCTCGGCCTCTTGCCTCCCTTTCTTCAATATGGGTTTTGGCGCATCCCGACTACCAGCCTTGCGGCTATCTCCGGGCTTCCCTACTCGGTGCGAAGTAGCGGTGCTACGGTTCGGAGTTGACCGCTCGGCGTGGTGGTTCCGGCCGGCCGTGGTGCGATTGGCCCGCCACTGCTGTCTTTCGGCTTTGCGGCGGTCTTTCCTCGATGTAACGGTTTCTATCCCGCCACCACGTCGTTTCCCAGGCTTCGAGTCTGTGGATACGTTAGTAGGAAGCCTAGGGTGGGCCTACCAAAGACGGCCTCACCTGAAGCGCCGAGCTCCTTCAGGAGATGGAGAGGAAGCGTTGGCTTCTTGATCCCTTGTGGTGGCATTTCTCTCTCCTGGATGCCGTGGCAAGTTCAACGGCAGCTTAAGGTTGAGTGGCCTTCCAAGGGCGGCGTCAATTGATCCTTCAGGTGGCCACCTCGGTGCGCATAGTGGAAGAGCTCGCGAACGTCATGTCGCCTTTGGTCGTGAACTTTTTCTTATCGATAGAATGGATGTGGGGCTTAACTACTGCATGTCCCTGCGTCTCTCGCACGCGGTATCAGAAAACACTCGTGACTACCTAGCAGAGCAGAGGTCTCAAGCCCAGCTGTTCAAATAGAAATCATCTATGGTATTGATTGCGGAAGTAGAAGCTATAATAAAACCCTCCCCAACAATCTGTGATGGCCATCATCTCCAGGGAATCGGTTTGTGCAGATATGTACATGTACATGCCACCTGGCTCTCGATCCCACCAAAGTGGGTCTCCCCGCCCTTGGTGGGTCGGGCAAGCATGAAGGGCCCAGACCTCGAACTCACTCAACCTCCTCGACGATACACCAACCCCAGCTTTCCAGTTCCAGACAGTACATGACAAGATGGGCCACTTAACACACGATGAGGTACTCTTATACCTGTTTATCCAACACCACCACTCCCTTCATTCTGCTAACAAACCCCCGCCAGTTCTTCACCAAACTCGCCGACATCTTCACCACGCGCAGAACGAAAGCCCACGGCGCCGTCTTCCTAACTCAAAAACGACGTAAGCCAGCCCTTGACTCACCCCCACCCACATCACACCAACGGCGCTCCCGCTCTCGCCTATCTAACTCCCCCAACCCCCGTCCCTTCTAGTCTCACACAACCAACCCACGCCATCAAACCCATCATCACCATCACCAACATCAGACCCCCTCGCGGGCCTACACCCGGCACAGCCCCTACCGCTCATCATCCGCGCCACCAACGGCAAGGGCAAGGACGACCGGGCGGCCAAGGTGAAGCTGTCGACGGTGGTGGAGCCGGACACGCTGGAGGCCTTCTACGCGCGGTATGCCGAGGTGTGCAAGGCCGGCATGACGGCGCTCAAGCCGCGGGACCGGACCAAGAGGAAGGCCAAGGCCAAGAAGAGGAAGGGCGGTGCGGCCGCGGCCGCGACCGCGGCTGCTTGAGGGTCGCTGGGTGGTGGGAGTGTGCCTGCCCGTGGAGGTTGTCGGGTGGTTCTGTGGGTTGCTCAGCAATGGGCTAGCTAGCGGGTGATTGGGACGCGTGAGGATCTAGTCTGGTTGCGCTTCGTTCTCGCCTGTGGCGTGGGATGTGATGAGACGCGGCGGTGGACCTTTGGAGCGTAACAAGGCTGGCCATGTCTTGGAGGCGACGCAAGCTCGTTTCGGAGATTATGGGTGACACATCATGGGGGATCGATGTTTCTTACTAGAGGCTATTGTCTACTGGCACCATCGCGACAAATAACACCTTGGTCTGCGTGCCCACCTAGAATCAACGGCATCCGTCGTCATACACATACAACTACTACACAAGAGGACACGGTTACCTACCACATAACGGTTTTGTATCTCAGCGCTATGAGGGACAGTAGTCACTGCTCATCTAGCAAAGAGAGTCGAGTCAAGCTAGTGCAAGATGACACTACTTCCCACGTAGCCATAACCAGCTGTGTGTCTGACTGATAACGCCTCATCCCCAGCTCATGGGGACAAAGTTGCCATATCTGGAAACCCTTGGACGAGCATCGCTGGCTCAGCGTTGGGGCGCATATTCGAAAGGGGTTCTCGATGTCTCGACATTACGAGGAGGGTATTGGAAAGGAGAACAACAAGTAGGTCGTGGTGGCAAGTTGAGGTAGTAGAGTCGTAGTTGCATCAGTCAACGCCCATGGGCACCCACGAGGCCGGTCTTGCTGCAAGTTACCAATGCTAGAGTTCCATTGCATCGACGTAGATGGCTATCTGCTACATTAAGTCCGCCGAGATCTGCGACAGCCCTTTACTTCCCTCGCAGGTGTCGACGGCCCTGAGGCCAAAAGGCATAGAATTCCCAACACTAGAAGTAATACACGCCATCGCTGGCCGGTAGTAGTATGTCGAAAGGGGGCGTCGCCATCATGTCGTCTAATCGAAGGGGTATCATCACGGTATCCGGGTTGCCCACACAATATGCCGCCATCCAAGTGCACCGAGACGCCAATGCCAATCACACCTGTACCACTTTCCGGAAACGGATCAACCCTACGCTTCTTCGCACGCGACTCACCAAAGTCTACTAGCCGCCCAAGCCAGCCCACTCTTGCACGACGATACCTTTACCAGCAACACGCCTACCACTGCCCGACAACCTTCCATCGAACGCCGCCATCAACGGGAGAATCAAATGCTTATTCGACAATACATTCTAGGATCAACAGCCCTCCAATTTCCCTTTTCTGCGGTGCCAAATAATAACGCAGAAACCCAAGGCGCGAAAACCTTGTAAATGCACTTTTTGCGATCGTGGATTGCCGAGTGCCGAGCGTCGAGAACCGGAAGGGCGCGCCGGAGCGCTTTTATCATCCTGGCGAACCTTGACTATCCTCCTCAAAATACCGCAGCATCAGACGCATGGGGTTTGGCGTAGCTCGCAACCCGGGACGATGGAGATGCCGCCATCAGTCCCTGCGCCGCCTGATGGAGATAGATAGGAAACCATGAGAAATGTCGAAGAGCGCAAGAAAAAAAGAAAAAGAAAGCGATAACAAGTGACATGTCGGAATATGCCACGCAAGGATAGCGTCGTCGGATTCCTTTACATGATTTGGTCCTGAGTGAGGCCGCCGTGGGGATCGGTGTCCATGCTGTCTCCGGCGCCCGGTGTGACATACTTGACGTAACTCAAGCCGAGAGGGCGGCCGCCGTATTGATAGCCTTGGAACTTGGCAATGGCGGTCTCGGCCGTGTCGGCACTGTCGAAGCGGACCACACCGCTGCCGCGAGACCGGCCGCTTGGCTCGTACTGGATCTCAGCCTGCTCAACCTTACCAATGGTGGAGAAGAGCTCAACAAGATCGTCGTTGCTCGTCGACCAGGGGAGCTAGGCCACACAGTCAGTCAATCAAGGAAAATTCGGGCATGAAGGGGAGGTGTCGTAAGACCGTGGTAAAACTTACGTTGCGGACATAGATGATGTCGCATTTCTCAACACCGCCAGTGGCGTGGTCAGTGAACGCGTTCGGGGGCACCGAGGCGTTGCCAGCATCATGGAAACCGCCAGCGGCGGGAGCTCCCCCATAGCCACCGCGAGCACCATAACCGAATCCACCACGGCCTCCGCCAAACCCGCCGCGACCAAAGCCGCCACCAAAACCGCCACGTCCGCCACCAAAACCGCCGCGGCCATAGCCACCGGCGCCCATTGCAGGACCGGCAAACCGATCCTCACGGACCTCCAGCATACGGCCCTGCCAGTCATAGCCGTTGAATTGTTGAATAGCGTTGCGCGCATCTTCGGGGGACTCGAAGACGACGATTCCAGAACCCTTAGGCCTACCGTCAGGTCCGAGATGGACATCGGCGCGGATCACACCACCTGCACGGGCTGACCGGTTTGACACGTTAATGGATATCCTGACGTTGTGAGAATATGGCGGGTGTGCTTACCAGCCTGCCGGAATAGATCCTTCAGGTCCTGCCAACCCACGTTGAAGGGTAGCTATTGCAAGGTTAGTTTGAACCGGCAGCACTCAAGTGATCAGATAGAACAGTGAAGGGGAGGATGGAACAAACGTTAGAGACGTAGATCTGACGACCACCACCACCAGCAGCCATGCCGGGGTTGAAACCGCCGCCGCCATAAGGAGCGCCGCCTCCCATGGGGCCGGCGAATCCGCCGCGAGCAGCACCACCCGGCGGACCGAACCTGGGCTCAGCCTCGCGGTCCTGTGCTCATGTTAGTCAAGCCGAACCACAGCACCCCCCCTAGTTAGTGTGTTTCTTACCTCTCGGACATAGATGAGCCTGCCCATGAGGTTCTGGTTGCTGAGTGACGATACAGCTTGCTGCGCTTGCTCCCTCGTGGCATACTCCACAATTCTGGGCAGAGAGTCAGTAAGGCTGAGACCAATGTTTGAGTTGTGACGAGTGGCACTTACCCGCATCCCTAAAATCACCGCGGACAACGTCCCAACCCGTCAATCCAACAATCCATCAAAAACCGAGAGAATAGGAACCACAAAAGAACCAGCCAAAATCACTCATAGGCGCCCACCTTCGACATTCCATTAGGAAGAAGCAGCACGTCGGCATAGAGAACCTCTCCAGCTAAGACGGCTACCGTGTTAGCTTCCTAAACTGCGTTGCGCTTCATGATAGCTCTCAAAACCCACCCTGTCTCATAAAGTCCTTGAGATGGTGCCATTTTACGTCGTAGGACAGGTTGCCGACGTAAACCCGACGGTCCTGCTGCGACGTCTCGCGAATGTTGTTCATGGCTTGGTCACGGTGTACCGAGCGGTCTTCGTATGATCGATGGGGGGCGCCGTTGTATCCTGGACCTGTTCCTCCTGCAGATGCGCCCTGTCCAGTCATAGGAGACCGGCTTCTTCTCCGGGGTTGACTACGCGATCGATCACGCGGCGAATATGATCGTCGAGTGTTCGGGCTTCTTGAACGACCCCTACGAGGAGAACGAGACCTCTCGCGCTAGTATTTGTTAGCAACTAGCCAAGGCACAAGTGCCGTAACTCCAAAAATCAACGGTGATCAACAGGTTCTGCGGCAGGGAGCGGCCATGACCTGTGTTGGCTTGGACTTGGCCGGCCGCGTGCCGGGTCTGCTCGCGCATCAACCGCATGCTGTATGGCGGGGGCGATTGAAGCTCCAATCTATGAGATCAAGTGCGTGTGGATACCAATTGACCCTGGCGAACGAAGTCGCCCTTGGCTGTTGAGCACGGCCCACATGGACAAAAGCGGTCCGCCGCCAGAATGACGATGCCGAAAATCGCGAGCAGGTCGAGGTCGGGATTGAGCTTCCAGAGGGGATGACGAATGAGATTGAGCAAAGAAAAAAATAACTCACCGGGCTGGATAATTGTCTCCTGGAATTCAGCTGTAGAAGAAAAACGAAATGTTAGATAGATGACGGAAAGTGAAGATAAGTGGAAGAAAATCGGTATGGAGGTAAGTTGTAGTGCGAGGTTGGAGGAGGTGGAGGAATGCGGGAGGGAAACGCAATTGAAGAGTGGCAATTTGAGGGAGGTAGCACTTGGGGTGCCGCGGCGGGGGAAGTGGTGAACGAATCCGAAGGTGGGATCAGGATGGGAAAGACATGCAGGGCAGGGAAGGCCGAGGGGGAAGGGGGTCTGCTTGTGTGAAGGTACTTCCGTACATGTAGGTCGCATGTAGGAGGGGACGCAAGGCACTGCAGCACAACTCGCGCGCCGCTTGGGGAGTGGAAGTGGGCGAGCGAGGCTTGAGCAAAGACCTCGACTCAGCGCTGGCTGTCACTCGCTGGGCGCGTGCTTCGTGAATCGACAGAGATGCCGACAGGTAGGTCTGGGGGTTACAAACAGCCGTCACACGTCATCGAGACATTGAAGGATGACCGTGATAACGGTTGCCCCGAGCTTGGCCGCGGCGAAGAGGGTTCTTTGTGCGGATAGAGGGGGCAGGGCGGGCTCTGAGATGGAATGGAGTATGTAACTCGATTTCTACTTACCCATGGCTGGAAGGGAGTCGACTTATTTTTTTTTTCTTTGGCAGCTTAGCCGCTTGATGGAGAGAAAATTTCGGCGACGCGACGATTGGGTGTTGAGGGCGGGCGTCTGTCTAACTGCAGGTTGCTCCCGGTTGGATGTCGCCTGGTTTGGTATGGTGGGGGGGTGTCGCAGCAGCTGAGGGCCACGGTCTGTACTCGGCCTCGCAGAACGGACCAAGGAGTCGGTTGGGGATGGCCTTCAAGGGACGGGAGCTAGGATCTCGGTCAGCCTCTGGCCAAGTTGGGCAGGCGTGCGTTTTGTCCGAGTCGAACTTGGAAGGGCGAAGACGCGGCGCACGACCGAGAACGGGCAGTGGAACCTACGAACGTGCTCAGGCAACGCGGTCAGAGTTGGGTGGTCTGTCTCAAAGGTACAGTGCTATCGAAAGGCAGCAACAGGAGAGGAAGTCAGCGCAAAAACTTTCATGCCGCAGTGTCTGACCACCGAAAAAGGCCCAATGCCGTAGCAGTTCGGGAACTCAAGGCAACTGGCAAGGGTGAGCAAGGCGGACAAACAGGGAGAACGCGTGTCGGACGGTGGCCCAGCAGGCGGCACCAGGATGGGATGCGAGGTTTCTCTGTGGGGTCGCTTGGCAGAGGAGGCCTGGAGGCCACGAATGATACCGCGGGATTGAGGTTGAGGTTGGTTTGCGTGTGGTGCGGCGGGCAGCACAAGAAAGTGGGCTAGGTGCGGCAGGCTGATGGGGGACCTTTTCACGGCGTGGAGAGTTGGCCAGAACAGACGGAAGGAATCGTGGGGACGCATGGACCACATCGAGTCAGCACAGGAAACGGAGACCAAGAACGAACGGTGTGGCACCAAAAGCAGTAATACTGTGTCGGTAATGTACACTACACTATTTCGTACGGAATATTTCACTTTTCGATTTGTATACCTACAGTGGACTAACAGATAAGGCTACCTACCACTCAGTGAAATGACAGAGTTCATGGTCTATGCGATGTTAAGGAGCATATTAGTTATTCGAACAAAGCGTGGCTCGGCCAGAAAGCGGGCACTCCCAAATTTGTTCAGTTCTTCGGCTGAAATGTGCTGGGAGGTGGTTTTTATGATAGTTGTTTATCATTTCTCTGCTAGCAGACGGGGAGAATTACCGCGTCGCTGACGGGCGAGCTGCAGGGTTCCAGAGGATATCGGCCAATGACCTTCCCAGGAGGGTTTGAGCGGGGCTGCTCATGGCTGGCTGCATCTTGCATGCATTTCCATCCCACCCCACTTCTTATGAACGTCTCGAAAAACGAGCCTTCACTTTCTAATTTCTCAGTAAAACCGACGTCGCTAACCCTGGCAACGGTTTCCAATCCACGAACAAAGACCGATAGCGCAGTATGCGGCACATTTAGCAGGCCTTCGGGACAAGTCTGGTGGCATCCTCAATCCGCCGAGTCAACCCTTGCGCGGTTGAGGGAAGGGGAATGGAGGTTTGCACAAGGCAAGGGGAGGCATCTCAACGTCCAACATGGATCCAATAAGTTCGGAAACGCGGCACTCTTTGGTATTGGCCTGCCCTATGGTTGAGCGTTGCCCTCTCGTTGTGGGCAACCCTGGAGCCTGTCTGCGCACCCCTTGGGATGGTGGCACGGCAGGTGGAGGAACGAGACGGGAGAGGTGATGGCCCAATCCGGTTGCTCTGACGGCGCCTCTGCCCACGGGCGACCCTGAGCACGAAGAGAATTTTATGATTTCTGGCGGGGCAGGTATCAAGACTCTCGGGTGAGTTGGCCATTCACATCGAGGTATGGGCCTGCTTCAACATGAGCGACAGGGGTGACGAGGCGCCCGGCACAACCTTTCTGGCCTTTCACAGCGAGGCCGACAAATGCCATCCTCAACCGCCAACGGAATGGAGTGGGCAAGTTCGTCTGTCGTTATTGACGCCCGACCAACCAAAGAGGTGCCAGCGACCGGTCAATGCATGGTGGAATTTACTGATACAACGACACATGCAGAAACACTAGACGGGTGAACCCCAGAGCCTTGCGCAGGCAAGGTCTCGACTGCCCACATCAGCCACGGAGAAGAGGGGTTTAGCGGCCCGGGGACCTGTTCCGTGCGGAGCCGAGTTCACAAAGGAGGCCGAAGAGCTTGCGTCGCTCTCCAACCGCCCACCGTCAATTTATCGCCCCGCGGTTGCGTCAAACGGAACTAACACGAGCGGGTATAGCTGGTCTCAATACAAAGTCATACGCGAGCACACCCAGCGCTCTGTATTGCAAGCACACGCAAAGATACCTTACGCAACCGCGGGGCTCCGGCTGGAGTGTGGGGTCTGGGACTTGGGGGGGTGCCTGAGCATCGTCCGGAAAGTCCGGCGACTCGATCGGTGCTGGGCGCCCGCTCCAAGCTTGCCGGCACCTTCCGCGGCTGCGAGCATTGAAGAATCCATGAGTTTAGCTTGGCGTTGGGGCCTCCCCAGCGTTACCGTCCGCAGTTCCCTCGCCCTCGGCGTCGCAGTGAGTGCCACAGCACAGCGCACCGTTCGGTGTCGCAGGCACTGATAACACCTGGGGTCAGTGCGGCCTTGCAGGAGTTTCCTTGCTGCATTTTAGCTTTGCATGGCACGCCATCCCTCCCTCTTGAGAAACAGGTATTGGTTCGCAGGAGACCCACTGAGAACCCTGAGAGGTTGGTGAATCGGCAAGAATGGGTCTGGAAGGGATGGACTTTGTGCTAAATCTGCATCGGCCCACGGTATACGCGTAATGACATGGAAATTATGAGGATACGGGTTGTATCGCAAAACGACGGAGGAAGGTGGTCGTCTGTTCCATGCCCTGAAAATGAGCGGGGCAGATCCAGATCCAGATCACGGCCTATTTTGGTGTAGCCGGGCGGGTGGAGCACACTAAGCTTTCGAGATCTCAACACCAGGAGCTCGATTGGCACGTGCAGATCCAACCAGACAAGAGCGCAACCTATAGACAGGTAAACCCCCTTGCGCTAGAGCATCTCGAAAAAGCCAAGTGCTAGCAAACGGGCCATTGGATATGTCAACACCAAATATTTCCTGTTCCGCGGCGGCGGCGGCGACCCGGCGCATGCTTCTCCGTCCGCTCCGGCCGACCGCTGTCTGTAGGATGCCGACCACACCATCGGTTCCATGCCGAGCCCTTTCGATCACCAGGGCACAATCCGTAACCAGTCTCGCCAACTCTTCTCGGCCGCAGTCACTCCGTCATCAACCATCCTTAGGACCCAAGCTGCCAGCTCCGACCCGCACCTACCACTCTCACGACCACCCCCCTTCTCCCGGGCCCTTCACGCCCTCCGAGGCTGCTCTTCTCGCGGCCGCCTACGCCCACGTCCCTTCCCACGGATTCACGCCTGAATCCCTCGCCCTGGGCGCCCGCGACGCCGGCCTGCTAGATATCAGCCCATCCATCCTGCCCGACGGTGTGTTCAGCCTGATCCGCTGGCACCTCCACACCCAGCGGACATCCTTGGCGGACAAGGCGAAAAACGCCGTGGCCAATGAAGGAGCCACGACGGTCGGGGAGCGGGTGGAGGTGCTGGCGTGGGCGAGGCTGAGAGGGAACGTGGAGAGCGGCGTCGTTCGTCGGTGGCAGGAGGTCCGTCTATCCCCACAACCCACGCTTCCCATGGCTGGAATATGCGCTAACTACTGCCCCGCACTACCTACAGGCACTCGCGATTATGGCCCAACCCTCGTACATACCGCCCTCGGCCAAGGAACTCGCGCAGCTAGCCGACGAGATTCTATACCTAGCCGGCGACGTGTCGGTCGACCCCACATGGTACACCAAGCGGGCGTCGCTGTCTGCCATCTACGTGGGGGCCGAGCTGTTCCAGACAACGGACCAGTCGCCCGACTACCGCGAGACGCGGGCCTTCCTCCGCCGCCGGCTGGACGAGGCGGCGCGGGCGGGTGGCGCGGTGCGGTCGATTGGGGAGTGGATCGGGTTTAATGCCGGCGCGGCGGTGAATGTGTTGCGGAGTAAGGGAGTGAGGATATAAAGTGCGTTGGGTGCGTTCATTGCTTCGCACAGCTGGTACGAGAGAAGGGGGAGAACAAAAACATCACCAGCTCCGCTCAGGTTTGTGCCTAGAGTTGTAAAAATTATTGTAAATACAGCGTGTAGGCTTTGATTGGTGAAAAGCCTGCACAAGCAATACTGCGAACACTCCCGCCCAAGGGGTCAGGTTCGCCGGGTAGCGATATCGACAAGATCCTCTCCCAGTATTTACCACGCGGCCAAGCGAGTCCCCCGCCCACCCAACACAACACCAAACTCCTTTCTTTCCCCACCCCTTGAACGCCCTTCTGTCGAGAAGAACCTCCTAAACAAGGCCCCGGGCCTAAAAGTCATGACAAAAGCCGTACAGGTTAAAATACAGGTTGCAATACAGGTTGCTTCAACAATCGCCGCTCAGGATACGCAATCACAAAAATCGACATGAAGACTTCAGTGGTCGGCCAATGTCCGCTGGCGGGGATCGGTAAGACTGGAGAACCGTTAGTAAAAATAGTTGTGTATCTCATAGTTGGCAGACTCACCGGATAATTTTGACATCCTTATCTAGGGTGGTGCGGCCCTCAATAGCATTAGGCGTGATAAAGATGTATTGGCGATTAACTGAACGCCGCGCGGCGGTGATCTAAGTATCTTGTTAGCGTGCTTCTTGGTCACGTATGGCTCACTTCGACTTACCAGCATATTTGTACTGATAGCACGGTTCACATTATCCATGAACACGTCGAACTCGTCAAGACACCGCAGAGGCGAGCCCATGGCCTCCCAGATGGCTAGCAGCAGGCAGATAGACGAGAACGATTTCTCACCGCCAGAGAGTGTCTTGGTGCTCCGCCCGGCGGCCCTCTTCTCCGTCTTGTCCGGTTCAACCTGCAGGTCCAGAAACTTGCGCTCGTGGTCGACCAACAGCTTGCCACGGAAGCCGCGCTCGCTCAAGAGGTAGATGAAGTTGGCGCGAGACTGGGACGAGATGTAACGCTGAAACTTGCGCCACTTTTCGAGGCGTAGCGTGAGGGCATACCGGAGGCGGTCGTTCACACTGGTGATGGACTGGAGATCCGCCACCACCTGGTCGCAAATCCCCTTCTTTGCGGCGAAATAGGCGTGGACCTGAGCGTCCGTCATGCCGCGCTTGACATCTCGCTCGTCCAAGCGGGCTTTGAGCGTCTCGTACTGTTTCTCAATACTCTTGTACGTTTCGCCCTCGGGGACGTAGACACGCTCTTTGTTGACGACCTCGGCATGCTTCACCATTTCCTTGACGCCCTCTTCCTGCCTGGCTCGCTTCGACTCGGCCTTTTGCTTTTGCTCGACATACTCGCCCAGCCTCTCGATGATGTCGTTCTTCTCGATGAGGCAGAGGTGGCGCAAGTCCCGGGCCTGCTTGAGCTTCCCTTCGGCCTTGCTGAGACGATTCTCAAAATCCTTCATGTGTAGTTTTTCCTCCTTGAGCTTCTTCAGGGCCGCCTCTACTTCGGCGTTTTTATCTTGCTTTTTCGCGCTAAGCGTGCCGTATTGGATGCCGTGGTGATTCAACTCTCCCTGAAGCTCCTCTCGGTGGTCCCTGAGGCCTTGTAGGTACCCGTCAAGCCCATCAAAATGGTCTAACTCTGTCTGGATATTATCCGCCTTGAGGCGAGCGTTTTTTGATTCGCGTTCGAGAGCATCTCGACTCTTCTTTAACTGGACCACTGCGTTTTGACAGCGCTGAAATTCTTGCTGCAGGCGGCGTTTCTCAGCATTCAGCTCCTGGTACTCGGCGACGATCTGCTGAAGCGTATTCTTCAACAGCGAAATCTGGGAATCCGAATCTGTCTTCATCCGGGGTCTCAAATTCGGATTCGGCTGAATCGGTGTGGTTGAAATGTTGCCGTTGGTCATTGCCAACCTCAGACCTTCGCCGCGCTTCCGGTCGTGGAAAGCTAGGCAAGCTTTGACATTCCGCGGCGGCGCGCCGTCGAACATGACTTGTTGAGCCCTTACACGCTCGGGGATCAAAATCACTTGTTCAATCATGTGGTTGATGATGAGCTGATCCCGGACCATCTGGTTATCGATCTTGAGCACTCGAAGAATGGTATCATACTCGGCATCCGGCTCCTTTCCACTGATGTCGAGCGGACGCGGGTTGCAGATGAAAACGGGGCAACTCCGGACGTTGAGCTGATTCATCATCCCGCGAAGAATCTTTTCGTCGTGTTTACTAGTGACGATGAAGGCATTGAGGTTGATGCCGATCGTCTTTTCGAGGATGGCCGACCACTCGGGCTTGAGCAGCTGGACGTGAGCGCCTAGCGGACCGATCGGTTTGCTTTGGAAATTGTTGTCTGCTGGCGATCCTCTTCAGAAGGTTAGGAACCTGGGCTTCGTACGCGCTGTACGCCGAACCACGATTCTCTTCGAGGCCTTTGATTCTGGCCTCAACACCGTTGATCTCGTTGCGCTTTCGGAGGATCTCGTCGCCGAACTTATCCAGGGCCACCTTTGACTCATCTGCCTTATTGATGAGTTCCGGTTCGCGATCCTTATTTTCTTGGATCTCGGCGTCCCAGTCGGCTTGACATTTTTCGTTGACCGCGTCAAAGCTCCCGCAACTTTATCGCCGGGGACTCCGCCATTGACAGCCTCGAGTCGCTCTTGTTTCCCCGGCAATCTTGGCGTCAACCTGCTTTACAGCCCTCATCCTTGGCCTTCAACGCTTGATGAGCCCTCCCGCTCCTCGACATGAAGCTGTTCGATCTCCGTCTTCAACCCCCCTGTACACGCCGTCGGCTGTCTCCACCCGGCTCTCGAATCTCACCCTCCTCCTCCTTGACGAGTCGCAGGGACGCCTCAGCGCGCTCGACTTTGTCATTGGCAATCTCCAGGGCATTGGTTCTTTGCTTCCACCTCTTGTTGTGTTTCAGTAACCCGAATGTTGGCTTCTGCAAGATCACCTTTCTCTTTTGGCGAGTTCTTCCTCTTCGTGGACCACCTGTGACCAAGCCAACTGCCAACGTAACATGCGGAGTTTGTTCCTGACCTGGCGATTGCCTTCGAGTTCGTTCATCATGCGTTGGGCCTTGTCCAACTCAACCTTGGCGTGCTTCACACGCTCCTCCTGGTCGGGAACCTTGGCCACCATCTGCTCCAAGCTCTCCGAGATCAGCCGGTAGTCGTTATCTAACTGCTGAAGCTGGACGCCTTCGATGAAGAACTTATACTTCTGGATTTTGGTTGACGAGTTGAGGAACTGGCGGGCGTTGTCCTGTGAGAGGATGTTTAATGGGTTATCAACCTGAAGGGAGAAGTACTCGACAAGCTCGTCGACCTCATGCTTCTTGACCGAGTGTGTCTGGCCAAGAGCAGTTTTGATTTTGAAACCGCTGCTTCCTGTCTTGGAAAAGTGGCGCTCCACAATGACCGATTCACCGTAGATGTCAGGCTTGAAGGCATCTTGACCCCGGTTCTTGATCTTGACTGCGAGGACCGCACGCTCGCAACCCTCCTTGACGAAGCTCTTCAGACTGCCTCCGCGATTCGTTGAGCTGGCCTTGCCGCCCAAACACAAGGTGATCGCGGTAAGGATGGCGCTCTTGCCACTGCCGTTTTCTCCTACAATGAAGTTGAGGAGGGGGCCAAGTTCGCAATGGAGGCGCACATGGCACATAAAGTTGACGCAAGTCACGCTCTCGATGATTCCGTTGTCTGCAATACCATTCTCGCCCAACAGACCTGGGCGGACTCGGAGTCTTTGGGTTGCGCGCTGGTCATCGGCGACCTCGTGACGAAGATGCTCGAAGTTGTTGTCGCGCATTAGCTCATATTGTGTCTTGGGGGGTGAGCTGGGCAATGCGGGAGCCTCATCCTCGTTCGCATCCTCGTTCGCATCATCGTCAGACGGCGTCGAATATCGTACTGAGTGCTCTTCGCTCTTAATGTGCTCGACGTCGGAGAGGCGTACTCGTTTTCTCTGTAAGGTTTTTTATCAGAATTATAACTGGGGAAAATCAACAAAGTAAAAAACGGGAAAAAATGGCGGCGCATCATTCGCAGCTTACCGGTTCAATTCGGAGATTTGAGTGAGCCTGTTGGACTTCAACAACCTCGTCTCCGCTATCCTCAGCATGGTCGCGACGAGCGCGCTTCCGGGAAGACCCCGGCGCAAGGCGGTTCATCGTTCGCCCGGGCATCGCGAGTCCTGACAGATGACTGCTAACAGTCTATGCGAACAGAGGCCAGGGCCCAGTATGACCAAGAATTTTGACGTACAAAAGGGTAGGGTATTCGCGTTTGAGATGCTACGCGTCTGGAATTGGTGCTCGTTAACGCGTCTTGCCTGGTCCACTCTTAGAACGACCAGGGGCGCCCCTCTTTGGTGCACAAGGTCCAAGCTTTATGCTGAACCCCACCATGACCAAGCTCCTGAATCGCCCCACCATTATCGATATGAGGGAACAACAACCGCCCAAGATAAAATGCCAGATGAAAGAGAGCACGGTCTACCGTCGTAAAATATCAGGAGACAACCTGAACAACTTAAGATGGAAATAAATAATGGACGGTTAGCGCACTTATCAGTCAATGGTCTCAAAACTTAGCCAACCATATTTCGTACCTACATCCCCTCCAGTCCCCACCAACTCACTGCATCAAGCATCATCAGCCAGAATTCCAGCAGCACTCATCTCGATAAAAACTAACACCAAAAGACAGTGCGAGGCTGTATAACAAACTCTATTCGACGCATTGATCTGATTCTTTCTCCTAAAGTCCTGATGCTTCTGGGTTTCAAGTGTTGTTTCTACAAGTACTGCAAGATCAAAGAGCCAACCAACCAGCTCAAACGATCTTACCATGGACACTGCAGCCGAGCCGCGGCCTGGAGACGAGGATTTTGATGGGTTCCGTATGAGTGTTTCTGAGGACTATGCGGAATACATGCTCTTCGTCATCGGGGACAAGGCGGACAATAATTTGCCCAGCCTCGAGGCAGTTCGCAAGGCGGCGGATCGGAAGCTGGACGAATTGGCAAAAGACTACATCTGGCAGAGAGAGCCTTTCAAGCTAGAAGCAAAGACTCAAAAGGGTTCGTTTTTTTCTTGGAGCAGCCTGACGAATAGCAGCTGATTGTTTACCTAGGTCTAGGACTCTCCTATCTTCATGGCATCACCCATTACGGGGATAATGTCGAGGACGAATGGCTCATCGTCTATCTTCTCCGAGAACTTAGCAAGACATATCCACAGCTATGGATTCGTGTCTCTGACAGCGACGGCGAGTTTTTGCTCATCGAAGCCGCGAAGGTCACGCCCAAGTGGCTCAGCCCCGAGAATGATGGCAACCGGGTCTGGATCCACGACGGCAAGCTTCTCATCATCCCCCTAGCCGACCCAACCACCACCACTTCCAAACCCCTCTCCCTCCCCGAAGCCATCAAAACCATCAAAACCTCACCCCCATCCACCCTCATCCACTCCCCTCTAGTCGAAGCCGAGTCCTTCTACCGCCTCGAAAAATACCCCGCCCAAATCACCACCGCCCTCCACCACGCCCTGGCCACCATCCCCCGCAAACTCGCCCACATCCTCCACCTACGCCCCAAAGCCGTCGCCCCAGCAACCGAAGCCTTCTACTTGCGCGACCCGCGCGCCCTCAAGCCCCTCCTCTTCCCAACCCCCTCCCCCTCCCCCGCCGCGACAACCCAGCAGCAACAGCAGGGGGCTAACAACGGCCTCACATTCCCCCCAACCGACCTCGTCACCATCAGCGTGCGCTTCAGCAAGGTCCTCTACGCACAGCTTAAGAGCCAGCACTTTGCGCCGCCGCCGGCATGGACACCTGCCTTCCGCGCTGTTGAGGCCGGAACCGGAGCCGGCGCCGGAGCCGCTGACGCGTCGGGACCCGAGGCGGCCAAGGCCAAGGCGCTGGCGCGGCTGGAGCTGGGCATGAAGCTGACGATAGGGTTTGAGCTGCTCGCGCGCACGGCGGACCAGAGCGCGAGCCGCGTGGTGAGGGAGGTGGCGCTGCTGTTGGAGGATTTGGTGGAGGATGGTGGGGACAGCGCGTTGCCGGGGGATGGGGAGATTGCGGGGTGGGAGGGGGTGGGGAGGGAGGATGATCATGGGTGGATGGATATTGATTTTGGGGATTTTGAGAGGGAGCTGGAGGGGAAGAAGACCGCTGGGGGGGGTGGGTTTGGCGATGCTGCTGCGCAGGCGGACTTGCAGAAGATTGTGTCGCGGTTTGAGGCTTTTTTGAATGATGAATCCGGCGGGGATTGAGGGGGCGGAGACTGAGGATATGGATCGGGATGATGATAGTGACGAGGAAAGAGGGGAGTTATGATGATGATGATGATGAGGATCGGGAGGTTAGTTTTGATGAGGAACAGTTTTGGTAGGATGATGAGGGAGATGATGGGGCTCCCGGCCGAGGATGGCAGCCAGGAAAAAGGGAAGGCGAAGGCGGTTGAAGAGGAGCAAGAGGGGAGTGACGACGAGGAGATCCGAAAGCTCACGGTGCAGATGGAGTCGGAGCTCAAGAAGTTTGGTGCGCTGGAGCTTGACCCGAAACCCAAGACTACGGCCTCGATCAAGGAAAAGGGAGAGGGGTCTAGCAAGAAAAATGAGGAAGAGGACAACGACGACGATGGGAGCAGCGACGAGGTGATAGATATTGATTACAACCTCGCCAAAAACCTACTAGAGAGCTTCAAGAGCCAGGCAGGCATGGCTGGTCCGGCGGGTAATATTCTAGGGATGATGGGAATGACCCTGCCCAGGGACGAAGAGGATTCGGAAGACGAATGATGACGCAAACAGCGCCAACCGCCATTGCTTTGTTTACCTGCATCCTTGCCGCCTTTTGGTATCTACAATACAATATTCGTCTTCCTGACCTCGGTCGTCATTGATCTCGTACCACATCACTCGTCCTCGGCACCCCTGAGCCTCTTCGCGGGCGACATCTCCCCGCTTGGCCGCTGCTGTCTCTTCTTCGTGTTATCTGGCACTTCTGCCAGTTTGGCCAGCACCTCGTTCAACTTCTTCCGTGCCTCGAGTTCCCGAGTACTGCTGTCCTGCCGCGGCCGATAGAACTCGCTCACAATCCGCGTTACTGTGTGGTAGACCTGGTAGAACAGCAGCCGGATCCATGCCGTGTCGGCATTTTCTATTACGGTCGGGTTTAGGGGGTATGGGAGTTTCGTGTGTTGTGAGTCGGCGCCAGATTCTAGCTTCTCGCCGTTGAAGCCTTCTAAGAAGGCGGATGAAGGGAGCGGTTGGTGCGGGTCGCTGAAGACGGATGCGAGGAGGGGGTCACCGAATATGGCGCTACTCCAGTCGCGGAGGCCGGTGAGTTTTAGGCTTTGTTGTGATTGTGTGTCCCCCTTCTGTGTCATGTCTGTTTCCCCCTTTTCTTTGTCGTCCTCCCCTTCTCCGGTCACCTTCTCGTCTGTTGCCTTGCCCTTGTTTTTCCCGCTTTCTTTCCCGTCATCGCCCACCTCTTTTTCCTTTTCCGTGTCTTCTTTTTGCTCACCCAAATCCCCAACAAGTACGTTTCCTCTCCCTGCACCCTCGACAATAACCAGCCTCGCGGTGGTAACATCGTCCAAAAGGTACCCCAGCCGCCGAAAATGTCTCCGAATCGTCGGGTACGATATGACAACTGCCATGTCCTCGCCATCTCGCAACACCCCTTCCATCATGGAATGAAACGCCACAGACCATGTCCCTGCACCGCCGGTGGCTGACAGCCCGCTTTCGGTTAGCACTTGTGGAAGTCTCGGGGTCTTTGCTCGAGACCCGGCTGGCTGTGGGGTGCCGGGGCCGGAACTGGTGTCGATGACGGCCGCTAGGGGGCCGAAACGGCCGGTGGGTGAAGTCAAAGTGTTTAAGTGGCGGAACAAGGCGCCGAGCTGGCAGTCGATTTCCCGTCGTACGGTGGGTGTGGGTTCTGAAGAAAGGAGGGAAAGAGGTGTCCCGTTGGCGGGTTTGTAGACGGCGAAGGAGGAGTTGGGGAGGTGGGTTTCCCGGCCGTGGCGGAGGAGGGTTGGTAAAAGTGGCAGTAAGGAGGTGGTGATGTCGCGAGTGACGGAGGAGAAGGAAGATGCTTTCTGTTCGGTAGTGGCGGTTTCCCGAGCGAGAGTCTCTCTGATCCACCTCACCGTGGTGGCTTCAGAGCTCAGCATTCCCTGCTCGGCTCTGAGGGGGCGCCACATAGAGATGGGCGGCAAGACGAGGTGCAGTGTTTTACCCCCAGGAATGGGAACTTCGTAAATTCTCAAAGGGCGAACGGACGGTACGAGCTGGAGTTTCCCGAGGACGATATCGTCTGGGACAACTGGGCCGAGCATGTTCCTAGCCACATCGTCGGTGGGCGGTTGGCACATGGCGAAGCGTAACGAAAGAAGGGCGTGCTTCGCTAGACGATAAGTGGTGATTTCTTGATGTTACCGGATGGCGTTTGTCTTTTGGTTTGGGGTTCTGGGGGGACAAGTAAAATGGTGGGTACAATTTTCTTGTCTTCTCCTCTCTCCAAGACGGGAGTGTCCTGTTGCAGGTCAAGCCGGAAGCAAGACGGTACTGCTGGTTGGCTGTGTGTAAGTCAGGACGAAGCTGGGAAGAGCTGGGCAACAGGCACCCGCAACCGCCCTTCAGGAGTCCAGTAACCATACCTATATAAAAACACGTATGCTTGGGCACACCACGCAGAACATCACCCCACAACGTCCGTGTGCAGAAGTAATGTCAGTTGGCGAAGTGAACGGACTGACAAGCTGGTTACACGAGTCACAGCGAGACCAGGATCACGGCTATGGGTGTGTTGGTATGGTATCACGGCCATCACGACACATTGGGAAACGGAGTCGGCCTTTCTGATGACAAGCCGTGTTGGCGAGCTTGACGGCTGTTCTGCGAGAAGTTTTGATACTCGCTCGGCAGAGACCTTCAGGGGCGTGGAACAACGAAGCGAGTAAGCAAAACAGGCTGGCCGGCGACTCTCCGGCACATGGCGAAGGCCCGTTCATGAGCATGGTGATGGAGCTAACAGGCTTCTGTTTGTTTTCTACGATTATGCTTAGGCAAATTGCAGAACGAGGAAGACGATGGAGGCCAAGGGGAAAGGTCTGCCAAGAGAAGGTTTCGTGGAGCGAGGAATGTGGTGGACGAATAAGGGAACGCCCGTAGCGAGAAGGAGGCCCGACTTCCCCTTTGATCTTCAGGGTCCCGGCGCGACGGGCGGCCACCTGGGGGCTTCTTTGCTTGTCATGACATGGGTGAGGGAAGCGCGGGAACGTCTTGTAAGTGGCCCCGGTACGGGAATAAACAGGAAGTGAACATCATGATGCTCTCCCCTGGGCTCTCGCAACGTTACCTGCTTTGACACATCCACGACGGCCCCATGGACGGCCCCATGCAATTCAACGAATGGACTCTCGTTCGCTCGGCGCGGACCACGGAATCTCGGGAATTGCTCTGGCTCCCCATGTTCTCCAGACGGGAAGTAAGGCCCAGGGTTGGATCCTGCCGCTCGGTACCGCCGCCGTTAAAAAGCCAGTGTCGACATCAACAGACTCCTAAATCTGGAGATACACAAGACTCCCATCATGTCAAAACAGGAAGGTGATGAAGGAAAAACTCGGTCAGCACGGCTAATTGCTGGGGACTTTCTGCAATTCACTGGGAGCGGCCAGGCTACGTCAGGAAAGAGCAAGCGAAGAAGGGGCCAGACGGCAGGCAGACCCGATGACGGCCTCGAGCGCCAATCCAGGTCAACTTAGGAAAAGCACTTTTGTGAGAGAACGAAGTCATGCTGCTGACATTCTCGAACCCAAGAAAGCAGCGATGTGCATGGACAAACGAACCGGGCATTCGGTGATTGGCCAAAGCTAAGCGAAATCCCAGAAACAGCGCAAAACTCTTGTGGGGCATTCGAATGTTTCGACATCTGACAAGCTTTGTCCATGAGCGAATGCATGTTCTTATGAAGGAGTTTGTGGGAAATGGCCGGCAGTTTCATGCCCGAGAGTTTGGCAATGGTATCCATTGCGCGGCGAGTCCCGAATTACAGGTCTGTAGTTTTGTGTATCACGCTATTTCTTTCACATCACAGCATGCCTCTTGGCTCCCAAGCGTGCTCCACGAGCGAGGGATGTGGTGTCTCAGCCCAGGAACACTCCCCGAGCCCAGACCCGTGTCGCTGGAACGCCTCGGGCCGGTGTCCACCAGGATCCGGTGTGAGCCAGGGACCCCGTCGGCTCGTCAAATTTACCTGGAATAGGGTTTAGTGCCGATGCTTGGCGGCCACATTTCGATGTCTCTCAGGTATGAAGTGTATGCATGTAATACCGGGATACCGGAAACGGTATTTCGTACACGCTTCCGCAAATTGGCTGAGGGTTTGCCTGATTTTCCACATTTGATGGAATCACCCTCTGGGTTCAAGCTTCGGTCGTTTGGGCATTTCTCCCTTGGGTGTAGAGCTCTGTGAGGTTGTAACGCTTGAGCTCATCCCAGTCGCCGTCGACAACGCTCATCCCGCAAACTGACTGTAGAGAGTTAGAGGTTGGGTCGGGGGCCACGCTCGGGCTCTGGGCTTCCGTGCTTACCTGATAGATATCGATGAGAATAACTTTGTCCGGCGAGGTGAGGTTGACCTTATGAAGATCGTCGTTGATGAGTCGAGCAACCGTATTGATCACCACATCTCGCTTCAAATTGCTGTGGTTGCGGATAGTTGGCCGGATGGCGAACTGGGCAGGTGTCAGTCCAAAGGAACGGGGGCTGTGAAGCAATGAGCGAAACTCACTGTGAATGGCTTTTTCTCGGATCCCGCCTCTTCGGAAACAGGCGCCCGGCTGTGGGCTTCCGTAGTGTCCTTCTTGCCATCACCATCACCCGCCAACTCTCCTTCTACCGTCGACTTGATCTCGCCCTCAGTCCCCCGCTTCCCCCCCAAATCAAACCACCCCTTCAGCGCCTCCTTCGCAACCTCGACTAATCCATTCTCTGACGCCTTCCCCATGACACTGATGGGCGTCAGCCGGTTGACATAGCGGCACCTCATCAGCCCCGGCAGCTCACCGCAGCGCCTCGCGTCCTCACATATCCTGCGCACAAATGCGACAGGGTCCACGGGCGGCTGCGTCTTGACGTAGAGCAGGCAGTCGACGTTCATCTTCAGGGGTGTCATCCGGTTGGGTTCCTCGGGGGATGTCCCGCCGGAAGTGGGGGTGGGTTTAGCAGTGAGAGCGGCGACCTCTCTTGCGATGGCCGCTTCAATATCGTCTTCGGCGCCATCATCGTCGCCGCCGCTAGGCTGTGCATCATGAATGGATTTGATGTCGTAGAGTTTCTCGGCGTACTGGCCCCCGGTAAGTCCCTACATGAAATTCCATGGTATAGTATGTAAAACGTACCTCCGAAAACAAAACCCCAATCTCCCTCGCGGCCTTAGCCTCCTGGTGCCGGGCACAAGTGACCCAGACGCCGGTATCGCCCGGTTGGAGGTGGGAGTCCTGGGCTAGCACTTTGGCCTGCTGGTGGGAGGTCTTCCATTTGCCAGCGTTTCCGGTCTATTTTTTTGTTAGGGTAAGGTTAGCGGGCGCTGAGAATTTTAAGCGAGCATTAGACTAAAAACGCATGACAAAAACGTGGTGTCGAGAGCGCTTGGGATAGGATGGCATCATGTTGCGACGGGACGCCACGATAGCTCTGCATGAGAGAACCGTCCGCGGAGAGCCCAGGACCCACCTGGACCACCATTCGGTTATCCATACCTTTTTCTTCTTCGACCGCGAGTCCCCTCCGCCGCCCGGGGCATCTTTTCTCTTGCCGTTTTCTGTCATACCGGCGATTTGCTTGGGTGTTGCTTGGTGAGGGTGTGGTTGAGTTGCAAAGTCCCGCTTGCATGAAATTCGTGTATTGGAGTCGAGCTAACCGATTCTGATTGGCCAAGCACGAATCTTTACACTTGGTTGCTTGGTACGAAGTACCTCTGTCACCACGCCCCTCGGTTCGAAGGTCTGGGAACGGAGTTGTATCGTTGCTTGGCTTGACGCCGGGCCCAAAAGTCAGAGGAACTTTGTAGCTTTATATCCAGACGGTATACTGCACCTAATCTACCTACCTAAGTGAATGGTAAAATAAATCGACGAACCCCCTTCTGTACCTAAACCACATCCAACCTCAGGTTGGCAGGCCCCGAGGGTGCACTCTGGAGTTTAGCGTATGTAGGTAGTATGGAAGTCAAAAAATGGACAGAAAGTCATTAGTTTCGAAGAAAGCCATTTAGTCTCTGACTAGGTTTTGTTGAAACCAAAACAAACTCCTCATTCAAAGCTTTTCCTCGCTTCTCAACCGCCCCCCCTTTCCCGCCGCGCCCTTACTCTCGCCAACCAGACAACACTGTTAGTCACTCATCTTTGCATTATTCTTCGCAGCAATCTCAGCCGTAATTTTCAATGCCCGCGGTGCGTCATCCTTGGGCATCCACAGCTCGACGAACTGCAGCCCGCCAGCCTCGTTGAACTCCTTGTCCGTCAACAACTTTTCCAACTCATCTTTGGTCTTGATGACAAACTTGCGGACCTGCTTGTCCGATCCGCCAAACACAGTCGGCACGTCAGTGTACTGCCAGCGGACGACGTCGTTGTACTCGGCCTCCATGCCGTGGATGTAGCGCTCAATGGTAAACCCCTCGTTGTAGATGAGGAAGCTACTCGTAGTTAGTGGTTAGCATTCTAACCGTTCTTGTAGGAAGGTTGTAGACTTACATGGTAACTTTGAGGTTATGCCGCATCATGGTCGACACCTCTTGCGCGGTAAGTTGGAACGAGCCGTCGCCGACAAACAAAATGGTTCGCCGGTCGGTGCCCATATCTTTCGCCGCCAGTGCGGCGCCCTGGGCGGCACCAACTGACCATCCGATGCTGCCCCAAAGGATCTGTGTGACGCCAGTGACGCCCCGTGGGTACTTGGTCTCCCAGATGCCAAAGTTGGAAGTGCCTGTCTCGGTCACCACGATGTCGTCCTCCTTTAGGTACTCCCCAACGCGGGGCCAGAAGAACGCCTGGGTAATGGTCTCGGAACTGTCCCTGTTCTTGGTCACCTCGTTAGCCACATCGGGCGAGGATGGCCGACACAACTTGGTCAGGTCGACCCTCTCGTTTACTTTGCGTAGCACGCCGCGCATAGCCACGCCGGGGTACTCGGAGTAGCGCACGGTGCAGTGGGTTGAGTGGAAGTCGATCGTGTTGAGTTGCGACGTCCGGTATGAGAATCCCGCCGTGTTGAAGTCGCTCTTGAGTGCGCCGATAGAGAGCACCAAGTCCGCAGACTCAACTCGCTCAGCCACAGCGGGCTGCGAGCCCGTGCCTGCGTACACGCCGCCGTACGAGGGGTGATTCTCGTTGATGGCGCCCTTGCCCATGGGCGTTACAAACACCGGGAGCTGGGTTTTTTCCACAAGGTCATGTACCTCCTCAAGCACCCTGTGACGGATCGCACATGCATCAACTAGAATAACGGGCGACTTGGCGGCGTGGAGGTACTTGAGAACCACGTCCACGACGTAGTCTTCACGCTCTGGATCGTTCTCGGGTTCGGCGAGGTCAATGGGTGTGTCGAGACGAGCGCCCTCGACCTTCTTCTCGGCCATGTCAGTCGGCAGCATAATGTACACTGGCCGGCTGCGGATCCAGCACTCTCGCAGGGCGTGGTCGATTTGGTCGGGGATCTCGGCCGGCTTGTTCAGGCGAGCCATGTCGCACGAAATCTGGGAGCTCATGTTGGCGAAGACATTGAAGTCACCATTGCCGAGTGTGTGGTGCAGCAGCATGCCATTGCGCTGTGAGATGGTGGATGGACAGCCGACAATGTGTACGACGGGAACGTGTTCCGAGAAGGCGCCGGCAATGCCGTTGATGGCCGATAGCTCCCCTACGCCAAAGGTGGTAAGGATGGCCGAGATGCCCTTGGTGCGAGCATATCCATCGGCGGCATACGCTGTATTTGGTGAGCTCGGCATCCGCTAACGCTCCTCCCAATAAGACGTTGCTTACCTGCGTTGAGCTCATTCACGCTACCCACCCAGCGCAACCCGGCCTTGGGGATGTAGTCTAGGGCTACCAGGTTGAAGTCTCCCGGGAGGCCGTGGACGGAGCGGATCCCAATTTCATGGAGCCTCTTGAAAAGGTACTCGGTGATAGCAATGGGCTTTTTAAGGCCCTGTTCCCTGATGTCTGTCATGTTCGCGGGTGGTATCGATTAAGCACGATGGATGAACAGCGGGCTCAACAGCGGAGGTGGGTTGTCGATTGGAGAGGAGAGATGCCAAATCACCTAAGGGTTCGGGATACCTTGAAGAAACAACGACAGCCCGGAGAGCCCAGTAGCTTTATCACTACAAAAGCTCGCGATCAAATGCGCTTCTGCCCTGGAAGCGGCATTGCCCGGGCATTATCAGCGGGGCTCATGTGTGACGCAAGTCTACATCAGGCCACTGGTAGTGTACCTAGGTAGTCTGGACCCTGTGGCCATAACCGGCGGCGAATTGGCCACGGGTGGAAATCGGAAGTGCAATTGCCCTGCATAGTTGGTGGCTCGATGCGGTTCGTTGACCCGCCTGTGATGTAATCTCCTCGGCCGTTCCAGCCAGCTCCCCCACCACCGGAGCCAGCCGGTGTGTTAAAATGGAACCGGCCCTGGTGCCAAGACCCCACCGTGGGTGACCACCATGCCACTCTCACAACCTCACAACACGAGCATCTCTTAAGATCAGGCTTTATGTCGCCGTGGTTTGTACGACCTTAGAAATAAGCCAGGTCTAGATTGTTTTCTATTCCCGTCGCTATGCTCAAATGATTGAGAGGAGATGATAAGCCCGAACGCCATGATTAATAGAGAAGAGGGAGAATGCCTCAACATACCACGCCAACGCCGTGTAATTCAACCCCCACCTCCCAAGATCACCTGTAAGTTTGTACAATTCCGATCTGAAATACCCCAACAATGTTGCCCTTCTCAACCCTTAGTCGCAACTCCCATCCTTCCAGCCGGTCCTCCACCTCTCCTCCCACTTCCTACAGTCAAATGTAGGCTTTCCTAGCTTCCGGTTCACTTCGTTGTGCGCCTCGCATAGCCAGTTCCCAAATTCATCTCTGCTCCCCGCTCTGACTTCCCGCTTCTGCATGTACGCCTGAAAATCTTCGGCGCACACCCAGCACGGGTAGAGCTTGGAGAACAGCCGCATGAAGCTCTTGATGTCTGATTGTTCTTTCGGAGTCGGCGTCGGCGGGTATGTGGCTGCTATCGAGTGGAGGAGGGTCCAGGTGCTGCGGCCGAGCACCTCGACGTCGGGCGGGCAGTCCTTCGCGGGCGCTGGGGCTACGGCTTTGAGGGCGGATTTGCTTTGGGTGGTAAAGGATGCGAAGGAATTGCAGGCGCGGCAGCTAGAGTGAAAGGGACGTTGGGGACGTTGTCAGTGAAAGCTCAACACGCAAGTTCTGGCTACGACTCACGGTTTCCCGTCCTTGCCGAGGATCACGCCTTTAGGGTGCTTTGGCGGCGGCGCCTCAGCAGTGGTACCTGCAGTAGCGCCAACCGTACCTGGCGCATTGGCAGTTTGTGGTTCTGTGCTGTCCGCTGCCATCTGAACGCGCTGGGATGCCCCGGAAACTGGTAGGTCTAGCTAAACGTTAATGCGACAAGAAGGTCCTCGCAATGGTGAGAGCCTCCTTGGAACGGCGATGCCGGCAGGCAAACTCAATTGTCCTTTCGCGGCTGCTTGGAAATCAGACGAACAGGGATGTCATCCATGAGAGAAGAAGCTTATCGATAACAAACAGACCAGAAAGAAGTAAACCTAATCGGTGCTTGTCGCTCCCTGCGGGGCATTACTCGTCCCCCTTCACAACACCACACTCTTATCCAATTGACCTCTGGACGAACAATGTCGCAAAAAACGCCTGTCCTCCTCCTCAAAACCAAGTCCGTTCCTGGAGATGCCTACGAGGAGTTGTTTTCCGCCCCTCCCGATGGCGTCAGCTACGAGCCGTCGTTCGTCCCCGTGCTCAAGCACCAGTTCGGCAACGATGGAATGGCCAACGTGCGAAGTGTTCTACAAAGTAGGGCCATAAGCACAGAAGAGGGCAGCGCGTATGGCGGCCTCATATTCACGTCCCAGCGCGCAGTCGAGGCCTTTACGAAACTTGTCGAGGAAAGGCGAGGTGAGACTCTAGCCTCGGCGGAGTGGGATAAAATAACTAAGGTGAGCAAATCGCAGGTGAAGATGGCTGGCCTCATCTCCAGGACGTGCCCGTCTACAGCGTTGGACCAGCAACCACGCGGGCCTTGAAAGCTGTACCTCAGGTACCTCCCCTACAGGTCTTTGGCGAACACACGGGGATTGGGGACAGACTGGCCCCCTTCATTCTCGAACATTACGGGGAGTGGTACAAGGACCGCGAGTCTAAACCTCCGTTGCTGTTTCTCGTGGGTGAGAAACGGCGGGACATTATCCCCAAGGTGCTAACTGCGGCGGGATGGCGGGTGGACGAAGTGGTCGTCTACGGCACCGGCGAATTGGAGTCTTTTCGGGAGGATTTTAGGCTGCGTCTCGCGGACACGGCAGACCGACCAAGGAGATGGGTGGTCGTGTTTTCACCCAGCGGCTGTGATAGCATGCTGAGTGCCATGGGCCTCCTCGACGAGAGTACGGGCAAGGCCCGGCCCAAGCAGCCTGACCGAAACACACTGATTGCTACGATTGGGCCTACCACCCGCGATCACCTGATTCATGAATTCGGGTACGAACCCGAAGTTTGTGCCGAACAGCCCACCCCAGAGGGCGTGTGGCAGGGCATTGCCCGCTATAGCAAGAGCTTAGAATAGGAAGAGTCTAGAACGCTTGACGGCGCTAATGGCATGAAAAGCATCCAGCACGTGAGACTCTAAAAATGCTACCCAGTCCTTGGCTTCGTTGGTCGGGATTCTCCTGGGGGCGGAAGAAGTGCGTTGTGGTTGTCTCAGCTAACGGTTCGCCAATGGGTTCCCCGCAAGAGCCCAGGCCCATGCAACGGCGAAGTACAGGTACCTGACATCGTCCTTCAGTTACCTAACCGTTACCTAACCGGCCGCCTGGATTGGCCCAACCCGTCGCATGCCAAGGTATCAAGGAGTATTCGTCACTTTGTGCGCTCTCTGACACAGTGCGCGCGCTATAAGGCTGACGCAACGAGCGCTCTAAGGCGAACACCAGACATGACATAGAATGGATCTCGCTCCCTGATCATCGACGTTGCTCATCAACACCATTCCCAGTTGAGCCCACGCCAATCCAACCTCTCATATACTGCATCGCCTTGATGGCCGTCAACTTGGGCCACTAATCGCCAGCATCGCTTGCTGGTTCTTGAAGTCCCCACCACACCTGGAGCTTCAGCCAAACAAGCTTCCCTAATCCGAGAGGTGCCTACGTGGACATATAAATCAGTGTACTACTGGCAAATACCTACCATGGCTTTCGACGCCCCCAACCACAACCAACCCCCCCGCACGCGCCACACCCCGGACCTCAACCTCTCGCCCGCATCTTCCCGCTCCGTCACCCCGCCAGGCACCGCTTCGCCTAGCTCATCTACCTTCCTTACCTCTTCCGTCTCCAGCCTCTGGGGCGGTTTCATGCGCCGCTTCTCGAGCGAACCCTCCCCCTCAACCCCCCACCCGCCCGGCCTGCCCCACGCACGCACATTTCAGCCCGACGGCGGAGATAAGCGGCAGCACCACGAAGATAGCCACGGCAACGGCTTGGACGGCGTATACACCCCTCCCCATACTCTCTATCCGCACCGCACCGCTTCTCCAATGGGCCTGCCACCGCTAGAGCCGCTTCAGCTGCTGGGGTTTTCAGAGGAAACACCGCAGGATGCGCGGCTCCTGACTGCGCCGGTCGCAGAGGAGATACGGATTATGGTGCCGGCCCGGCTGGGGATCGTGGACGAATGGCGGCTGGTGTACAGCCTTGAACAGGACGGTGCTAGTCTGGCGACGCTGTACGAGAAGTGCGCGCAGTATCAAGGGGTGAGGGTAGGGTTCGTCCTGTGCGTGAAGGACTGTGACGGCGGTGTAAGTGACATCCCTACTTCCAATACCCCCGCCTTGAGCCGACACTAACATAACATCTCCGCGCACCAGCTCTTCGGCGCCTACCTCTCCGACTACCCCCACCCAGCCCCCAAATACTTCGGCACAGGCGAATGCTTCCTCTGGCGCGCCTCCGTCCTCTCCCCGCTTCCCCCACCACCCTCCCTCATCGACAACGACGACACCAACGCCAACCTCCGAACAACCACCATCTCGGCCGCCCCACACAACATCAACACCAACGGCAACGGTAACAACAACAACGTAAAACCCCCCTCGCGCACCCCCACCCCACAACCGATCCGCTTCAAAGCCTTCCCCTACTCGGGCATCAACGAGTACTACATGCTCTGCGAGGCGCACTTCCTCTCGCTCGGCGCCGGCGACGGCAAGTACGGTCTCTGGCTGGACGACTCCCTGGAGCGGGGCGTCAGCTCGACGAGCCAGACGTTCGGCAACGAGCCCCTGAGCGACGAGGGCGAGAAGTTTGGCGTGCTTGGGATTGAGGTGTGGGTGATTGGGGCGTAGGGCCTTTTTTGGGGTGAGAAGGGGGGGGGTTCTGTTTTTGGGCTGGCGGGCATGGGTGGCTGCTGGGTGTGGATGCGGTTGCGGATGGGTGATGGGTTATGGGTGATGGGTAGGTGTTCTTTTCTTTGGTGATGAGGTGGTTGCAAGAGCGGTTGGTTAGGAAAGGGCTAGGGCGCGGGACTTTTGGATTGAATGACTAGATGAATGTGTCAGGGTTGGCCTGGGGTTTGGTCAGTCTTGGGGGGGACGGAGGGTGAGTGGGTGGCGTTCTGGGAATGGCTTGAGGCAATATCTCAGCTCAAAACTATTTCATTTTCCGAAATCGGATAGCACGGGGCGACGGCAGTGTTGGAGAGGTTAAGCTGGCGTTCATTACTTTGCATTTTATGATGAACAGACGGATAGTCACGACAACGAGCGCGGGGCCGCGAGTACAGAGTCAGAAGATACCCACGGAACAGTCGAGGGGTGCCAAACCTGTTAAAACAACACAGAAAAGGCATTCAAAGACAAGCATAGTTTGCAATAACTCCAATGACATTCTAGAGGAACTCGGGGCGGCTCAATGTATATAACCAGCCCTTATCCTTCCTCGGGAAATATGAGGAATAAATCCATGCAAAGAGAAGTATCACCGCTACCTGTTGACAGGGCCATTCCACCTAGCCCCAAATACTCAACATAGCAGCCAATGTGCGCCCGCCAACCCAGATCTCTATCTCCTACAAGATGCCAACCCCAAATCAAAAAAGGGAGCAAGCGAAGGCCGAACCCCATGCTTTAACCCCACTACCTCATAATCTCCTGGAAAATCAGTTGTTTCAACTGCTCCTTGCTTAGGTTATCCTTGTGCTTGTCGAAGTCGAAAAACTCCTCGGGGATGGGCGGCGCGGTCGGCTCATCATCCGGGTCGTGGTAGGGCTCAAGATAGGGGTGCTTAAGCGCCTCCTCAACTGTGATGCGTTTGACGGGGTTAAACGCGAGGAGCTTTTCTAGCAGATCAAGTGCCAAGTCGGATGTGCCGTCGAACAGGGTCCGGAAAGGCACCTTCTTCTTGAAAGGCAGCGACCGGATGTACTCGCGCGCGCGGCGAGACTTGATCCCATAATAATCCTCCATCGTCGGAGTGCCCAGAACGTCCAGAATGAGCGTAAGTTGGTGGTGGTCTATGCGCGAGTGTCAGCATTAAAAGCGAGGGTTTCGAGAGTGTGCGACACGTACAGTCCTTGCCAGGGAATAGAGGCTTTCCACTGAGCATTTCGGCCAGAATGCAGCCCACTGACCAGACGTCGATCGCCTTGGTGTATTCCTTGAAGGTCAACATGATCTCAGGAGCACGGTACCAACGGGTAGCGACATATTCCGTCATGAAGCCCGAGTTGTCCTCCTGCGACGCAGCGGACCGCGCCAGACCGAAGTCGCAGACCTTCAGGTCGCAATTGGCATTGAGAAGCAAGTTGGACGGCTTCAAGTCCCGATGGAGCACGTTCGCCGAGTGCATCGCCTTGAGGGCGCGCAGTGTCTGGTAGATGAAGTATTGGCAATGGTCATCGGACAGTTCTTGGGTGCGGATGACGCGATGCATGTCGGTTTCCATGAGTTCCTAGTATCTTGGTATCAGTAACCAGAAAAACATACATGATACGACGACAAGTCCTACCTGGATTAGGTAAACCTCGTTGAAGGTTTCGTAGCTCCGCGGCTTCTGGATGTCGAGGATGGAGATAATATTCTCGTGGTTGAAGTAGCGCAGTAGCTTCATCTCGCGTAGTGTCCGCAAGCAGAACATTGAATGATCGAAGGGTGTAATCTTCTTGATAGCGACCTTCTGCCCTGAGGGCTTGTGGACAGCAGAACTGGTCGGCGATGTCAGATCTTGGATGCGCAAGCAGCGATCACCCGAATGGACTCACCACACGACTCCATAGGCGCCCTCGCCGACGACATCTTGGATGTCATACTGCTCGCTGACGTTGAATGAGATCTTTCGCGCGCCCCCGCGGTTCTGTGCGTTACTCATGGTTGCTGGAATGTCGCCGAGCTCGCGCGAACTGGTTTGATGCCGTCGAACTTCTGAGACCAATGCCGACTGAGGTGGCTTCTTCCAATTAATTACCCTCGCTCCGTAGATTCGCAAGCTGACTAGATCAGGAAGCGGCGTCCCAGGTTGGGTGTGTCGCCGGATAAGGGTCGTCGAGGTGATGGGCCGACCCAACTTATTATGTTTTCCCTTTGTGATCGCAGCACCGAGCTCGAATTCTACTGTATAAATCGCGAGTATAGGCCTCGTGAGCTATTCGTAGTTCTTTGATCGACGAAAATGCGCCGCCGTGTGGATTGAGGGTCGGGTCGGGGCCTTTGTCTGTTACAATGCAATGACCGCAAGTTAGCGACAAAAACTACCAACTAGGAGCAGTAACAACATGTGGCAGGTCATCAGGGGTGAACTATAGTCGGCGACGATAACCGCTGGACGGATGTCATGGGAGGCGGGGCGTGCGAGCAAGACAAGCCATGGGAAGATGGCGATCAGGCGCCAATCGATGTCGTGCAAGACTCCAGGGGCCGATGCGCTTCTCGAAGCTCCAATCGAACATACCACAAGGGAGATACCCAAGTAAACATGCTCGAAACCGCCGGGTGGTGGGATGGGATGACGGGAACTGGCGATCAAACGCTTCGTGTGTATTTCTCGGCATTCCCATGCAAGTACCTCTCCTCGACTGGGCAGGCCGCATTGCGCTGGGAGAGGCCGCACACAGGATATCTTGTACTGGTTGAACCCAAAGCGCTCATTTTCCTGGTAGCACGAAACCCAAGGAAATAGAAGTTGCTTGCTGTGCGTCCTTGGATCGTGTTGCAGGCGCTCCGAGGAGGGGTCCTTGGCGAAAGAGGAGGGGCAGGGCGACGACTTGGGACGGATGCTCACAAACAAACATTCGCGTACGTACCTGAGGAGGCTGTCTGTGAGGGGAGCTCCGGGAAACAAACTGCTAGTGAGAGATACTATACAGTTGTCGGAGGCTAAAGGTGTATTTGCGACGAACGGGGCGAGGGACTGATTCCGCTTGGAGAGGTAGGGAGTAGGTTGCCCCGCTTCTGGGCTGAACTGGCCGTGACGGTACTCAGAAAAAGAGCGGACGACCTGAGGGCAAGCTTGCTACGTTTACGTCGATTGAAGACGCAAATCAAGAGCTTCCCACGGAGGCGGCACCAGGATCTCGAAATGGATAGCAAGCAGAGAAATCTAAAGCCAGTCGACGGGGGAGAGGGGAGGTCGTGTTGTAGAAGAATGAGGGCGAGTTTGGCGGCCCATCCTGGATCTGGCCCTCTCACTGGCGGGGGGATGGAGTAACAAAAGGCAGGGGTTGTGTGGGTCAGCCAGGATGTTGCTGTTGGGCACTGTCACCCCCTGGCCTGGCCATCCACAATCGTCCATGGTGGGCAAGTCTGAAGCCCAGGCCTCCTCACCCAGGTCCCGATTGGGGCTTGCTCTCACCACCACCCATCCTTGGGGTCATTCAAAACGCGAGGTTACGGTCGGAGGTCGTCAGACTCCGCTCTCAATGATCTTTGAACGGGTGTTTGCGGGTCTCTGCCTTTTGAATGTTGTCTTTCGACCTTGATTGGGATCCTCTTCGAGACGAGGCCAGGTGGGAACCTTGACATCGGTACGTGCCTGCCTTACTCAAGAACCAACAGGCTCCGGAGTGATTGGGCGACTCCTCCCCTCCAGACACAGTCGAGCGCTCGGAATAGAACCAGTGTGATTCGGATTCAGAAAAGATCCCATCCCCCTATCTCCGGCGACAGGTTGGTTTTACTAGGCGCTTAAACAATCAAACCGAGAGACATCCCGTGATGTCGATTCCAAAGTTGCAACGTTTGGGTCATCTGGAAGAAGCCACCCGCAATCTCGAAGAATCCCACCTCGATGGTTTGCTCAGCACCCCCCGCATGCAGCGCGCCGACCGCTTGCTGCAAAGCAAGTAGGGAGTTAAATTCCGTCACTCCGTCACTGTCCCATCTTCACACCGATCACACTGCATCAACCCAAATTCGTCCCACGGTCCACCAAGCACCTCCCACACAGGAATCAGATACCTAAGAGGGCAGACCTGCATAATACATCCCCCAAACGGCCCAACGAGCATTCAAATTAGGCGCCGGAGCAGGCAGGCGACAGCTCCCCTTCTCCCCCCCCTCTTCCACACCATTGCCCTGGCCGAACTCTGGCGCGGCACAAGCGGGACCCACTTTCTCATCTTCCCTTCTCGGCGCCTGTCTCAAACCTGAAATCGCCAATGAAATGGCGGGCGGGCCTCCTGTTTCATGGCCTCATGGGCCCCCATCGCCAGGACGGCCGCCCACTTGAGGCCGGCAGCCAGCTTGCGGAAACAACGGGATGGAGCGCCCTAGGGAAACCAGAAACACGCACACAGACCCCATCGGGGCTGGTTTCACAGGGGCCAATGACAGGTTGCTGAGCTGAGGTTTTGGCGCCCCTGTGCCCGTGGCAGTGGCAGTGCACCTTCGCGCGCCGCGCTTGTTCAATCTGTTCGAGACGTCCAGCAGCCCGGGTTCCCAGCTTCCCGTTGGGGTCTTGCGTCGGATGTCGAGAAGCACGTTGGCACGCACACGCGCACACACTCACAGACTGCATGCGAAGAGCCGCACCAGCGCGCGCAGCGAACCCCCTGATGGGAGGCCAGAAAGGCGACCGGGTGGGTCCTCCTGCGTTGCTATTCTGGGCACTCAAAAGAAACGACCACCATGGCCGACAGACCTGAAAAACGGCCGCGGTCCTCTCACCAGGCTGCATAACCCCATTTACGATCCTCATGACGTAGACCTCACTGGCCGACTCATCGCCGCACGGGGAGCGCCGACGAAATAACATGGCAGGCAGCACCTCAGGTTGCGGACAAGTGCGCTGTCGCGTAATAAACTGAGATGGTTACAGAGAGCGAGGGTTGGGGGGGATGCTGGGCGTGATCAAGACCGGGGAATAACACCGGAGAATAACACCGGAGAGTACTCAAGGCAAAACTGAGGTTAGTAACTCGGAAGCAGTGATGACAAATATTGCGATTCTTCTTTTCCTGGACCCTTGATCCGTAATTCTATTTATTCACTGCAAGCAATACCCATGGGTTGAAACACAGAAACACTTCCCATGGGCTACCACACAAGTTTTCATTCTTCATTATTGAACAACCTGTTCAAGCTATCAGCACCATGCCCACTTCAGGAGAAACCAGCAGCCCCCCCATCAAGTACTGACCTTCTCCCTCAGCGTCCCCATCCACTGTTGGTAGCTCATCCCCTGGTCCGCCCGGTCCTCCACCAGGAGCGTCTGGGCCCACAGCTTCAAGCTCGGCTCGCCGTCCTCGCGAACAATGTACAGGTGCGGGACGATGATGCTCCCGACACCCTTTGCCTTGTGGTCGCGGCTCTTCAGCGCGACGGCACGCACGCGCTCGTTGAAGTCGTTATCCAGTTCCGGCAGCGCGCCCTTGCCGACGCGCAGCTGCGCCCGGTCGGTCACGCCGAACACGTCGACGAGCAGCTGCGGGACGGCGTCGCGGCCGACCCACAGGAACTGCGTCTGCCCGTCGTCGATGAGGTAGAGGCCGAAGGGCACGAACCGCTCCGACGAAAGGTTGAGCGGCGGCGGTAGCACGATCTGGCTTGTCTCCGGGTCGGGATAGCCCGCGTTGTCGGGCATGTCGTGCAACGAGTACAGCCGGGGGTAGATGTATTGCATCAGGAGCGGGAGGGGGAGGGTCGACAGCATGCAGAGGGCTGCAGATCGTAGATCCGACGGGATCTGCGCCGATTTCCTCAGTCCAACATGCTTGATTAAGCCCAGGAACAAGGCTGGTAGGCCCCGTAAGTTGGATGGGAACTGGAGCCCGCCGCCCATGCTGCCGCCAGCCAACTCCTTCCTGAAGGTCTGCAGGAGCTCGGTAACCTTGCTCTGTAGCATATCCCTAGCAGAGTCGAGGCCGCTGCCGAGCGCTTTTTCCACGGCCTTGTGACTGTAGTACGTGGTAATGGCGCATTGGTCGGCGGAAGCGTAGACATCGGCAAGGTTGGTTGTTGTCGGCAGAGCGAGCGTCATCACTCGGATGCGGCGCTCACCGTTGCACGTCGTGTGCAGAACCGCCGTTTGCAAGCAGACGACGTTCTTGGTCAAGTTCTCGTCGATGGCCACCTCGACCACGTAGCACTGGTCGCGAGGGAAGGCAGGGAACGCACACAGGTCGGAGCTCCTGTTAAAGAAATTTCCGTAGAATGTGCTCATGCGCAGACCGGTGGTCGCCCGAACGCGAAGAACCGCCTCCAAACCGATCTCGGAGGAGAGGAAATCGCTGAATTCGGAGGCAAACTTGATCGCGTCCTCTGGGCGACCCGCGTTCCATCCTGGGTAGAACCATGTCTGACCGCCCGTGTACCTCGGAAGGTTGCTGAGCGATGCCACGTCCTGATACTGAGACGAGAAGAGGAACATGTCGATTGAAACCTGATTTTTGGAGCATTCGACGGCGAAACTCTTGTAGAAACTGTTCGCAGTCTGGAGCAAGCCGTTTTCCTTGGAGGTGCCCAACAGCTTCTTGTCTTCCCGCATCTCGAGCTTGCCATAGCCCACGTTGGGGAGTGAGGCGCTGAGGACCACGATCTTGCCACCGAGGGGTGAGATCAGCTTATGCCCAGCCCTAAGGGCAGATCCCATGCAGGACCCATTGTTTTGGTTGTTGGCGAACATTTCGGGGAGCTTAGTGAGGAAGTTCTCGATACTATTCCGGCACTCGGTCAGGGGGACCAACAGCTCCTGGGGAACCGGGAGGAACGGCTCGTCCAAGTCGCTCACTACGAGCATGCTCGTCTCGCCGTTCTCATCCGAGTCCTTGGGCACTGAGAAGTAGTGTAAGCTGGAATCCACAGCGATGAACCCGAGTCTAGTGCGCCGATCGGCATTGGGGATCCTATTCAGGCTGTCGAGAATGGTACGGGCGCTAGTGGCAAGGAGACCGGTCGATACAGCAGCATAGCTGACATCAAACAAGAAGAGATAGACCAGCGGCTGCGGGGGGCGGACCATGTATTCCTGCGGGGCCACGAATTCGACGACGGCGTGGTTCAGCTCGTGCCGCTGCCACCGATCAACGGTCTTTTGAGCCGCGGCGTCCCAGTCAAATGCCTGAGGCACGTCGTTGGTGAGGTTACACATGTTGCAGCGCCATCGGTGGCCATGGTCCAGGAAGGTAACAAATGGGTTGATGTAAGACCTGCACCTCCGGCAACGTGAGATGACCTGATCCTGGACAACGGGAACAGGGTCGTCCAAATCGTGAAGAGCGGCGTAAGGCTGAATGATGAGCGCCAGCGGTAGCTTGCTTTTCTTGAGCAACGAGTGCGTCGTGGGGATAGCGTTCACGGTCGATCGCACATATTTTGGGAGGCAGTTCGCATCTGGGGAAGGGGTGACGCTGGACTACTCAAAGGGTTAGCATCCTTAGTAACGTCACAAATCTCGCTCGACCTGCTCAACGTACATTCGGCGGCAAGATGATAGGCGGCGGAGGGAGGTCCAACTCGGAGACATTGAAGGGCTGGTTGAGGAGATCGGTCGGGTAGAGCTGGTTGAGGGGGCCGACTCTCCCCTGGGCCGGAACTTGCTGCGGTTGCTGGTGCGCTCCCGGTCCAAGATTCATGGCCGACATGCCGGAGGCCAAACCGGCAACGTCACCCGGGACCGGAGGAGCGCCGGCCGAGGGGTAATACGGTTCCGGGGCCTGATATCCCACGGCAGGTGCCGGCGCAGGCATCCCATACGGTTGTTGCGGTTGGGCGCCGTAGGCAGCAGGTTGGGCGCCATAAGTAGCGGGCTGGGCCTCTGGTTGCGGATAGCCTCCATAGCCCGGGGCCGGAGCTCCAAACTGGCCCCCCCCTTGTACCTGACCACCTACTGCAGCATTGCCCCCCGCGGCGACATCGAAGGCGCCGGCAGCATATGCGCGCTTCTTTTTTTTGCCATGGTCGGCAGCATGAGGTGCGCCAGCAGCCGGGGGCGGGGCATCGGCCGGGTTCGCATAACCTTGGTCGGGATACGGGGGTTGTTCGGTGGGTTGTTGAGGCGGAAACTGGCCGTAGCCGTCGTGGGGGGCGGACATGGTGAGCTCGGCAGTGCGACGCTGCTGCAGCGCGTGTCCGTGACGAGACTGGAAGCGGGCAATGCAGCGTCAACAACACCAAAAGGGTGGCCGAAGCGTTGGCGTGGTATAAATTACTTGCGTGGTTGCAGGTCCGTGTGTGCGGTCTTGGAGGCGGAGAGCTGGCAGGAAGGATGAATGGCGTCGGTGGCAGCCCGGTGGCGGACTGTGGAGCAAGCTCTGGATTGGCGCGAGTTACAGGGTTGGAGCTGCTGCCGTGGCCTTAACCAGTTTTGGTAGAGGGGCTGCGGGATGACAGACTGGCCTGATCAGCGCAGCCTTTCAGCGCTCAAGCGGACCGCAGGATACTATCAGAATGGTCTTGTCTCGCACTGTGGCGCTCAAGCCGTGGCTGCTTGTGGATGCCAAGAGAAGACAATCGTTGGCGAAGACCGCTAAGAACTCGATTCGAGAATGCCTCGGTAAATGCATACTAATACAATAATTACGTGTAACGAACAGGTAAGCAAATCGAGAGGTCGCCCGTGTAACATACCACAATGCCTTGGTATTTTTGATCAGCCAAGGACGGGAAAGTGGAGCATCACCACCGAGGAGATGGCATCAGGCCGATCACTGGCTGCAGCGATGCGTGGGCTTCCCGGCTTCCCTGCAGCCCAGCACCCGGCGCTCAGCAACCTGGAACAAAAACTGACTGCATCAAGCGGCAGTCGGCGGCAGTGCCTCTTGGCTGCAATTAAAGACGGCACGGCATTCGGAATACCGGCTGTCTCGAAGGTGGTCTCGAATATTGATTCTTAGATATAAAACCTGGATTGAGGCTGAAGCTTCGAGAACGTGCGTGTTTTCTGCCGCTGGCCAACACGGCGACGACGTAGGTTTTGCCGCAATATCGCGTCCCTCAGAACTTGCTGCGACCCGATTGAAGCCCCCTCAGGTGGTTTCGGAGAGGCAGCCCACACCGGGCCAACTTCCTTGCTACGCAGTAATGTTGCGCCGGCTTTGGATACCCCCAAGTGCAACATAAAACTTAAGTCTAATCCCGGGGCTCACGATTATCCCAAACCATCTCGATTTGAAACCCGTTGCGCTCGCCTTCCCTCACTTATTATCAACGCTGCTTGGGCTCCGAGTCGCGTCACCTTCGTCTTCCTCTTGATCATCATGGCTTGGGGAAAGCAAAAGTTGCAGACCCCGCCGTCGACAATCAGGTCAGCCTCGCCTCGTCTAACTGAATTGCTTCCTCCCCGCTTTTGGAAATGGCCTAACACCAGTCTTAGGCAACTTCTACCCCTCATCATCACCATCGTCGTCCTGAGTGTGGTGGCTTGGGTCTGCTACCAGATCTACCTATCCTTCGGCAAGATCAAGACACAGGCTCGCAAGCAGATGGGCGAGAACGTGTCCTTCACGAAAGACGGTATGCGAGTCAAAGTCCACGGCATTGGGGCTGAATCGTACCTGGACAAGACCCAGAGCTGGGTCGTGAAGGCATGGGAATTGGGTTCTGGCTCGAGTCCTAATGAGAATGACGAGGCTGCAAGGCGGAAGAGGTACCCCGAAACATGCCTCCTTGTATTTTGACGCCACTAACATTATGAACAGGAATGTCTTGACGAAGCCGAAGCCGGAGGAGGGCCATCACTAACCAGACAACCCAGTGACCGAGGCAGAAAAGTCGAGGCAAATACAGACATTTCGGGGGACGCCAGCCGTTAACGCAGATATAAGCCCTGCTCCGCGTGGAGTTAACTCGACGTCCATGATTCCCGCGGCCCAGCGGAAGCCAGCGGGGAAAAGGCTGCTCGCGCTCGTATATATTCGAGTTCATGGTTTTAATGCTCGTTAACGACGATATAATAATTCAAATTACAACATCGTAGGATTCCACATATTTACAGAGCCCAGAACTAGGGTATTCAACACCAGACAAAAACCCTACAACCAACCCACTTGCGCCGAGAAAAATAGAACCATAGGTATCTTAATGCCACGTAGAAACCTGCTTCTCCATGGCTAGTCGTGATCTCGACCCGGGCGCACTTGTTGGACCGCCCTCGCTCTGGGGGGATTGTGGTGGCTCTTGGCTGGGCGCATACCCCTTCGGGAGCGGATACGCCTGGCGGCCCGACGATATCAACTTCTCAAAATCGTGTGCCATGGGGTACGGTTTGGCAAGCAGACCATCAGAGCGAATGAGCAGTGACGGGACACGCACATTGAGCTGACCCCTCCGTTAGCGAAAGATGACCATTGATAGGGGCTGGGGAATACTCACCAGTGATAATATATGCGCATACTTGATCCCCAGCTCGTCGCCGATGTGTTTGAGCCTGCCCCTGATGTATGCTCGTTCTAGAAAAATCTCGTCAGCTTTTCTTCCAACCCGGTTTAGGAGAGGTACGTACGGGCATCGGTCGTATAGTCTTGGGTTAGCATACAGGCCAGGGGCCAGGTTAGAAAATACCCAGCCAGCCCTTTTATCCCAAAGTTGTCGCCATAGGCAAAACCCGCTGATCCATCCTCTGGTAACAAATCTTTCCTCTTGGTGTGCCACCCCAAGTAATAAGGCACCGAGGCTAGGATGTCTGAGATGGTGTCCACGCATACTCTTGCTGCGGTGGCATACTCGGGTGTCGTTCGGTAGTCCACGGGCGAGCAGACCCAAGCGGCACATCGGACTATGATAGACATAAGGACAAGCCTCGTCGTCCGCGCCTGGTTCCACACTCCCGCCACCCAGAAGTCGGTATATGCATCTACCCGTCCCGGGAACACTTCCGCCCTGTAGTAGTCGTTGCCGCCGGGAACGGCGAGGCTCTGGAGCTGCCAGCATAATGTCCTGAATTGCCATGCATCTGGCACCGAGTCCATCCATACCGCAACCTGCTCGTCTAGACTTTGCGCACGGCGCATCAAGTCCTCAACAAGCTTGATATTGTGTGGAGTGCGGGTGACACCGGTCATAAGGCGGGTTATATCAGCACGCAACTCGCCGGTCAGGAGGCTGAGCCGTTGGCATTCGGAGGCGGTCGAGTCGGAGACAGCATCCTGCAACCACCAGTCCGTGCCCATGGGTGGAGGGTTGCCAGTAGCAAGGGTGTGGATGACCTGGTAGGTAGGTTAGATCGATCGAATCCCTCGAGTTAAATCGCGGCTCCAACTTACAAGCTGCGTTCTTACAGCAATAAACAACTGCACACCGATCACGGTCTTCAGCTGGCTCCGCCCACGGGCCTTGACAAGCTGCAACGCGCCCTCGATGTGTGATCCCCAGGCCATGTTGCCCAGCTGCTTGGCCGTAATATTCTGTTCTTTCATCAGCCACCCTTTCCCCTCTCCCACACCCAAATAGCCCTGCCATCAACTCAACAACCGAAAAAAAAAAGACTCACCTCAAACATGCCCAACAACAAAACGGCCGCCAGCACCCCATCCCCCTTCCACCTCTCCGGATCCACCAACGCCGCCTGCGTCGCCCTCAACGCCTTGCTATACTCAGCAAACGCCTTCCCCAGCACCCCCGTGCGCTGCCCACCCGCCGCCGCCCCTCCCAGCCCCGGCATCCCCCCACCCAAAGCAGACCCCATCTTGGCCAGCGGCGGCGGCGCGTTGGAGGCGACCGACGACGACGTGCGGTTGCCCAGCGACGCCAGGGCGCACGCGTTGAAGGCATGCAGCAGGTGCGCCTCGCTGCTGTTGCCGCTGCCGGTCCCGGAGAGGGCGGTCGCCCGGTCGAGCAGCGGGACGAGGTATTCCATGAAGCCGCGCGAGCCGTCGTGCCGCGGGGCCAGCACGAAGTTGGCGACGAAGTGGCACGGCGCGAGGGACTCCGGGGCGATGTGGATGGGGGTCGGGGAGAGGGCTCGGGCTCGGGCTTGGTCGAAGATGAGGACTTGTTCTTGGCGCTGTCGGGAGTGGTGCGGTTGGAAGCGGATGGCCCTGGTGGCGGTTGTGAATGGGGGTGGGGGTGTGGTGGGAGATGTGGAGGAGGAGGCGAAGGAAGAGGATGAGGATGATGATGAAGAGGCGGAGGAAGAGGAAGAGGCCGTGGCTTTGGACTTCTTGCCGGTATTGTTAGCGCTGCCCCGTCTTGGGTTGCCGATTTTCAGGGCTCGACGCTTTGCGGCGAGGTTCTCGTTGCGGAGGACGAGGTCGAATGCGTCTTTGTAGCCGGGGCATTCACGCCGTGCTTTGGCACATTGGTTGCATGTCGGTTTTGTTTCGTCACACTACGGAATGTCGTCAATATCTCCTACTTGTGGGTAGTCGAGCGTCCTTCGCTGATCGGCCTACCTTGATACGCCGGGTCCGGCACATCTGACAGCCCTTGGAGGGCTTCCCGCAATACACCATGGTTGGGTTTGCGGAAGAGAGCAAGGAACAAGTCTGGGTGAAGTTAGGTGCCGGTGGGGTACACAGCTAGGGGTATATAGCTCTGAATCCTGAGCGTCAGATGCTATGGGGCATCATAGACTTGTCTACGTCTTGACTCCGAGAATTGTCCCCGACTTTGCTGCAACCTGTGGAGCCGGCCTGGGGAGCATCTACCGGCATGAAACGTATTTGGGACTTGGCGAGAGGTGTACCGTACAGCTTGGTAACGCTTCTTGGGTTGACAGGGAAAACGAAAGAAGCCGAGGTTGAGAGACCAAGGCAAACTGAAGAGTGTGGCAGCCTCGGGGCGGTGGGAGCCGATGTCAATCTGAGCCGTTGTGAGAGGTTGCTTTTGTTCACCCCTTTCCCCTTTTTACCCTTTCCCCTTTTTACCCTTTCCCCCCTTTTCTAACTTTAACTGTAAGGAGGAGATGGTATCACGGCGTGAAGTGACCCAAATATTCGAAAACAAGAGGTTCAATGAACCACAAATACGCCGCTGTTCACCCAGAGTTTGACAACGAGCCAAGCAAGATCCGGCATCGAGCCAGGCCAAGAGCTGGCGCCCCTCCACTTCCCCAAAGAGCTTGGCGCGAATACCCATGCAGCGCTAGCCTGGTGTTTTGGGAATGAGGGGCCAGGGGGTGTGCAAGGTACCCAGGGGGCTCGCCACCATGATAGGCCTCGGCAACTACACAGTACATACTTGGGAGTCTGAGCCAGTAAAGCAATAGATTTGCGTCCCGCGCCCGAGGTATCAAACCTGTAAAAAGAAAGAGCCTCAGCAGTTTCAAGTTCGCCAGGGACAACAACAGTCGACCGGGGTGTAGTTCGGACACGTAGCACCCGAAACACATCACGAAGCAGCACCGCCACCCCGTTTGGGAGGTTTAGAACACCCACTGATCATAGTTATTTCAGAACTGAATCTTTACTCATCTACTCAAAGGTATCAACATGTCTGGCTCAAGACATTGCCGCAATGCTACCCTCCTCACCCCCCGCCCCCAAGTAAAACAGACTGCCAGATGTCCCTCGTGAGCGGCCCCCATCTGCGACACCGCGAGGTAGAAGCTGATGTGAAGTCGCATTATTGTACAAGTACCCCCAACACCCCGCCCCAAATGCATCCGAGGACCCCAAGCGGTGCAGATCCTCCCGTCTTCCTCCATCTAACTGTCTTCCTCCGTCTAGCTGGTTTCGTTAAACATGCTGGCCACGCCATCCAAGTCGGGAGTCTTGTTGCGCCCCGTCGAGCCATCCACGCCTCCCGCCCCGCCTGTTCCCGAGCCCCCGTTCGGCGTCATGAATTCCTGGGCCATCTTGCTGCGGGTAGACTTCTTGCTACCGCGTGAGGAACCCGGCCTTACCCCAAGGCTCTTGGTAAGCTTCCCCATCTCCGAGATGCTGACCCCCTTCAAGTCCTCGAGAAGTTCAAGAACAAGTGCACGTTGCTGGCGAGACTGTACCCCCGGCTGGGAAACATGCTGGATCGTCCTGTCAACATCTTCTGGTTTGATATTCGGCAATGAGACAAGTATGTTCCGCGGCGTCGGTGTCAGAGATGAGTAGTAGGCCAAGATATAAGCGATCAGCGCGCCCAAGTCCCTTTGGGAATCGACGAAGTAGGGGTCGTGCAGCGAAGAAATGGCCGCCTTCATCACCTCTGTAGAGATGTACTCGCGAATTTCCCTCGCAGTTTCTTCTGGGATCGGGAAATCCTCAAGGGGTGCTGTGTGGCCCGGGTCCTTCGCGGTTTTTGCGAGCTCTGAAGGGCTAAATTCCGGCACGATCGAGCGGAAGACACGCAGCACAACGCCGCAGCATCTACCATCGTGCATACGAATCGCGTGACTGCAGAAGACCAGAAGGGGAACCGCAATGGACGGGTTCATTAGGCAAAATTTGCGGAGCGGGGGATACTTCGCGCTTGGAGCCGTATCTTCAGGTTTGTCCGCTGAAGCTGACCCTGGTGCTGTGTCATGGTCAGTCTCGATGTCATAGTGTAAGGAATGGGCTGTGGAGGAAAAACTTACCGATTCTGGCCGGGTCGAGAACATCGGCGACCATAAGCACCGCTGAATAGGTGAGTTGTCTTAGGATGCTCTCGGCCTTCATCTCCTCGGCCAGTTCGTCCGGTGCAGCTCGGACTGCTTCCCGTTGTCCGAGTTTCTCCCACTCAGAGCTGATTTTGGCATCCATCTGCTCGAAACAGGTCGCCAAAATAGGAGGCACGAAATGTCCCCGTAGCTCCACGGGACAGTGATCAACGAGGAACCTCACGAGGGTGAGGAGGTTGATGACCTGGTGAGAGGATAGGTAGATCGAATCCGCAAACAAGGCGTTCGCCAACGGTCCTGGGAGTTCCAGGAAGCCGTAGAACTGCATGTCCAGCCGCGTCATGCAATATATGACGGCGTAGCATGTCTCTCGTACGAACCGGACAGTCCCCCTAATAGTCGACGCAAGCCCTTCTAGAGTGTTCTTCTTCCCAAGCACTCTAGCATAGAAATCATCCTTACTCCCTTCCGAGATGCCGGCTTGCCAAAATCGGTCGGACAGGAGACGGCCCACTACTGACTGCATTTCTGCCGGCAGCAAGCTCCAGTTAGCCGGGTTATGGGATGCGTGGGCATAGCTAGGCCGGAGTTAGTACCAGATCTACATCGCCGCGATTTCGGATTGCCAACCTCAGAAACTTGAGCAGCTCTGGCAGGATGAGCTGGAACCCATCCTGCCAGAGAGTGCAAGAAGCCTGGTAAGCAGGCGAGTCTTTCTCTATCCTCTCAACGGAATATGTCAAGAACGACTTGGTCACCCGAAGCGGTAGAGCCTATCTCGGGGTTAATAAGGGGGTAGTGGGATGTTGGACGGTGCAACCTACCGATTGTCTCTGTTCCAGTTCAGCCTGGAGAGCTAGCCCCTCGGCATCAAGATCCGTGGAGCCCCAGTCAGCATTCTCGTGAACACGACGCTCAACCAAGTACTTCTGGATTTTGTCGAGGCCCAAGAGCTCGCAAAATCCATTGTAAGAGCCCAAGGCTTGTTTCAAAGAATCGTTCTTCCACTGATCTTTGACGGGGTCGATAAACGCAGTGAGCTTTGAAAGACGCACAGCCGGGTCAATGTGGGTAGCTCGGTGGCTGGAGATGGTTAGTGATCTGACTCAAGACAACAAGATTATCGTCTCTGATTGAACTCACATGATGATGAACAAAAAGCTTTGGTAGGCCACCTGGCGCTTCTCATCGAGAGTCCCAGACGCGATCATCTCCTGAACCTTCCCTTCTAGCTGGTCGTACACATCCTGGACCCATTGATTAGATCTAGCAACCCCCAGGGAGCGGGGAATGCTTACAAGAAGGGGATCAGGCATTTTTGATGCCAGCCTTTGGAGCTCGACCATGCTTTCGGTCTGGAGATCCCTGATCGCATCATTGAACAGCCTGTGTTCCGGCTGCAGAGCCGGCCAGGTCATCAAGATGTGCTCCAATACCCTGAGCATAATCGCGGGCTTCGAGTCGAGCGCTCTGGTTGAGAAAGTTACCAGAAGTTGAAGTATCCGCTTCCGAATGAGGGGGTCCTAGGTTATGTTTGAGCGATCGCGATATATACACGAAGAGACAATGAGGCCTTACCTCAAACTTCATCTCGAGGAGTTGACCACACCACTTCTCGAAATACTGCTCGACGGTCGTTGCCTGCTGTTTCTATGCCAGGGTTAGCAATTTGGCCATTGTATAATGAAGCCGACGCACCTCCTCCGCAGTCCGGTTGCGTGATGTTCTCCACTTGTCGTAACCTTTAAGGGCAGCCTCAATGACGGTTGCGTGCGCGTCAACGGTCAAGACCGGCAGGGAGGTTTTAGAATAGTTGGAAGCTTGAAGGACGTTAGCCTGCCAGTGTCCAAGTTCGAGTCCCGGCTGCTGAACTCACGGTTGAGGGGGGGTTGCCCGTCGTAAAGGGTGTTCAGGGCACGCTCCGCTCTGCCCAGCATATGCGAGAACGCGTCAGACATTTTGAGATGCACAATGCTCTCGATGACCGAACAGCAGTACCGTCGGTAGTTTCCGAGGAAGGCGTGTCGCTCAGGGATGGTGTCTGTATCCTCAATGAGCAGAACGTAGACAGGATCCTCCGTGTCCTCGGGAAAACTTTCATATCGAACCAAGCGGCCGCAGCAGAGCTCCAGGAGGTTGACGATAAAGGGCATCTCAGCAGCTGCAGGGCCAAGCGCTCGATGGGATAACAGACGTGTCCAAGTGAGAAGGATCGGAATCGAAACGACTAGGCTTTGGCTCTGCACCACCAGCATCAGGAGCTCGAGGAATCCTTGGATGTTGGTTTGGGGCGGGATGGCCGCGAACTTCCGGTCTAAGTAATTCCCGAGGGAGCAGAGTGTCTAAAATGATCAGCGACCAAGAACCTGGAACAAGGCAATCCTCAAACCCAGGCATGGCTCACCTCGGAGAACTTTTTGGCAAACTGGTACTTGTCGTCGTCAATGTCATGTGCATCCACGACAGACCACTCAAACAACCTCTTGAAGAGATCAACCATGACTTCGCTGTACATCGGCACCACCAGATCAACGAATTCATCTTCTGTGAAACTTGAGCGGTTATATAGGGAGTGCAGGGACTCGAGGGCAGCCTTCAGAGTGTTAATACAGCCGCATCTCGGAGTTCTCAACGGAGAGGAAGGCAAACCTTTTGAACGGGCACACTGGGGGTCGCTAAACAGCTGCTCATGACGGGGCGGCAGCCGACGGCATTCAATGCCTTTGGAATTGCCCACGGCACGACCGAGTTGAGGACGTTGAGTGCCTTGACAGCGCATGCCCTGATATCCTCACTCTGCTCGATACCGCCGCTGAGACACTCGCTGATGAGTTGTGTTATTCTACTGAGCCACCCATCGCCCTCACACCGCACGTCTGGGCCGGCTTGACGGTTGGGGAAGGCCTCGGTCAGAATTGCTGCCGGTGTGAAAACCTCGACGCATGCCTTGCTCAGCACCCCCTCGCGGAGGGCGACTACAGCGTCATCTCCATTAAAGATTTCGTCTGAGAGCGTCTCGAGGATCTGGAGAACAAATTGTTTGTGAACTGGCGAGTCTGAACCCCGCCAAATACGGACTAGCAGGTGGTCCATATCCATCCAGTCGGCGACCCAGGCACGCTTGGCCACCTCGACCCAGAGCTGGGCAATCTTGTTCCTCAAATATGGCGGGTCTTCGGTGGAAACGGTCTCAGCAAGCTGCAGAACCCATGATCGGATATATTCTCGATGCTCGGCGCCGTACTCCTCCCAATTCTGCTTCACGGCATGCTCAAGCAGCGATAGACCATAATGGCGGACAATGGGTTCCTGAGGTTTATTATATGCGAGGTTGAAGCCGTGCGACGGTGCCTCGGCGAGGGTCTTTACTTCTTCGAGAAATGCTTGGGCTTCTTGTCGCGCTTGGTTGGGCGAGTAAGGGCTGTGGACGACTTTGAGTGCTTCGTGGATCTTCGAAAGGACGGCCTCACCGCCCTCGCCGGCAGTGGCAGCCCCAGCTGCACCGTTCATTGACATCGTCGCCGTAACCAGAGCCTGAAAAGGCTCGGGCTATTGGAGGTGCCGAGAGACCGATTTGGTCTACGGGAGAGGTGGCCACCGGTATGGAGCAAGGAGTTTAACTGCGAACCATAGGGTGGGTATCGGGGAATGCACCAGCGCAATGCAGGAACTGGCGAGATCCGTGCAGCAGACGTGCAGGTAGGTCGTGTGTATGTCTAGATAGCTTATGGGGAGGGTGCGAGATGGGAGATGAAGAAGTTTTAGTACCGAAAAGAGTTTAGATAACGCCTGAAACCGGCCTGTGCCGATGTTCCCTCAAGCTAGGAATTATTGCGGTGTTTGTTGGTGCTTGCCAGTTGTCACGCCGTCTCTTGTCAGTCAATCGCGGAACTTTGGCAATTAAAAGTCGGTCCCCACCATGCTCTCCGTAAACCATGTCAGGCGCGCTCAGGCGCGAACTGTTCTGGCGCTTCTTTGAGTTTAGCGCGGGGCAGTTCCGCCTTATGGTCTGGACCTAGAAGGCGGTGAGGGGAGTGAATTGCGTCACACCTCGGTCAGGAGTCAGGGATCCTTTGTCTTGGTGCTTCACACCTCACGATTCAAAGAAAGATCCATGAAGCATGCTTGTTTCAGGCTATCTCGAATTCCCACAGACACAACAATTTGTCGTAGAAGCTGGTTGACACAACCGACAACATGTTCTCCCACCCTGGTTGGAAATCGCTTCCGTAGTTCATGCTTTTGTGTTCCTCAAAACGGCCGAGAACCTTGAACAGGTACTCCCCGGCTCCCGATTTCAGGAGCTCAACAACTCTTGGACCAGCATGCATACAAGAAGCCAGTATCCTAGCTCGCCAAGTGTAGTTCTGTGTGGAGGTTGTGTCCAGGTCAATCAAGTTCAACCGCCAAACCCCGCCGCCGAGCATCCCCTCAGCGAGATTTTTTGGCCTGCCAAAAGGCGGAACTAAGAAAAGCCTGATGTATTCGTCATAGCTTCCGGTGACGACGAGCTCATGGTTATCTTGTGTGAAGAGAGGCAGAATGGCTGTGACTCCGGCATCATGGTCTCTCGACTCAAGGGCAGGAAGAGACTGGGCAAGACTCCCTTCATTCCAGTTACACGTCCGTGAGCGAAACATGGAATCGTCGCCCCCGGAATAAACACGGAAAGACAACTCCTCAGTCTTTTGCGTCTCGTCGGCGCGGGTTGGAGTGACGGGCAGGGGGGATATGACGGTACACCAAGCCTCAAGCGTGTGTGTGATGACAGGTTCTGAAGTCAGCTCCCAATTCCCGTCGAGGGTGGTTAACTGTACGAGATACACATGTCCGGTCGAGGTGGTGATGACCATCATGCCCACCCGCGAGGGGTGCCAGCCAAATGAGGTAAACAGGATCTCTTCACCGGGCGTGAGCTGGATCTCGCCGTGAGACATAGCTGCAATGTCCATAGTGTTGATGTGCCTTAGAGGCTCCTCCTCGTCAGGGAAAAGCCTAAACAAAGCAAGGGTGGCAGTGCTCGAAACCACCGCGCAGATATTGCGATGGCCGTCATGAGGGCTAAACCGAAGGTCTAGGAGGGCTGATGGCTGAGGCACAGTCTGCACACGGACTCTGATGATCGAATTAGGGGGGGTTCAACGAAAGTTCTGGCATTCCACTCACAAATTCCCATCTTCGAGCCGAAAGGCGATGATGCTGCCGTTGCGGCTCTGCGGCTGCTTTGGTTGAGAAATTTGGCCATCTTCCTCTGCATCAAAGCTCACTTCTCCGCCCTCCAGTTCACCAGCGTCTGGTTGAAGAGAGTAGGTCCCAACTAAAAAGTAGGAGGGAAATGCAGGGCAAAACTCGACACAACTGGGCGGGAGGTCAAGGGTTTGGGACCTGAGTGGTTGAATTAGAATCGCTTCCCCTGCCATTTGAGTCGAGAACGAAGTCCTCCCAGGAGCCAATAACGAGATCCGACAAGGGTGCCTGTAAATGGAAGGCTGTTGTTGAGCAGAGTTTGTCCTGTGGTAGTTACTTCGTTAAATGACGAGCTTTGCGCTTGCTTTTTCGGGTGCTTAAGAATTCCTCCACTTTCCGGATTGGTCCATTTCTTAACCTTTCACCCCTAACACAACAAGCACGGGAGCTCAAGTAGGGCTCAGAAAGGAAAAGGGAACATAAATATGATCGAAAAGAAATGTTTTTCTTCTTATACCTTTACCTTACAGAAAGAAGCTATTGTTAATTGACACATGTCACGAATCGGTTGCAAACGGCCCTTGATTGCACTTGGGACTTGGAAGCCTGGGCTCTGCACTGGTTTTCACACAACAACACATCTTCCTGGCACCTGGATTTACCACAACTTATCAACACACGTGCTAAGGTAAACAGAAATTTGAAAAGTCCAAAATGGATCCAGATTCAGATTTCTATGGTATGCCATTCCCCAGACCACTCAAGAGAAGCAAGCACCTAACCCCTCATAGGCGACGAAGGTACTACCTCGGCCTTCAAAGCCCGCGTCGACCAGTTCGACGTGGTTGAATGGTGGGACAGCCGTAATGTCGTCACCAGACATCTCCAGCATGCCGCCCACAAACAGCCTGCCCCAACATTGCGAAACGGCCGCCTGCACAACCTCTACGAAGGTCTGCCTGGCGCCTGGCAGCTCTCTGAGCCCATCGAATGTTTCCTGTTCCGCCTCCCACCATCCACAACTGATTTGCGCCCCGGGCTTGACTGGATCTATGTTGCTAACCCGTACGCGCCGCCTGGGCCAGGTCAGGCCCACGCCCAATTTTGCAGAGGTGGCGAGGAACGGCTGGCCCTCTTCGCCGAGTTTGAGCAGATGGCTACGGCCAGTATCGCCAAAACATCCGGTAGCGCGCTTACGGCCCTCAAAAAAGAGGTGGCGAATGAGAGGCGGGAACTGGTCGAGGATCTCCGGGACCTCGCGAGTGCGTGCAATATCGTCACGGGGAAGTGGATGTTATTCCCTGAACCGGAGCGTGTGGATGAGATCTGGGCAAAGGTCGCGATGGCCACCGTGAATGGCGAGCTTGGGATTGCGGCCAAGGTTGCGACTAGAGTCGAGGCGGAGAAGGCAAGGCTAGTTTGTGTTTACACGAGCGATTTTAGGGACAAGGATGACGTGGCGAGGGTATTGAACAGAATGAGAGAACTGGAATTGGTGAGACCGAGTGGGAAGCAGATATATTACAAGTCAGGTCAGTCAGTAAACTCGACATCCCAGTTGGCGTTAGCTCACCTGGTTCCAGATGCTTGGACTGAACTTGGAATTTACGGGGGGAATGGTTGGGGGATTGGGGCATCCATGGTATGTTATTCGTTGCTATCACCCACACAAAACAATCTCGCGACTGACATGGGCAGTATTCATCGAACGAAATATTTGGGTATATCAAGACGATCGCCTCCCGTCATTCATAAAACCCTAGATGCCAACGCTGGTATGTTGCAGCATATGATCTAGACCGCAGCGACTCGATATCTTGGCAGATCCCCACGCGGCCGTTGACAGGTACTCCCAAAGCAACGAAGGCATTAGCCATGGTACATGAAGACTAAACTCCGCGGCTGGTTTAGGACTACCCCAACTTGCAACTTTGCCGTCTCAACCGAAGCAATCCCAGGGCTTCCGCCGGCTCAGGAATTGGGGGTAAAGGCCGTTAACTTGGCCGTCGTGGCCCCCGCCGGCGCGGGAGTACACCAGATGACTCGTAGCGAGTGTTCAACAACATCACAGCTCAAAAGGAAACACCCGTCCCACTATTTCAAGGTGGACCTTCGTCATCCGGCCCCAGGTCCGTAGTAGCATCCACGTCCGTCGGCTTCAGTAGCAGCACCAAGCGGTATGCACTGTTGCCGTTTAGATAGTACCGATGTAGCTTCTTAGAACGCAGAAAGCCGAGCCGTTCGTACAACCTCATCGCGGGAATATTTGTCTCTTCTGTCTCGAGCACAATCTCGTCGGCGTTGCGGTTGGCCATGACGTCAATAGCCATTTTGACGAGCGTAGTAGCGACACCATGGCCTCGGTATTGGGCGCAGACGGCGAGCATGGCGATGTAGCCGCGAAGCGTGGGTGTGGAATGAGAAGCGTGCATCTCGAGCTTGCATATTACTACGCCTATAAGAGAGGAATCGATGGGATTAAGTGCCTAGAGGGAGAGGCTGGTTAGAATGAGCCGTCATGGATGAGGACTTGGTATTGAGTGTGACAAACCATGAAACAGAGATGGCCCCATTGGTAAAGGAAGTAGCGGTAAACATAAATGCTGTACGGCTCACTTAAGTCTTTCGAGATGAGAGCACGTATAGAAGGCAAGTACTGAGACTCGAGGGAATGCTGGTATTGGATATACTGCAGCTCGCCCGGAAGTCCTGCTTTGGGGGTCCCTAACCCCACCTTGTCACTCAAATCGCTGAAGGCAGCCATGGCGGCAGATCGTCAGGGCGTGGGAATTTTCTGTTGCTATTGGGCGAGGATACGATGGTGAATCCTGGGGTTGCAACTTGCCGTGCGGGCTGTGTGTGGCTGTTGACGATGAGATGCCGCTACAGCTTGATGAAGGTAAGAGCGAAGATCAGCTGTCGTTAAACTTTCACATGCAAGTCAGAGCCGTTGTCAGTCGATTGGCTCGGGACGCATGAGTGGGTCGATCTCGACGCATGTGGGCACGTTGCTTCATGCTTAACCCATGATCTATCTAGGCATTGATTGCTGTTTCCGATGCGGGGGAAAGGTATAGCCTCGGAAGGGATAAAAGAAAGAAAGAAAGAAAAACCCAATACAAACAATATCTGTTTCATCTTTATCCCCCCGTCGGTTGGCTTTTGTCGAAACTTCATATAAAAGATCCTAAGTGGTGCCGTCGCGTTTGGTGGGGTTGTCGCGGGGCACAGACGTCACCCATTCACCCCTGCTTCGGAGAAGACGGGTGGACAGGGGTGTCATTTTCAACATCTGCGGGCTGAATTCCCTGCGCTGCGCCCCTGAACCACCAGACGCCAACTTCAAGGGTTGTGCTTCGTACACATGTCGGTAGCTCGCATCAATGATTGCGGCTGATTGTAGCCGCTGAAGTGACTGAGCAGCCTCGAGGGCACTTCGCCAACCTCCAACCGAAACCATACCGCGCAGTCAGACTCTCAAGATGGCGAGCACCCTACGCCGCCGAGTCCCCGGCAACGATTCACCCTCTGAAACGTCAACGCCCCGTGATGAGAGCCCCGACGAACCCGAGAAGGCCAGCGACAAAATTAAGACGGTTCATCACCACCGGCCGCAGACGCGCAAACGCAGAAACACTGCTATTTTTTTGCTCGGCAGTTTGTTTGGGATCATCGCTGCGGGTTTCTTCGCTCAGAGCAATGACTTGATAGATTTCCCCGAGATTGGGGAGCTGAGCATGGATAGTTTTTTTGACGTTCTTCCGGCGGGGTTGGTGAAGGATATGCGGGAGCTGGTCGTAAGTCACCCTTCTACTATCGCAAGACTGTGTTGGTTAACGTTTTCCCCATTCAAGATCGGCGAGCGCGACTCCCTCGAAAGTTACGACGCGTTTTCCGTTGGCATCAAGGCGCGCTCCGAAGGCCTCACGGCGCACCACCCCATCGTCATGGTTCCTGGTGTAATATCTACCGGCCTCGAGTCCTGGGGAACTTCGAACGCCTCGCTCCCCTATTTTCGGAAACGGCTATGGGGCAGCTGGAGCATGATGCGGGCTCTGGTCCTAGATAAGGAAACATGGAAGACTCATGTCATGCTGGACAAGAAGACTGGCCTGGATCCTCCCGGGATCAAGTTACGCGCGGCACAAGGCTTCGACGCCACCGATTTTTTCATTACGGGATACTGGATCTGGAACAAAATTCTTGAGAATTTGGCGTCGTTGGGCTACGATCCGATAAAAACATACACGGCAGCATACGATTGGCGCCTGGCGTACCGGAAATCTCGAGAAGCAGAGATCATTATTTCACGAAGCTGAAGTCACATATCGAGATGAGCCGTGCTACTTCAAGATAGAAAAGTCGTCCTTACCTCTCACAGCATGAGTAGCCAAGTTGTGTTTTATTTCTTCCATAGAGTCGCCTCGAAACACGGAGGTAATGAGAGCGATGATTGGGTCGAGAAGCATGTTGAATCGTGGATTAACGTCAGTGGATGTATGCTGGGGGCGCTCAAGGATGTTACGGCCATCCTCTCCGGCGAGATGCGTGACACGGCGCAGCTGAATGCCTTTGCTGTTTACGGGCTTGAGAAGTTCTTGAGCAAGGCTGAGCGGGCCGAAATCTTCCGCGCCATGCCGGGTATCTCCTCCATGCTTCCGATAGGAGGCAGCGCCATCTGGGGTGACCACAACGGGGCGCCAGACGACCAGCCTGACCAGGAGCATACCTACGGCTCATTCTTAAACTTTCGGACCGGCCAAAACTGGACAACTCCTGACAGAAACTTCACCGTGAACGACGCCATGGACTACTTGCTCGATACTTCAGAGGACTGGTATAGGGATCAAGTGAAGGGGAGCTACTCCCGGGGCGTCGCAGAAACTACTGCCGAAGTCGAGTCCAACGAAGACGACCATAGGAAATGGATCAACCCCTTGGAAACTCGGCTTCCCCTTGCGCCTAGCCTGAAGATCTACTGCTTCTATGGCGTGGGCAAACCCACGGAAAGAGGGTACTACTACCGCTCCCCCGAACCTGGCTCGCTCACCAATCTAAACATGACAATCGACACGGGCCTGTCCCAGGGCATGGTCGACCGCGGCGTTGTTATGGGTGAAGGCGACGGCACGGTTAGTCTTATGAGCACAGGATACATGTGCAACAGCGGGTGGAAAATGAAACGATACAACCCGGCGGGGGCCAAGATCACGGTGGTTGAAATGCCTCACGAGCCGGACCGTTTTAATCCCCGGGGCGGACCCAACACAGCGGATCATGTCGATATCCTGGGTAGACAGAATCTCAACGAGCTCATTCTAAAGATTGCCGCCGGCAAGGGGGAGACTATCGAAGATCACATCATCAGCAATATCCGCGAGTATGCAGAGAGGGCGAAGGTGTATGAAGAGGGAGAGAGATGAATGTATGATGGGGTAGAAGGCACATAGGATTTGGCGTTTTCTGGGGCCGGTCGAGTTTCTTCTGGGTTTTAAAGACTTGGACGGAGCATTTACTTGGTGGCCATTGTTTTATTTACCTTTCTTCCTCCATGGTACGTTCTATCGTATCCAATTGATACCCAATTTACAATCAAACCTTGTATGTGTACAGATTCATTCGTCTGATTATCGCCAGCATGGATCCGCTGTGAATGTATGCACAGAGTATTCCCATGTATGTAACGTACCAATTGTTACGCCAAAGAAAACAGTGGTCACAGCACGGTAAAAGAAACCGTTACATTGCCGCCTTCTTCGACGTCATTTCGTGTTCTGTGGGGTAAGGGTCCGTGCATACAGGGGAGCCCACCCAAAAAGGACAGACGTATCAGCAGGGATTCGGTTTCGCAGGCGTTCTTTCCATCACCGACCAAGCAACGACTGCGACCCCTCCAACCTGCAAGGCGGATTGACCGGCGGAGCACATGCTTGGTACACCAAGTTGCGATTTCCACCGGATGGCCGAGTCACCAGGAGTCCTGATTTTACCAAAGACACGGGCGACACATGTGTTGGATTGTGCCGTCCGCAAATGTGATGCCCGATATTCTGCACTCTGCGTTGGTGCCGTTCGTTTGAGAACATGACTGACTCCGATGGTTCTTGGTCTGCCGAGAGCGAGCAGCAATTCTGGGATGGTGAGTCCTCGATGAATTGCGATCGTGATTCACTCATCAGGCGCGCTAACAATCCCCCTTACAGCTCTGAACGGCGTTTTATCTTCAGCGTGTGCGACACCGGAGCAGCTCGACGAAGCCTTGCGATCATGGCTCGATTTAGTCTCCAAGGCCAGGGACGAGTATCTCGAAAGCGAGGACGATGTCGCGCGTTGTTCAGAGATGCTGCTAGAGAGCCCAATTTTTAGAAGCAACGGCAGCTATGTCCAGACGCAGCTCATCTATAGCCTTCTGCAAGAGGACGAGTTCGCCCAGCTTCACGTATATGCCAACTTTCTTCTCCTCGCTGGCCGGACGAAGGAGGATACATTTCGGACCATGATACAAGAGGGGTGTTTTGTCCGCTTGCTTGAGCTTATCAAGAACTGCGGGGGCAGAGACGGCCGTCTCCATCGGCTTCTCTTACAACTGATGTACGAGATGTCGCGCATCGAACACCTGCGCCCCGAGGATCTCCTGCAGGTTGACGATAGTTTTGTCATGTACCTGTTCCAACTCACTGAGGCTTTATCCGACGACGTCAACGACCCATACCACTACCCCGTGATTCGCGTCCTAGTTTGTCTTTACCCGTTCCCCCTGTACCTCGATATCGGCGCTAATAATCGTAACAGCTAGTGCTGAACGAACAGTACATGGTCGCTTCTACCTCGGCAGCAGTCGACCCCAGCTCTCCGGCGGTACTCGTTACAAACAGGGTTGTCAAGGTTCTCAGTGTTCATGGCCCGTCATTCCGGACTTTTGGCGAGAACATTATTCTGCTTCTGAACCGAGAGACAGAGACCTCACAACAGCTACTCATTCTCAAGTTATTGTACCTTCTATTTACCACGGCAGCGACGTACGAGTACTTTTATCTCAACGACCTCAGAGTTCTGTTGGATGTCATCGTTCGCAATCTCTTGGATCTGCCCTCCGAAGCGAATATGCTGCGACATACGTACTTGAGGGTACTAGCTCCTCTGCTCTCTCACACACAACTCAGTCATCCTCCTCATTACAAGCGGGACCAGATTCTCGGCTTGCTTGAGATATTACGTGGTACAGGCAGCGCCCATTTCATGCCGCCCGAGCCGACGACGCTACGGTTACTTGAACGGGTCGCCAGGATCTCATGGTTAGCCGAGGATGAGGTCGAGACACCGGATATGAGCCCGATAGGAAGCTTGGCTCACTCGCAAACCGGCAGCTCGGTGAGCGTTGTTGCGAACGTAACCGAGAAACCAGGCATCAAGACGCCGAGTCGGAGATCAGGGATGGAGCCGGATCCGAAAGACACGGATGCGCGCACTCCTACCGGGGGGAGCCCTCCTAGACCCAAACCACCGCCACCGAGGACCTTGAGAACTAAGATGTCCCTACCGGAGGTGCCCAAACATCGCCACGGAGCACCTATTGCTCCTCCGGCGGTCAGCAATGTTGCTACCAATAAAACCGGGAACGGGAACGGGGATGGGCAGAAGAAACAACCGCCGAAAATCCCTCCGCCTAGAAGGAAAGCAAGGCTTTTGCCTACAGCTGGAGGTGACGCTCGAGCAACGAGCGAGTCATTGCCAGCGTCCGACTCGGCAACCCCTGTCTCTTGAACCGCGATTTTGCGGCCGTTTATTTCGTTTGTATTTGAAACCTCTGCGAAACCGGATGTTGGATGGATTGGATGAATACCCCATGTTTATTGTTTAATGGTCGTGGTGGAGTCCGGTTGATTATGGAATCCTACGAGTGCTAGAGAGAGAGCATGGTTTGGGATCGTCCCAATCTCGACGGACTGTATGGAGCAAACCTGGGGGATCAAGAACAAGGCGTTATGCATCATCGGCGTTAGAGAGGTTGTGTGGGTTGTTCAGGAAAGAGGTTGCCCGCATATAACTATTATTACTTGTACTTATTTTAGGACATTCAGTCCATAACGGGGGTATCTTCTCGTTTCAAATGGACAAATGTAATTCGTGTATTCCAAGCTGCCCTTGAATGGCTCAACTCCGACCTGACTTGAACTTGTCTCTCGGTCTCCCGAACAAGGGTCGGACCCCCCACCAAATGCAAAGGCCCACTTTTAACAACCCGGCGCCGGGCTTCGGTGCAAGACGCCAAATTTTTGGTGCCGTTTAAAGCACCGCGACTCCGGCAATCCACCACACCCGCACCCAACATTTTCGGATCCCGACCCCCCGAAGCAATTGACCGACGGAACAACCGACTTGAGTGCCTTTCCTGTGATCCGTGCGCCACATTCCCGGGCGCTGCATCCTGAAGACCAAGCTACCCACAATGCCACCGCCAGCAACCCAAGCTGCCAAAACGGCATATAGGACTTTCCGAGAGCTCCATGGCGTGGTGGTGACTGCGGGGCTGATGGACAAGACGGTGAAAGTGCGGGTGGGTGGGCAAAAGTGGAATGGCTTTCTTCAAAAGGTGCGTCCTACATCTCCTGCCTGAACACCCCCCTCCCTTCCCCCTTCCTCGCCATTCTCCCAGAAACCCAAACTAACCAGAGCAACCAACCCCACCGCCAGTACTTCAATGACCCCAAAACCCACCTCGTCCACGACCCCAACAACTCCCTCCGCCTCGGCGACGTCGTCGCCATCACCCCCGGCTGGCGCGTCTCCAAGGACAAGCGGCACGTGGTCAAGCACATCATCGCGCCCGGGTCGGGCGTGCCCATCGAGGGCCGCGCGCCGATCCCGACCGAGGAGGAGCGGTACGCGCAGCGCGAGGCCGACCGCCTGGCCAAGCTGGAGCGGCGCAGCATCAACAAGACGGTGGAGAAGGCCGAGAAGCAGGTGGGCGTGGCGGAGCTGATTCTCAGGAAGGCGAGGAAAGAGTTTGCGCTGCGGACGAGGTTAATGGGAGTCAGTCTCGAGGGGGAAAAGGCTGGGGATCCCGCGGCGGGGGCGCCACAATGAGGGTACGTCGGGGCGCGCGAGATGATGAGTGTGGATATTCTGGGTACCCTATGTCCGGAAGGATGGAAACGGTAACCGTGTACAAAACCGAGGGAATAGAGGGCCTCACTTGTATGTATCAACAGGCAATACCGCTGGGCAAAAAGGCTATTGCCGAGTGTTTAGCTAGAGAATCCCATTTGCTGGGCCTCCTGGGACGCTCTTGGTTAAGTAGGTAGAAAGAACCAACTTTCGGTGATTCTATCGCATCTTGAAATGTCGAAAGCTCCCAGCACAACCTTTGAGCAACAGGTGTTGGTTCTAGTTTATAAGTATTCTGGTTTGCTCTGTAAAGCGCGTATGCAATCAAAGTCTAGATAGGTATATCCCGAGAAAGTTCCTTGTATAAGCTCCATGATAGCCCCTACCCGCCCCTTTCGCCGAACTCCCTTGCCCAGTCCTCATATTCCTTAAGACCGGTCTTGCTCACGCTCGGCCTGATAGTGGACAAGCTAGAAACAAAATCTGATACTTCCATGGGTCGTATTTCATCCATGGTCATGTGTAGTAAGGCCTCCCCAAGAGACCGCAGCGGACCCATAGCTGCGTCCTTGGCCAGCGCCGTGATATCCGAGCCTGAAAACCCTGGAATGGAGGTTAGACGGTGATGTATGGAGAATATGAGGGAGTGAGATCTTACCATCAGTCATACCCACGAGGGTGTCGATGTCGGCATCGCTCAATGTGTGTTTTTGTTGTTTCAATAGCGTCTTGAGTTGAACCGCTCGCGTCTCGGCCTCGGGAAGCGGTATATACTGGCGCCTCACAAACCTCCTTCTCGCCGCCTCGTCAATCGCCCACGGCAGGTTGGTGGCTGCAAGAACAAGCACCCTATTCGCGTCCCCGCGTTCCTTATCCTTCTCTCCTAACTCTCTCCCGGCCGCTGCGCGCTGGAGATCACTCCACTGAATCAGAAACTCAGTCTTGATTCTCCGCGTGGCTTCATGTTCACCTGTTCCCGACCGCTGAGATAACAGGGAGTCGATCTCGTCGACAAAAATGATACTCGGCGCAAACACTTTGGCTAATGCAAAGAGGGCGCGGACAAGCTTCTCGGACTCTCCCAGGTACTTGCTGGTGAGACTGCTGGCTGAAATAGAGAAGAACGTTGACTTGGATTCGGTTGCGACCGCGCGCGCCAGCATGGTCTTGCCCGTGCCCGGCGGCCCGAAGAGTAGCATGCCTCTAGCGGGCTCGCGCAGCCCCATGAAGAGGTCAGGGCGGAGAAAAGGGTAGACGACCGTCTCTCGCAGGGCATTTTTGGCTACTTCCAAACCGGCGATGTCGGTCCAGTGAACCTCGTCACCTTGAACGATGATCTCGTTGAGTATCTGCTTCGCCGCATGTTGATCGACTCCTGGTGGAAGTTGCTTGAGGACTGTGGCCTTCCTCTTTTTCCACGACTTTGCGGCCTTTGTTTGCTCATCCTCTGTTGAGCTGTCAGAAAGCTCAGCCAGGGAGTCAGCGACTATGGATGTTTCTCTTTGCCGGCCGTTGCTACCTTTGTGCCTCGAAGACTTTACTGGAATGTCGGAGGACGAGGAAGAAAAATCACCAGTCGGCGGGGAGGAAGCCAGCCCTACCCTGTTCTCTCTCCGCTTGCTCCCCACTGGCGTCGTGGTGATGCTTCTACTAGATGGAGTGCGGCTAGGCTTGGCCCTCGTCGCAGAGTTCATTTTCGACTCTGCTCGTCGCGAAACTATAGCGGGATCCGACGTCTTCCTACCTATCGGGGGCCTCCTTGTCACCTCCGGAAAGCTTAGGTCTGCACCTGAGAATTCCCTCGACTTCTTCATTTGTGGTGTCTGCGGGTGGGCAGTCCGCCTTCTGGGTGTTTGTTCCCGGACTGGAGATTGCCGCTCTTGGTTCTCCCTCAGCGCAAGCGAGCTCAGAGCACTAGAGGCTGCGCTCACGGATACAGGCGAAGGCCGAGAGAATGGATAACCCTCAGCCTGCCGTGAATCCGTTAGATCAGTACTCACCCTGCGATCGGATGGTTTCACCGGGCTTCGAGTTCGGGGAGTGGTGAGTCTCCTGGAGTTGCTATCCCATGTCTTGTATAGCGATTCTGAGCTTTTACGCGGTGACTCGGACGAGGCTGGCTGGCTCCCAGGTGGGCGTGGCAGTTCCTGACCATCCGCTGGGCTCTGGTCGGCCGCATCTCGCTGGCCGAGCAAACCCCATGCCAATACAGCAGCTTTCCCGGCTCCCGGGCCATCTGGTGGTTTCTGGTGGGGTCGTCGCAGAGTTGTCTTGGTAGGCTTCTCGCCAAGTCGGCTCGAGCGCAAAGTGGTGCGCATCGTATGCCTCTCTGGGCTAGACGCGCGGGACAATTTCTTCTCGGGGGAAGGTTGTGGGGAGCTAGGACTGATAGTTTTCCGCGATGGCGAAGAGGATGCACCATCATCGGTTTGTGGCCCATTCCCTCCGGCGGCAGTCTTCTGGAAAGAAGGCACCCTTGTATGAGCAGACTTTCGCTTGAGCAGGTCCGGCCTCGCAAGTTCTGTGTAGGTGACAGCGGGAATAGTTCCGTTCCCTATCCAGCCCTGTTCCTCTTGCTTGAGCATCGCAACATCGTGTGGTTCAGAGTGTCCTTGGCCCCCTTGGTTTCGAGATGAGGACCCGACATCCTGAAGAGTCTCTTGACGGGATAGGCGGAGGGCTTCGAGGAGATCAATCCGTTCTTTACATTGGAGCTCCAATTGGCGGATGCTGTCTATCAGGGCCTTCTCGGTCTCGGAACGCGGCGTGGAGCTGGGGAGGATTCTGTTGGCATTGTGATCGTATATTTGCTCGAGGGCCTGTCGCCAGCATCGCATAGCCTCGCCTTCATTTCCCTACGCGTTGCAAGTCAGCGGCTGTGTTTCTGGTGGCCAGAGGGTGGCGAAGATGGTTGGACGGTCCATACCTGGCTCTCATAGTAGACGGCAGTTGAGCACGTCAGGTAGCTCTCATCATATGTCTTTTGCAGAATGGACAGGGCCGTCGCGGTCCTATTACCGAACATGGTGCACCTCGTCGGGCGTGGACATTCCGGCGTGGCTTTGCACGGCTGACGACGGAGTATGGTCGGACCAAAAACCAACGGACAGAGATCGTAGCAACCACGTTGCGCTTAAATTTATTGTTCAAGCAGATATGACCGCCAAAAAACTGAAAACCGCCGGGTCGGGAGCAGTTGACGGCGCCCAGCGCATGGAGCTTGTATCTATCTAGGAATACAATGGGTTACAAGGCGTATTTCTGTAAGCTGGCATGGGTGGGGTCAGGTATTGTGAACCGATGATAAGACATGGGGGAAGCGGCAGAGGGCGGGGCTGTGACGTCGACAGGGGATGCTCTCCCCATCCCCAGAGAGCTGCGGGGCACACTGCAACAGCATGGACGACATACACAGTAAGGTACCTCGACGCTCAGAAGTCATAACAGGGTTATTTAGTATCATACGGCGGTGGAATACTTCAAATATATCTCAATTTCTATGACAATAGGACTCGAATTTCCCCCGATGTTCGAGGGAATAAAGTCCGGGGCCCTTGGATGTCGTCCTGCTCGTTCTGCTTTTGCTCAGTCGCCTCGTCCACCAAGATGAGCATTTCCTCAACATGCTCAAAGTCGACACAGAATTTCTCAGCTGCTTCTTCAGTGATACTTTGAACCAGCCTCGAATCTTGGAGATTCTTTAAATTCTCCATCGCATCCATCAATGCCGACGGCAGGAAGTCGTCCAGCTTCTGACTCGCCTGCGATAGCGCAGGTGACTGGAGGGACTCAAGCAGCAATGCTTTCTGTATATCTTCCTTGCTCTCCCCTAGTGGCTCTAGCTGCACGATCAGAGAATCTAGACCGGACTCGCCCCGGAAGAACCGATACTGCGTCTCCACGAGGCGGGCTCTCTCCTCTTGTATTTGCGCTTGCAGTCGGGCGGCGCGGCGCTGCGTGAAATCAAAACGGGAAAGACTTCTCTCGGCGGTCAGTAAACAGTTGATGAGGAAGATGGAGTTCGACGGGGCGCGGAGTGGCTTGGCCATGTTAGCCGATCCCGAGATGAACGGGTCGAATGCCTCCGCTAGTACTGGTTCAAATTCTTCTTCTCGGTCACTCGAAGATGTGAACGATGTCTCGTACGTCTTCATTATGGCCGCGAGTTGTTCCAGGGCGCCCAGCAAGAACTCAGGAGGGCGCAAGTCGGCAGGCGTATGCTGGAAGTCACCCTGGATCGCCGCGACGTGGTCTCGAGCCAGAGAGCGGAACTGTCGGAGAGCTTCGGATTCGAGCGCCCCAAGTGTCTCCACGAGAGCCGACCCCACGCTGAGTAGTCTGGAGAAGGTGCTCTTATAGAAATTGAGCAGGTTTGCGAGCTTATAGGCCAGTATCGTTTCCTCGTTAGTTTGAATCACTTGCTCGACTCGTTGCCGAAGTAACCGTGCCGCGCCCGACAGGTCCCGGTCCACCAACTCATTCAAGGTTTCCACAGCATCAAAAGTATCCGAAACTTCACCGTCTTCGGCAACGAGCCGCCAGATCTCGTTGTCCCGGCCAGCCTGGATGCCCTTCGCAATCTCATCGCCTTCCCCAATGAACAAGCCCTCAAGGGCTTCCCGTTCACCGACGGCTGCTGAGTGTGCCCAGGCAAGCATGTCCCCAACGTATCTCAAGGTATCATGCGCCACAAGCTCGATGGGCTTGACCGACTGGTCCTCTATTCCGGACGGCGAGCTGCCGGTCAAAGCCGTGTGAAAGGAATTGGATAACACATGCTCCCGCGCCTCAGCGAGGAAGTCAAGGCAGTTTTGAAATAGACTGGGCCGCTCGGCCAACACACGAAGTGCATGGCGGATAGACGAACCTATTTGAGGGTTCTCTAGATTCAGGGTTTTGAACTCTCTCTGAACCCACTTGTACAGCTTCTGGAAGCCCAGATTGAGGTTCTTGGAGGTCTGTTCCATAATCTCAAGCCCCAGTGTTTGGTTCTCAAAACCGAGGAGGATCTCACAATCCTTACTAATCCTCTTTGCTTTGGCGAGGACAGCAAAAAAGAGGTCATCGACAGGCTCCGAGGTCAGCGTCAATGCAGCCGTCTCATCCTCGGACAGGACAAAATTGGTATTGAAGGCACCAAGCAAAGCTTGCTTTTGTTCGACTTGGCGCCGCTGAATCATGAGCTGGGAAGCCTCTATCAGGGTTGATGAAGTGGTCTTCTGAGCAGAACCGATCTGTGTCTTCATCTCGTTGAAGGTTTCATTCAACCTGCCAATGGTTGTGCCGATCCGTCGGAGTTGCTGACATCACTGTCAGCCAAGGACGTCGAGTAAACAATGGGGTTCGGCGTGCATTATCCTGTCATACCTCGGCAACTTTGGCAAACTCATCGATGATCTCGCCATTGCTGTCAATAACCTCTTTCTGCAGGTCTAGCCGCAGCTGGCGCCGTGTCTCTGCCGTGTTTTGGACGCCGCGCTCGTCTAAGAGCGCAAGCGCTTCTCGGAACTCGGTATCCGCATAAGATGACGAGAGAACCGTTGTAACCTTGGACGAAAGTGGGTTTGCCGCCTTCGCGGCCAGAGACGACGTGGCCGTTGTGCTCTGTGGCGAGAGAGGCCCAGAGCTGGACGACATTTTATTTGATGCCGCGATGTGGAAGTTGATCAATCGGTTGCAACTTGCATATTTCGGTAGTCCTAGCCTCGGCCCTATATGGACTCGTTCCTAACAGCGATCCTGTTGCAGCTGTGGTTGGGATTGGAAGTCAAAGAGTTACATTCGCAAGCTTGGGGCTGAAGCTTTAGATGATCTGTACCTCCCGTTTTATGTTACCTTACTTAGAGTGTATCGTACGGACAAGGCGTATGTACATACATACATTACACTGGGGAGGAGTGAGGGTCCACATGCATCTTGGCAAGCGTCTTCAAACATGCGCCTGCCAAAACAGCCGTTAACTCGCGCCACTTCTAAAGCTCGGGCCCTTTCATCATTCTGTCATCGACCGCAGTCACCTGAACCAAGCACCGGGCAGCTCAAGGCAGCCAAGACCAGCTGCCAGCATCCTGAGATGCACCTTTCTTACAACGAGCAGCCCGCCTGAGGGCAGCACCTCCTGACCACCAACACAACGCAAAGCCCCGGTGGGCTTGAAATTTTCTTCCCAACAAAATCCATCAGCCCATCAGACCTTTCGACATTCACGAACGTCCCTCTGAGAACCGCCGAGCAGCCTTCTGACCAAGATCCAACATTCGTCATCACCACATCCTCTTCGATGCCACCGAACGTTTCCAGCCGAGCCATACCTCGAGGCTAGTCCGTAATGGCGTCCAATCCCTTTCCTAAGCCTGCGTCAACAAGGCAGGGCCGATCATTTTATGAGGGCCTCCATGGCCAGGCAGGGGATACGGAGGGTCTCTTGGACGAAGAAAACCTGAACCATGACTTTCACGATTATGATTTAGAGAACGCCGAAGGTCTCGGGGTGGAAGATAGCCGCACTACTGCGGGCGGGGTCTCCAGCCCGACCCCAAGAAGCCGCGGGCAACCAAATAGCCGACCACGCAAGGATCGGCGGTCTGCATGGATATCACAAGAAGATGAAGGTGATAATGACGTTCCGCCCTCGTTGCTGGTGGAGTGCAACGAGGTGGACTTGGCTGCCGGCCAGTCTAGAAAGAAGAGAGGAAACCAGTCGGCCGCTGTTCCGGGGCCACCAAGTACTCGCGCCCAGTGGGAGACGGCCCAAACACAACAGCTGCTGCACGGCGATGCGGTATTTAGGCCATCACGTCACGACAACCGTTTACCGAACTCGGTGTTCGCCGGGGTGGTGTCTGGCAACGCCAAGAAGAAGGCTGAGTGGAGATGGGCTAACGTCTCAAATCTCGACAACTTCATCAAGGAAGTCTACGATTACTATATTGGCCATGGGGTGTGGTGTATCTTGCAAGAACGAGCCCTGCATCTCGTGTAAGTGGTGGGGCCACCAGTGTTCTGAGTTGGAGCTAATGCGCCGCAGCAACGTTACCTTTGTTGCGTTTTATTTGACCTTTCTCTCTCAGTGCCTAGACTACAGCAAGTTTCATAGTAGCCAGAGGCTTTCCCAGGTCCTCGTGCCTCAGTGTACCAAGAACATGTCGGGCGTTTGGAGCTTCGGTCTGTGGATGTTCGCTTTCTACTTCATTTGGAAATCGATCCAATACCTCTTGGATCTTGGGCGGCTACGCAACATCCGCGAGTTCTACCTCCACCTGCTCGACATCCCCGACCAAGACATGCAAACGATTACGTGGCAGGAGGTAGTAGCCCGCATCATGGCGCTAAGAGATCACAACCCCAAGACAGCAACAACTTTGACAGCAACCCAGCGGCAGTGGCTCGGCAGCCAATCCAAGGAGAGGCTCGACGCATCGGACATTGCCAATCGTCTCATGAGGCGAGAAAACTACTTGATTGCGCTGATCAACAAGGGATGTCCTTAACCTGACGATCCTCTACCCTTTTTAAAAAATCGACAGTTCTTCTCCCGCACCATGGAGTGGCTCCTCATGTTCAGCATCGTCGATTTTGTTTTCGACGAGAAAAACCAAGTCAACCAGGATTTTATCCGATCCGAACGCCGAGCCGAACTGAGCTCGAAGCTCCGCGGACGATTCCTGTTTACCGGAACCATGGTCCTCTTTCTCTCGCCTTTTCTAGCCACCTACCTTCTAGTCGTCTACTTCCTCATGTATTTCCATGTAGGTAGCTCTGTCACATTATGGCGTGCGTAGCCGCTAACTACGTACGTTTCACAGGAATTTCATAAGACTCCGTCTGCCTTAGGGGCTCGAACATACACGCCGCTCGCCGAGTGGAAGTTTCGAGAGTTCAACGAACTACCCCATCTGTTCCGGAAACGACTCGGCATGTCTCATCCATTCGCCAGTCACTATATCGACCAGTTTCCCAAAGCCAAGACGGAGATGCTTGCCTGGACGGTGGCTTTCATTTCAGGTTCTCTCGCCACTGTCCTTGGGCTGGCCTCAATCATCGACTCCGAGTTATTTATGCACTTTGACATTACCCCCTGACAAAAACGTTGTCTTCTATGCGGCCGTATTCGGAGCTATCTGGGCAACTGCCCGGGGTATGACGTCGGAAGAGAATTCGGTTTTCGATCCCGAGTTCGCTATGCGGAATGTCATTCAATATACTCATTATGAGCCGGATCACTGGAAGGACAGACTCCATAGCTTTGACATCAAGCTCGAGTTCTCGGAGCTGTACAAACCCAAGGTGGTCATCTTCCTCGAGGAAATTTTGAGTATCCTCAGTATCCCCTATGTTTTGTTGTTTAGTCTTCCCAGGTCTAGCGACCACATCATCGACTTTTTCCGGGAATTTACCATTCATGTTGACGGACTCGGCTACGTTTGCACCTTCGCCGAATTCGACTTCAAGAAGGGCATTGGTAAAGGCGATGGAAACAAAGACGGCAGGGATGCGGACGTTCGAGACGATTACTACTCGACGAAACATGGGAAGATGGAAGCTTCTTACTATGGCTTCATGGGCAACTACGGCAACTACGCCCTTAACCCACGGACCGGAGCGGCATCACATCTACCGCCGGGGGCTCGGAGTCAGTTCCATCCGCCGCCAGCCTGGCCAAGTATAAACTCGCCGCCGCCTGCAACCGACCTCCAAACCTCAAGGATGGGCTGGGAACGGGCGAGGGGTGGAGGTTTAGCCAGGGAAGCGCGGTACGGCGCAGCACTGCCGCAACCATCACCCATGGCGTCCATCTTGCTCGACCCACATCATCATCCGCCGAATACGCTCCTTGGTGGCAGAAGCATACACACGCCTCGCCACCAACGCGGCGCAGGTTACCAGGGCGTTATTGAAGAAGGTCTTGAAGATGATGGTGAGGTTAGTGAAGTTGGCAGGCCACGGGATTATGAGGAAGCGTACGAAAGCGGGGGCGCCCTCGACGAATCGGCATGGCAGACATCACCTACCCGAACGCTCAGCAGGGAGAACAGTGCAGCAGAAACCAGCCGACCACCAGAAGCCGGAGTTGTTCACATGATTTATCAATTCAACCAAGCGCAACTGAATCGCAGACCGGGAGGAGTGCGATGAATAAGCGATGGTGGTGCGGGGGATTATCGATTTATTAGCTTATTGATACTCAGTACTTGTTCGAAATTCGCATTCTATGAGAGTGAAGCCGGCCGTATGGCCGATACGGCCGAGCCAGCGTTGGCAAAACTTCCCGAAAACGTGACGTCCCATGCCAACATCATCCTCCCTGCCTGCCGCGTGATCCCCGTCACTAAAAAGGAGGTTGTCAGCCTTAGACACCCGCTTTTACCGGCTTCAGAAAGAGGATGACGCCCGTAGGGTAAAGAATTCATGGACGCGCGGCTTAAGTTGTCCAGTCAGCATTTCCCCAGGAATTTGTTAGATAGCCAAGAGATAAGACCGAGCTCAAGCATTTCCTCGCTGCGTTGATTCCGTTTTGCACGTTTGTGCCTCGGAGAAAGGGTCGGCCACCTTTCGGCCCCGGCGGAGGCGGGGCCCGCCACGGATCTGATAAGAAAGCTGCAAGGCTGTTTTACCGAGGGCTCTTGTGCCAGTGCGGACGCTAAAACGGATCAGGCGGAGCATCTCCGGTATCGAACCCACCAAAGAAGCCACTAAAGTCCTGGGCTGCGGGGCAACAACCAATGCTTTCTTGCCGCCCGCCACCCCTGACCTATTGCCCGTGGGAGGTTCTCAATTCCCCGACCTCCGTGGCCGAAACAGGCCCAATTTTTTCTGGGCGCTCTTGGAACAAAGCCGACAACGGTCATAGAAAAATTCGGAGCTTGTTTGTGCATCGTCACAGCCTCAACACCATCATCGACCGGGATCTCCATTTTGCGCCCCTCCCCATCTTGCGCGGCCTACGGCAAGACACACCTGTCAAATCCTGGCCTGGACACTGCTCTTAAGCGCATCGTAGCCGCCAAGACATTAGCGGTTAGAACAGCGGGCTTAAAGTTTGGCAGTTTGTGGTGACGACGACTCCAAACAGAACTTCACTTTTCCCAACATTGCGTCACTTGGTGCCTCTCCCGCAGAAGCTTGGTCGCGCACCCCCCGCCAATCTTCCCCTCACAACAACACACACCTTCACCCCTGGCTCTCGACGTAGGCGCGCCCGGGAGCCGTGGTCTTTCCCCAATGGCTCAGCCAAATGCCGAGCCCGTGGAGGACTACGAGTGCGTCCGCCGCCCTGCGTTTGCCGACGATCGACCAGGGCGACATACTGCCGAAGGACGACGAAGTGCTAACACTATTGCAGTTATGAAATCCGCTCTCCACCCAACTTTTCGTTGCTCCAGAACATGACTGCCGGCGCTTTCGCCGGTATTGCGGAGCACTGCGCAAGTGAGTCCCCCCTCTCTTTGATATCGGCGTCCAAATTCAGATACTCCCACTCTTCCTACGGCCAGGCGCTAACACGATGTAGTGTACCCTATCGATGCGATCAAGGTGAGCAGACGCTGCATCCTTACTATACCAACATCCTCGCCAGCCGATGTGACAGCGCCGCTGACCAATTACACCGTGATGCGCAGACTCGCATGCAGCTTCTCAACCCTTCCTCCTCGACCGTTGGGACGGGAGTGATCCAGGCTACATACAGGATGGCAAAGACAGAGGGTGTCTTGAGTTTATGGCGGGGAATGTCCAGCGTGATCGTTGGAGCTGGCCCTGCTCACGCTGTCTATTTCGCGACTTACGAAGCTGTCAAGCACGTAATGGGCGGAAACCAAGCCGGTGTCCACCACCCTCTAGCCGCTGCGACCAGTGGCGCATGCGCAACGATTGCCAGCGATGCGTTAATGAACCCCTTTGACGGTACGTCTCTTCCCAGTGTCTACCCCGCGGTGGGTCGTTGCTAAACACCTCCGGGCAGTCATCAAGCAAAGAATGCAGATCCAGAACTCGGCGAAGATGTACCGCTCCATGCTCGACTGCGCGAAATACGTCTATAGGCAAGAAGGTCTTGCTGCCTTCTACGTCTCTTACCCGACGACCCTTTCCATGACCGTCCCCTTCACGGCGCTGCAGTTCCTTGCCTACGAATCTATCTCGACCTCGATGAATCCCAGCAAGAATTACGATCCCGTAACACACTGCTTGGCGGGAGCGGTGGCGGGCGGTTTTGCCGCCGCACTCACGACCCCCATGGACGTGATCAAGACGATGCTTCAGACGCGCGGCAGCGCTACGGATGCCGAACTCAGGACAGTTAACGGGTTCATGGCCGGCTGCCGGTTATTATACCAACGAGAGGGCGCTCGTGGTTTTTTCAAGGGCGTGCGGCCGAGGGTGTTGACCACCATGCCCAGCACAGCCATCTGCTGGTCTGCCTACGAGGCGTCGAAGTGGGTATCCCTGACATGCCTATCTTTTAGGTTTAGGCCGTAACGCTAACCAGGTTGTAATCATAGGGCCTACTTCATTCATCGCAATACTAAGTCGACCTCATGACGGGAAGGCAGAGATGTAACGGGTTAACTGGATGAAAGGTATTTGCATCCCCCAAACAACCCAACCTACCCTGGCTAATGCTTAGCTTACCCTTACAGAAACCTCGCGGCCAGGGTAAATTGATTCATCCACCAAAGTGATACGATGCAAAACCCTCGCTTTATTGCGAATTCGAGGTCGACACGATACACTTCGGGCCCTCGAGCATTTGGCCGGCGGGAAAAGGCTGGCGTCATGTGCTGGAGCTCAGCACTGTGTACATAATCTCTTGTTGTCTCTCGCGCCCGGTGGGTTTAGATTTTGAAAGGGCGTTTCTGCTAAATACCAACCTGGACACGGGCTACTTGCCCGCCCGCAATGGCGTGTTCACCTACCATCACCGGCCCATCAAGTCAAGCCAGCTCTGACTGCCACCGGCTTCACTCGGAAATGTCAGCATTGGCGTTGCAAAACGCGAGGGGATAGTTTGAGTGGCTGCATTAGCTTGATCTGCCACTATTACATCGGACGGGGGCGGACCGGAAAAGGTAAGCATGGGACAAGTCCACAGGAAAGGACACATTTCTCGCTCATCGGTTTCTTCTAAGCAAAGAATAGCTGGATGAGAGATAGGATTATCCAAGGCGGGCGCCCTTCCGTTCAAGACGATCAATGGTGACTCCAAGTTGCTGCGTTTGTACATGTTTTTACTATTGCACTTTTCTGTATCACACTGTTCGGTGTGGCAGGGCGGCAAATGACCCACCTCATCCACGCGCTCCCTAAAATCACGCTTGTACTAAACGAAAGCAGTGTACAACCGTACCCTCACCAGCGAGACGAACCACGCCCAATGCTGCTGCTACCTTGCGTAAAGCCTTATTAGTAGGCTCCGCATCACAACTAACACCTAAACTCCCTTCCTCTTGGTGCATAGAGAAGAATATAAAAATCGTAAAAATTACGCTCCGAATGGGAACCCAGACCCCCTGAAGTTGAATTGAAACTGCTGACCGCCGCCGCCACCCTGCTGGAACATGAACGGATGGCCTCCGCCGAACGGGTTGCCGTGATGTTGCGGCTGCTCGTGCGAGTTGGGGTCGTCGCCGCGGTCGAAACGCGCGCGTAGCTCCGGGTTGCTGAGCACCTCGTACGCTTCGTTGATAGACGCCATCTTCTTCTCTGCTTCCTCTTTGGTGAGGCCCTGCTTAGCCGCCTTGTCCGGATGGTGTACTTTGGATAGCTTGCGGTAGGCCGATTTAATCTGACGCTCGTCGGCATCGTGCGCGACGCCCAGCACCTTGTAGTAGTCCTTAGTCTTGCTGCGCTTGAGCGCGACCTGCGCCTTCTGCATAAGCGGGTTGATGGTCTCCTCCTTGCCCGGGTGGGCCTCGGCGGCCTTGCGGAGGGTGTTGATGCTAGCTTCGAACTCTTCCGCATCCAGAAGGTGTTTAGCACGGTAAAGTAGGCCGTAAAATGAGTTCTCGTCGTGTTCAAAGGACTCTTCGCAATATTCCTTGGCCTTCTTGCTATTTGACTGTTGTGAAGGTTAGAGACCGTGGAAAGAGTGACAGCGACAACGCGGAAGGTAAACCTACTTCATAATAAGCCTGGCAAGCCATTTCAACCAGCCTCGCAACTAGAACATTCCCTGCTGCTCGGGGGATTGTGCCTTCCTCCCTCAATAACTTTACCTGGTCCTTAACCTCCCGAATCAACCCTTCGTCATCCCCCGATGGCACAAGTTGTCGCACCGCCGTCATGTGTTGGCTCTTGTCTAGAGCCTTGGTAACCTTCTGGATCACCTTATCCACCTGCTTTTCCAACTTCAACAACCGCTTGCACTCCTTCGAATCTGGGTCGGAGTGCAGGCACTTCCGGATGGATGCCATGCCGTCCTGCAACTCGCCAAGCGCGTAGAACTGTATAGCCGAAATCTTGACGTGGGGTGATGTATCGCCGGGTTTCATCTGTAGGATGTGCTGGAGATCACCGATGCCCCTTTCCATTGCCCCCCGTTCGAACGCACACCTCGCGCGCAACTCGCGTAGCGACAATGCACGGTTCGCCGTCAAGATGGCATCGTCGGCTTGCTTAATGCATTCCTCCCAGTTCTCCGAGTTTGCGGCCGCCTCGGCGAGGGTTGCTGCGCCCTTGGCCTCCTCCAGACTCGCGAGCTCCTCCGTTTTCTTCGCTTGCAGGTAGTGTTCCTTGGCCAGGTCCCAGTCCCCGAAACGAGCTTTCAGCTTTCCCAGTTGCACGTGCGCGCCCTCGAAGCCGGGCTGGAGGGTAAGGACCTTTTGGAAGTCGTCGGTGGCTTGTGAGGTGCGACCCAGCGAAAGATAGGTGGTCGCGCGCTTGAAGAAGGTCAAGTAGTTGGTCGGGTCCCTTGCAATGGCGGCATCGTAATATACGAGAGCATCGCCGGTTTTCACCCCTCGACAGATGGGTTTGCGCCGAGGCTAAAAGCCTGGAAACGGGAGTATCGGCAGGAATGTCGGACGGCGACAGACAAGTCACCAACGATGGCGCCGATAAAATACTGGCAGCAAGCGCCAGTGTTGAGAGGCGGACCATCATCTCGGCGGAGGTGAGGGCACGGGGAGGCAGGGGATGGCGTTGCGCTTCGTTGACCAGGTGTGCAAGTCCAGCAAGCGAGAAAGGCGTTTAAGCGCGACCGCTTGCTGCAGAATCGGCTGGATTAACTACCTCGAAGTGGAAAAGGGCAGCCAGAGGCCGAGAGTATTAATTACTTGTCTGCCAACAAAATGTTTCTCAGACGTTGGTCCAATGTTGTAGGACACGCTGTAAAGTCAGGGTCACCATGAGCATCGATCAACAGCTCATTCCTTTTGACCACGCTGGACTTTCCCGAATCCATCAAAGCAATCTGGCCACTCTGTTTTTGGAAGCCGTCCGGGTACCTGGAGAAAAGGCCACTCATACCGTTAGCGCCACCCCTCACAGTGCATATCACAGTGCCTTGTCAAAAACGCGAGTTGTGTCAACTGGGTTCCAAGATGTGGGGTCGGGACTAAGTGGGAGTTGCGGGTCCCGGCAAAAAGGTTTGACCGCTTTTGCTGGGGCCGAAAAAATATTATCGGCTTGGAATCTAGCTCCATACAATTCGGTCCCCAATTGACGACACAAGGGACAAGCAACTCTCGATATTCGCCGTCAACACAACTCCCACGGCGGAAGTCCAGTCGCAATGTCATTCAGAGGAGCACCCCGAGGCCGCGGTGGCGGTGGTTTTGGTGGTGGTCGCGGAGGAGGTAAGCCAAAATGTTCAATTTGGGGTGAAACCCCCAAGATAGAACAGCATGTATGGAAGCTGACAACAGAAATACAGGACGTGGTGGGTTCCAGCAGCGGGACATGGGCCCTCCCGCTACCGTTCTCGAGATGGGCAAGTTCATTCACGCCTGCGAGGGCGAGATGGTGATCGAGTCTACAAACCCGAAGGTTCCGCACTTCAATGCGCCGATATACCTCGAAAACAAGGTGTGACCCTTCCATCCGGCTCTTCCTCATCCCAAATCTGACCAAATCCAATAATAGACGGCAGTCGGCAAGGTCGACGAGGTCCTTGGACCCATTAACCAAGTTTATTTCACGATCAAGCCTTCCGAGGGCATCCAGGCGACGTCATTCAAGTACGGCGATAAGTTCTACATTGCCGGCGAGAAGCTCCTACCTCTCGAGAGGTTTCTTCCGAAGCCCAAGCCTCCGCCGGGAACTGTCAGCAAGGTCAAGAAGCCTAGCCGTGGTGGCGCAGCCCGCGGTGGGCGTGGAGGGCCCGGTGGTGGTTTCTCGCGTGGCGGAGGCAGGGGAGGCGGTAGGGGAGGTTTCGGCGGGTCAAGAGGAGGCGGTGGCTTCGGGGGCGGCTTCGGAGGTGGCCGTGGGGGTGCGCCGCGGGGTGGCAGAGGTGGTTTCTCGCGTGGTGGCGGTCGGGGCGGTGGTCGTGGCAGGTTTTAATCTGTTACACTCTCAGCACGCTCTCCAATTCCGGAAGTGGGCGTGGGCCCTGTATAACTACGTGGTACTGTGCTCCACTGGGCGGTATTAGTCTCATTTTGGAGCGGAGCCAGAACGTCAAGGTCGGGATTGTCGTGGCGGATGCTTGGACTGGCTACACAGGCGTTATAGGCAGGCTTTGGGTTTTTATTGCCGTATTTCATGGTAAAACTGGACCAGATCTACGTCGTACATGTCACGGTGCAGCGTGGTAAAACCAGATGCCGTTTGGTCGAGTCTCACTGTTCATTCGCCACGTTTTTCAGCTTCTAAACTACCAGGCCTGCCGAGAAACTCAAGGGGGAGGTCAAGTTTTCGGGCGGTTTCAACCTCGGATGCGTTCGAACCTCCCCAGACCAGTGGGCCTCAAAGCGACGAGGACGCCGGCACTACACTCGTTCCTAATAGCTTCCATAACGGCCAGAAGCTTATCAAGTTGCATTAATGGCTCGCTTCCTTTACATGGCTTGATACACGCAGGGCGCTAAGCAATGATGGCGCAAAAGAAAAGAGGAGAGTGGGTAGAATGCGTGGCTTGATCTATCGGTCGCGAATCTAGGGTATTGTAGGTAAATAAGGCATCTAGCAGCAAACCGCACGTTAAGACACACAGAATCACAACCCCGCGTTTGATCCTCTCGGGTACTGGCCTGGGATATGGAGGTGCGAGATCGTCTGAGCGCTATCAACTCGGACCGCACCACCAGGCCTCGCGGAAATCTCACTGTCGATAATGCCGTCATCACCCGCTTGGGCTCCCGCCTTTTCCCCGCCGCGAGATGTCTGGGCTTCCACCTTGTTGCCATTGGGGGCGCTATCCAATACCCTGATTCCTTGGGGGTCGTAGATCTCGCTCCCTCCGCCATCCATAGTTGACGAGAGCTGTTGATGCGGATGTGGAAGCGGGATGGGCACTGGCTCGGCCCACGTTTGAGAATCGTATCCTCTGTCCACCGGTGATACGTCGTGTGTTGTGGTGGTCGAATGGCCTGGCATGCCTGGTACCTGCAAACTCCGCCTTTGTGGCCCAGTCGTAGCCGCTGGGTTAGGAAACTGCACTGGCCCACCCATAGAGCCATCCATGGTAGTAAGACGCTGGGAACTCCCGGGCTCGGTCCCGCGTGGTTGGCTATGATTCTGCAGGCCCTGTGGGTGTTGACTCAAGTCGCTCTTTGTGGGGACAGTTGCGATGAACGGGTCATGATGATTGAGACTTTCGCCGTATCCGGAGCTTGCGCTAAGAGGTGAGACAGGGACCTGTAAACCCCTTTGTGCGTTTACCTGGAGATCGGATGGGAACCGCCCACCAGAGGGACGTCGCGAGAGCCCATCTTGTCTTGATTGTTGGTTAACCGAGGATACGGTAGCCGTGAAGGGTGGTTCCTCGTCATCATCAACACCGTCGCTGCTGACAGACGACCGCTGTGAAGACCGGCTAATGCTCTTGCTATTGGCGCGCACGATATTACTGCGCTCCCCGAGCGTCTGCTCCGACACATTGGTTTATTTTAGTCGTACCAAAGCCCTTCATAGTGTCATGGCTTCTCAAGCACAAAAGGACCCAATTAAGGCCCACGGTAGCATCGTCCCAGTTTTGTCGCCCCTTGAAGACAAACTTTATTTGAAGAGGTGCCCATCAGCGGGAGTGGGGATCCTAGTTTTCTCCTTCGAGGAGGTAGAGAGACATGAGGGGGTGCTTGCGTTTTTTTCTGCCCGATTTTGTACCTCATGAAAGATGAGTGGGAGAAGAGAAACATACCTGAACATGTCAGCTATTGAGCATCTTTAATTTATAAGGCGGCCGGGACTCACCATCCGGGCGTGTAACTCTTCAGATACTTGCTCTTTCGCTCTAGAAGCCCCGCGCGTATCTCCTGGCAAGCATAATGATCGCGGCCGGGATAATGGATGGATCCTGCTAACCGCATAGGGAGCTCGGGGTTCACGAAACGGTCATCCCTCTGTATGAATGACGTCCATTCTGTGTCCTTGGCCATGGATACGGGTCCGGCGCGAAGCTCCTCGATTGTATGGTAGGCGGCATCTGATTCTCTTTTGAGGATACCAGCGTACGCGTTGTAGGCCTTTTGAATCTCGCCGACGACAATGGATTCAAGCTCGTTTCCCGAGTTCTCCAAATTGAGATAGGCCTATGTAAAGATTACTGTCAGTGACTCCAATATCCAAGCACAATCGTGCGTCTGGGATAGTATATACCTGATGCAAATAGTTCTCCTCGTCGATTTGCCGTTCAAGTTGCCGATCCACCGCGAGCCGTAAGATATAGGGGTCTTGTTTTCCTATGGTTAGAGCAGGGTCGAGCTCATTCTGTCCGAGCGCTTCTTGTAGTTGATTGACGGCCTTGCGTGTACTGTCCATCTCCTTATCAACCGAGTTCTTGAAATCGCCCGACAAGTTCTTGATTTCCTTGATCTTCTGGTGGAGGTCACTCCGTAGCCCAGTGAGGGCCAAGATCACATCCTCCTCGATTTCCCTGGCCTTATTAGCCTCCGCAATGGCTTGTTTGTTGTAGCCTCTCAGTATCTGCAATGCATCATCCAGACCACCAGATGAAAGGAACCCAGGCGGGGTGGCAGTGTTGTTCAACACGTTTGCCAGTTTTATAAGCGATTTCGCCCGGTGCTCGTAGTGTGTTTGGATTTCCCTAAAGTAGATGATGAGGTCTTTGAGCGTCTTCCGCCACGCTACCAGCAACACGTGTCAACAAAGTACACAAGAGAAGAGCAAGTCAAGAAGACGTAGAAGACGGACCTTGGAACCGATTCGCGAGTGCCTCGGTCGGGTTGGCTGCGGTTGGCACTGGGCAATAGAACGCGCTATGCATCTCGTCCTGGTCCGTTGCTGGCTGCAGGGCTAGACTCCTGACGCTTCCAGCTTTCATGCTCCTACGGCTTCCGCTCCGTTTTAGGCTCGCGCTTCTTCGAATCGATGCCTTCTTCCTGAGGGTATTGCCACGGGACAAAGACGATCCATCTCCGATGACACCACCCCCATGGCCAGAATAGGATGCCGACCGTTGCATCCCGCTAAGCCCCTGGTCATCGACAACGGAGCTCCCACGCTGGCTAGCATCCCACTCCTCTATAAACCTGGGGGGCCGCATAGAGGCAGGGGAGGTCATGTGGTCGCCATAGTCGCCGTGTGAATTTGCGGCAGTGTTGGGGAGCGCCTCGGTACCAGTAGAACCTGAGTGGTGGTGTGTCTGTTGGGCTTGTGGGTGCGGGGAGTGGCTCGTTCGGTCGTACCCGTTGGCCTGCGGTGTGGAAGCAACGGCGCCCTTGACCGTCGACATGGCCTGGAGGTGCGCGAAGCGTGGATGGCGTTCAAGTTATGATTCGCGCTCGTTCGCCTTGAAGAAGAGTGTTAGCTGCCGCGGCATTGGGTAGCAATACACCGCACTATCGCATAAAACCTTATAGGAACGCACTGTTTTCCTCGCGATAACAGTGATCCTTTCCCGGCATGCCGTTGGGATCGTGTGGCGGCGGTTTCCTCAGGGTGCCCACATAAGACACGGCAGGCGAATTAGAAAGAAAGAGGGATATGTAGAAGAAATAATGCTAAGGGGACTCGAAGACCAGGCGGGCAACGGTGTGTGGTGCTGTCGTTGTTGGCGGCTTGGGGCCCCTTCTTGGCGGACTCTCCGTTTACGGAAAACAACTGAGTGGGGTCCTTGCGCTTGGCTGGCAGGAGAGGGGCGCGAGTTAGTTATGTAATGTAAATCTCCGCCAAAAAAAAAAAGAGCAAGAGATCTTGATGAGCTTAAATGGAGCAGCGCCCTGGTCGGAAGTCGTTAATTTTTACCATAGCAAATGGCCCGGGGTGGAAAGCGTCGAGGCCACGAGGAGACGGAAGTGTAAATAGGTGTAAAGGTATGCCGAGGAGAACAGACGAACTTGGTGGATTAGCGGTTTCCAAGAACCTGGGCCAAGCTCCGGGCTTGGATGCCGCCCACGAATGACGTATGACGTGGCCTGGGAACCACTCCCTCCATCCGCCGGGTCCTCACCATTCAGTATCGAGCTCATGGGCTACAACTTAGCGTGACCCCCGCTCGCCCCGTGTCAAACATGGCTGTGTCGCTGTGCTTCCCAGCTAGCCAGTCCTCTTGAGTAAACAACAAATGAACCCCCGTAGTTACAGAGCACAGACAGGGTGGCAGTGGAACTCGCACTACTTCGTACATGCAGAGATGCAGTATGATGAATATATCAGGTAGTATTGACGAGGTCCGCTCTCCCGCAAGCTGCCTACAAATGAACAGGGAGTAGTCTTGGGGTATATGTATATACGAATATATAACTATCTGATGATTCGTAAACCAAAACAAAAAGAAACAAGAAAATTACTAATAGTCTAGGTAACAACACCCGCACCTGGCTCACGGCCAATGCATACAATCCGTGCCGACTTTGCCTCGTCGCTCTCCCACACTCTTAAGCGCCCCTATATTCTCATGCTATGAATCGCCGCCGGCGTGAGAGACGTGCCAGACGGTCTGTCCGTCCCCTCCCTCTCCCTGCTCGCGGAGTTTCTGCAGGATCTGCAGGGGAGTCCGTCTCGGAGGCTGTTTCTGAGGCCACAGGAGTCGAAGAGGCTTCGGAGTTTGTCCTGTTGCCTTTTCCCTTTCCGCGGCCACCCGCGTTGTTCCCCCCGTTGCCCTCGTCTTCGTCGTCCTCGTTGCCCGCATTACCCTTGCCCTTGCCGCCATTGTTCCCCCCGTTGCCCCCGTTGCCGCCACCATTATTATTCCCTCCACCGCCATTACCGCCGTCGCCGTTGTCATTCTCACCATCACTATTGCCCCCGCCATTATTGCCCCCGCCGTTATTACCCCCGCCATTATTTCCTCCGCCGCCGTTGTTAGCTCCCCCGCCGTTGTTAGCTCCCCCGCCGTTGTTAGCTCCCCCGCCGTTGTTGTTATTGTTGTTGTTATTTCCTCCACCACCATTATTTCCTCCACCGCCATTATTTCCTCCACCGCCATTGTTTCCTCCACCGCCATTGTTTCCTCCTCCGCCGTTGTTTCCTCCTCCGCCGTTGTTTCCTCCACCACCATTGTTTCCTCCTCCGCCGTTGTTGCCTCCTCCGCCGTTGTTTCCTCCGCCGCCATTGTTTCCGCCACCCCCATTGTTTCCTCCACCCCCATTGTTTCCTCCACCTCCGTTGTTGCCTCCGCCGTTGTTGCCTCCGCCGTTGTTGCCTCCGCCGTTGTTGCCTCCGCCGTTGTTGCCTCCGCCGTTGTTGCCTCCACCACCATTGTTTCCTCCGCCATTGTTGCCTCCGCCGTTGTTGTTGTTTCCTCCTCCGCCGCCACCATTACCGCCAGGGTCGGGAGCACCAGGACCGAGCGCCACAGCTTCGGCAATTTGATCCTTCGCCGCCAACCCATTTTCACCATCGCTGGCCGCAGGGTTGATAGTGTCAACATTACCAGATACGGTAAACCTGACACAATCGTCCTGAGATCCTCGCTGGGCTACAGGCATAATGACAGGCTGGTGATTTGCGGCCGAGGTGAGAGTACATAACCGATAATTCCCCGCTGGTAGTCCGCCGGTCACGGCCGCTGAGAGCTTTCCCTGTCCGTCACCAGCATCGTTGATGCCTTTGAAGAAGGCAAATTGAGTTGGATCTAGAGGTTGAGTCGGGTTCAGATTCGAGCCCGTATCCTGCACGGTGACATGAACATGGCCGACGATGTTACCACCTTCCAATTGTTGTGGTGCAGCGTAGTAGGTTGCTGCGGCATTAGTGAAGGAGCCAGCTTCCAAATTTGATGTCTGGAGCTCAATATCAAAGTCCTGGCCAGATTCAATGTCATCCCCGTTCTGCGGATTTGTGATCACTACAGAGATCATGTTGTTGGTGGAAGGAATCTGACCCATCACTGCCAAACAATCAGCACTCTCGTTTTTCACATGCTCCGCGTTACGCACCAATGCCGTTGCACGAGCCCCCCGTGATCTGTAAGCCATTGGTGAGCGTTTGTCCCTTGCAAAAGTTGATAAAATTGTTTTCCGATGTTAACGATGGCGCCTGGTCTGCATTGGCGCCCAGAGAACCTGAGCCGTCTGTGAAGGATCCAGCCTGGATAACATCAGGGTCTAGCGTGGGTGTCTGATTGTCGCCCTGTGCCTGCACGAGAGCCAGGTTACAAAGAAAAAGAAGTCCTTGGGTCCTCATAGTGCTACGCCAGCGTGGAAGCCCCAGGCCGTTTTTCCACTGGGCGGCAAGCGAGCGTGGTAAGCTGTCGGACGGGAGGAAGAGCCACGCACAGCGTGGTGACCCCAGAATCAAAAATCGAAGGCTAAACAAGGTGGTGTTGTACGGGGAGGGGGTAAAAACAGGGGAAGAAGAGCAAAGAACGACTAGGGTAAAGAACCCATGATTGCACTAGTTTTCGGGCAGGGCCTGTTATATTGGGTGCCATGTTGAGTTCGACTTTTTACATCTAGCCTTAATTCACTTGCATCCGTCTGAGGAATTAGAACTCTCTCGAAACGCGGATCAAGAAGGGTGTCGTCACAGAGCGCGAGCTGATGTAGGGACGATCTGACTCCCCTTTCCATCAAGAGGGGGGCGGGAGGGGGGCTAAAGCGGGGACAATATGGCCTCTGTCTGCATCCGAAAGTTCAGATGGGAGAACCAGATATTCACGCTTGCGTAGGAAGTGCACATCCAAGGGGCCAGTACGGCACAGCGCCCGTCGCGGCCCCCCTGGTCGAAGCCTGAAAGCGAGGCCAGAAATAGCCTCAAAGTCGCGCCGATAACACACCATGTGACAAGCACCGGCCGCCTCGGCCGGGGCCCGGAACGAGCGTAGCATGCCCCTACCAAACCCGGGGAGGTTGGTAGCCGGAGAGGGCAGTTGAAGAGTGGGTTGGATGAACGATGCCGCACGTGATTGAACGGGGCACGTGGGGTGAGAATGAAGCGTTGCATTTTTTTGTTGGCTCATCTGTTGAACCTGGGCTGGTGGCATTGGCAAATACGAGGAGCATCGGCCGCGGCGTCGGCGGTGACCCGGAATGCGGCCTGGGCAGACAGACCGTTAGGTTTCGACCGAATTGCTGAGCCGATGTTGAGATCGGGTGGAACTGAAACAGACCCTCGGGGGAACATGTGGCAGGAACCAAGGAAGGCCTTTACCGGTATGTACGAAATAGGTAAGTTACCTCAGAAATAAGACAATGCCTAGACAGGTAAGGCATGGACAAAATAGGTAATTTAACAACAGCAACAGGGTAAGTCTATACAGGTATATACAGAATAGGTAATCGAGTACACACCTACGCAGCCCCCTCACAGATGGGATGTTCCTGGTAGCGGGGCTTTATACACACGACCGTCAGGTTGTCCGGGCATATGGTTGAAGACGGACATCCGTGAGGCTATCTAGTTCATCGGAACTTTTCGGTTATCGACGGTCGGTCGAGACGAATGGGGAGTTTTGCGGCTACTTTTACTCCAAGGCTATCAATTGGCGACGCTCGCTTGGGGAGAAAAACAGTCCGATGTTTCCTTGGTTAGTTCCTGCAGCGATTGTGTCACTAACTGCCTAATATGGAGCGTAAGCATGTAGGTATGTATTTGCCCGGAGAGCCCGGGTGGCAAGTTTTGGATGTGTGCATGGCTCGCGCCGTATCGGGACGATGAGGTCGGCGGCATAGGTTGACGAAGGGAGTGCGCTTGCCGCCAGCCTGCAGGCTGCATGCACCTTCGGACCCCGATAATGGACGTTGCTCGGGGTCCCCAACTCGGGATAAGCGGACTCTAAGCGAGAAACCCGGCGTTCCTGGTTAAGCGAAAGTTAGTTTCGCTCGCCCATCTGCCTTTCCTCGCGCTTTTAAAGGAACTGCTCCTATCCTCTTAGCACCCGACAAGTGTCTTTTTAATCACACCTGTTTTGCCCGAGGTTTTTTTTTCGCTTTAATCAAAATTACACAGTACGCTCGCGACCTGTAAACATTTTCTCGTTCATTTCCCGCGTTGCACCTCAACAATGTCGTCGTCACCAGAATACCGGGCGGGCAAGCGGCCGAGTAAGTCAAAACAACGTTCATCCCCCTTCTAACATTCTCCCGTTCTCAGAGCCGTATATTGGTCTGGTTCAAGGGCCACCTTTTGACGGTTAAAACCTCTCCTCGGCCTCCTTGGGACCATCCCTGACCCTTTTCCTTGTGCTTGGTGGTGGGACTCGGATGCCTACCTTAAACTGTGGAGGGAAAAAAAATCCCCAACCGACCAACGGACCCCGCTTTCCGGCCGCTTGGGGCAAAAGTGTCAAAACCCACCTTACCTCGCATCACATCTTCCTTTTGCATGTTCAACTCGTCCCGCAAACCTCCCCCCGCACCTACAGAAATAACACAGGCCTCTGACTCGACCAACAACATTGGCAGGAACCCAATCACTCCCGCCTCCGGAGCTGCCGCAACTGGTGGCCGAGCAGCATGCCCCCATCCCACCAACCGACAAGGACTCGAAGCGATTGATTGTTGTCCTGTCCAATGCAAGCCTCGAAACCTACAAGGCGTCGCACGGCGGAGTCAGCCGCATGGGTGTCCAGAGGGAGGAGAAGTACTCGTTACTCAACAGCGACGAGCACATCGGCGTCATGCGAAAGATGAACCGAGACATTAGCGACGCGCGCCCGGACATCACACACCAGGTTTGAATGAGCCGTCGCTTGATCCGATCTGGCTTGTGCTGCTACTGACACCTGACTACGCATCGCAGTGCCTCCTCACTCTTCTTGATTCCCCGATAAACAAGGCCGGAAAATTGCAGATCTACATCCAGACTGCCAAGGGCGTGCTCATCGAGGTCTCGCCCTCGGTCCGCATTCCCCGGACATTCAAGCGCTTTGCAGGCCTGATGGTGCAGCTCCTCCACCGCCTCTCGATCAAGGGAACCAACTCGCAGGAAAAACTCTTGAAAGTGATTCAAAACCCCATCACCGATCATCTGCCTCCCAACTGCCGGAAGATCACGCTCAGCTTTGACGCGCCGATGGTGCGCGTGCGCGATTACATCGACACTCTCGGAACGAATGAGAGCATCTGCGTCTTCGTGGGTGCCATGGCGAAGGGCGCGGACAATTTCGCCGACGCCTACGTGGACGAAAAGATCTCCATCAGTAACTTCAGCCTGTCGGCAAGCGTTGCCTGCAGCAAGTTCTGCCATGCCGCCGAGGATAGCTGGGACATCCTCTAAGGTGCACGCCACGCCGCAATAATGGATGCGAGGCTGTTGTGGCCAGCCGTCATACTGGCCTTCAATGATACCGACAAGGACTGGGGACTGGATGGAAAGATCTGTCGGCTCCCTACCTTCATTCAAGGGGGCTGCGGTTGCATTGTGTCTGTTGCGTGATACAACATCGCGGTTAACGGCCTTTGTCTTCCGGAACTTGGGTCATCTGTGCTTGAGCTGTCGGTGTTTTTGCAACCAAAACATGGGGCATTCAACAACGGAACCCAAGACGCTTTCGTCGTCTGCGCGGTGCCACTTCAACTTGGCCCGCGTCTTCCCCGTTTTTCTTTCTTTTCCACTATAATTTTTCTCTCTTCCAAATGCTTGATGTACAAATAACAACCTGACCTACAGGACCACCCTGGAAGCACGTCGCGAACATGCACCCAACCCCGGCCCTGGGATTTGGGAAAGCTTTTTTTCGTCGGGGCGACGAGCCGGGGGCTGCGGACTAATTTGAGCGTGGTCAAAGGGCAATGGAGTCGAGGATGGAGTTGCATTGGGACAAGTTTTTTGTTTGAGTCGAGATATTGGGCTGGCAAATACGATTTGAATCTGGCCGTCTGCTCTGTGTTCAGTGCTATGCTCTAACTTCTTCGTCGACTTCGCCTCGCCGATGCCGTGAATGCAGCCCCTCAGTTCCCAGTCCCTGCAGCCGCTCATCGAGGGTTTGGTCGACAAAGATCCGTCCTTGAGAAGGGCGGCTTCTCAAGCACACACACTGGGCCAATCAAAATACTTGAAGAAGCGCTCAGGCAGGGTTCGTGCTGCTGAGACCCACCCCACCTCCTTCAAGACAGAATTGTGATGTGAAATAAATCTGTACTTCCACACCACCATTCAGCAAAGCCCTTCACGGTCACGACGGTCTCCTCACCGGGCCTTTGACCAAGAAGTGTGGAAGTAATGAGCAAACATTGGCCACCATATTTGCTAACACTCGCAGTATATGATGGGGTTGGTGACCACTCGGATCGAACCGTTTGGTTAGCAGTCGTGGCAGGGCACCACCGAGAGGCCCGGTCGGTAAAAATGGCGGGACATTGCTTGGAGATCCAAGGAGAAAATTGGAGACGGCCCGACGTGGCAGGCTGCGCGAGTTTGAGATCAGTGGTGCCGGATGTTGCTCCTTTTTGTCTTTGCACATGGACAATCCAATATTCTATCCAGGGCATGCAAACGCGAGGCACCTCCTCTCAGCCACCCCCGGCTTTTCCAGGACAGGGATTACAGCCGACCGGCTGAGCCCGCAAGCTCAGCACAGCAGGGCGAGGTTTTACCGCTTACCCGGCGCCCGATCCAATCCAGGTCGCGCGTGTTTGCGAGATGTCGAGGATCAGTGTTGAACAAGAGTCAACTTTCCTCAGCTGCCCTTGAAGTGCTGATGCCCAGGGATCGTATCCGGGCTGTGGGGATATTGGATATTCGGATGCTGAAGGAATATGGCTTCGGTGTCAAACGGGTCGCAGAGATCAACTTCATGCTTTGCCATTCGGTCGCCCCATGGGCCTCCCATGTCCTGTCCGCTCTCGTTGGACTCCAACCGCTGCGGGGCCAGAGTGTCAGCCCGGCTTCTTCGAGTCCAGGTTGGGCAGCACCGTTTTCGCCTGGCACACGGCCAAGCTTGCCTGCCGCTTCCCCATAATTCTTCAACGCTGTCCTTGGTTCAACAAACGAATGCACAGAGTTTGACTGGTGCTGGAGTGACTCCCGATGCGACTGATTTGCGTTCCTCCAAAGCCAGTTGTGTGCAAACAAGCGGCACGGCTTGATTAACGCTTTCCCAACAGCAGCCCGAGGCGAGGTGTTTATTCCTCACCCCATTCGACTAGCTGGAGCTTCGTGAGGCTCGGCCGCCCCGTGGCGTTTGCTTTGCTTTGCTTTGCTTGGATCTCAGCCGACGAGAGTACCCCGGCCAGCCCGCCTCGTTCGCGCCACACTGCCCTAGATCTCTAGGGCTATCTCGAGCGCTGGCGTCGAGTCTTTGTGGCCCCTCGTGCCTATCCCCGACTCCCCGTGCGACCAGAACGCACTGTTACGCTCCGCCTAAGGCAACTCCTGCCTCTACCCGGCGCGCCCGGGCGTAATTATATTGTACCAATGCTTCCCTTCTTGGAGGTCGACCACCTCCCCTCCTCCTCGTCTTTCTACTCAGCCGTTATACACCCCCTTGGCCTCCGTTACCTGTCTACCGAGGACGGACATTTCCCTTCCATCACATACGGAAACGCCTCCCGGACTACCCCTATCTTTCAGATCCGCCAGGTGATCTCGAGTAGAGATCGGCCCCTGAGGACTTCACGCATTGCGTTGAGCGCTCCTTCGGCGGCCGCGGCCGACTCCTCCTACGAGCTTGCCTTGCGGGCCAATCCCGACGCCCGGGACACCCACCCCCGCCACTCGGGCGAGAGTTACGCTGCTGGCAGTGGCGCATTCGCGCAACGGAGGGACACCAGCGGTGGCGGTACCCGTGTGCTTATAACTGACGTTGTTGGCAACATGATGGAAATTGTCTATCAACCTCCGCCAGATTACCCCTCGCAATACAACGGCTCGACCGTCCGCTACACCAGGTCAACCAGCGACGAAGCAAGCCGCATTCTAGGTTGGAACTACGACGTCGCGAGCTCGTCTCTCGCTTCACCCGCCGGCCCCAGTTCCACATCTGGCGGGTCTGTCCGCACCGCCACCCGCCGGTCCTACGCCCAGTATCCCGAGGAGGACGACCAACCTCACCCCTCAATCAGGCGGAGCGTCACCGCTGGGTCCTCTGTCTACGAACCCGCCGCATCCGCGCGAGAGAACTCCAACGGCTTAAGCGCCGGTGCTGTCGTCGGGACGCTCCTCGGTGTTGCTGCTGCCGGAGCCGCTTTCTACAGTATGGCCAAGGGCGACAAACCCCGCGATACTCGGCATGACTACGACATGCCGCATTTCTCACGCCGGTCGACCTTTCCGGAAAAGTACGACGGATATTCGGATCGCGAATCCCGATATGTCGAGGTGGAACGTGCTGTCGACAAAGTCCGCTATCCCCCTACACCAGATTATCGGCGCCCCCCACCCGAGTATATCGCGCGGTACAGCCAAGCCGACGCGCCGCGGAGCAGGGAGGTTGACGACATCTACGATGACTCACGGGGACGTCACCCATCATCCCGGCCGCGGACTTCTACACGGCCCCGCAGTGAGTCAGCGAGTTACAGAGACCCCTACGCCGGGGCCGAGGCGGAGTATCGCAGCTATGTGAGCTCGAAGGGCTCGAGGCACCCGCCAGTAGTACAGCGCAGCTACACATACGATAACCCTGACCGGGAAAGCTACGCCTCGGCCAGGAGCCAGCGGTCCAACAGCACGGTCCGCGGGGCCCTACCCGACCCCTACGGCGCACCGGCGCACGTCAGCTCGCACTCGAGGTCCGGCAGCCGTGTGATGACGACGACGACGACGACGTACAAAATCGGCGGTCGGCCCCGGAGCTACAGCCGGGAAGGCAGCTACTCTTCCGCCCGCCACGTCCCTATCCCCGACAGCCGAGCGCCGGCGTACTTATCGTCGCGCGACATCCCCGTCTCCGATAGCCGGGCCCCCGCGTATCTCTCGGTCCGCGACATGGCCTTTCCTGACAGCAGGATGCCAGCCTACACCTCGGCCCGCGATGCCCCGCCTCCAGCCAGCAGGCAGGCTGCATATGTGTCGGCCCACCATATGCCCTTATCAGAAAGCCATGCGGGTAGGTGGGAAGGTGATGACGACGACGATGATGACGACGACGGCGACGCGGACAGCATCGCGCCGAGTGACAGCATTAGCTGTGTTGGGACGCGGAGGAGTGGACGATCGCACTACTGAATGTGTCGTGGTGGTGTATATACCAGGAAAATGCAGTATGGTTTCTTATGTCTTCATGGTCAACGGAGCGGTTGCTTCAGGGGGTGTTCGGGGTGGGATTCATTGGCACCCTTTGGTTCTTTTCTGTACATACAGCACACACAAGGGGGTTGTAGAGTGATCCGGCGATGATATCTGGACTCTGGCAGAGCAATCTGGTGGTTACTATCAGGTGATGGGTTTCAGTTCCTTACATACCTAGGGTAATCAGAGATGTTGTTGAGTTATATGAATGTCAAGAGACCTCCATATATTCATATCTGGGTGCCAATTTCTCTCCCCACAATGCGATTTCCGTCGCCTAGGATATCCGCGCCGTTAGTCATTTCGTCATCAAGGGCGGGCCCTACCGCGACCCGTTTTAAAGATCTGACTAACTAGTGTAAAAACCCCACGTTTCGAGTGCCTGCGACTTGCCGCATGCTCGCTTCGTACCATACTCCGGTTCCAGTTCGTATGGAGGTACGGAGTATTTCGTACCTTGAAAACATGACTGCCCAGAGGAAAGGCATGTAGGTTCTCACTAGCCAGCCACGTTCTTCTCCTTCCAAACTCGCGAAATGCTTGGAAATGCTTGGCACCTATGTATGTGCCTTCCTTGTAGGATATCATGGACCCCCTTCGGAAATGCCCTCCCGGAGTTTCGTGACGTGCATCATGGCTGCTGCGTCTGAAGAGTGACAAGAGATGACCAGTGTGGTTATTCTCAAATCGGAAATTTGATGGTACCTGGCAGGCTGTCGTCCCCATATTTTGTCCACCAGCAACCCTCTTCCACCTCCGATATTCGGAATGCCTTGTTCGGGCACTTTGCCGTCGGTCCAACCCACTCACAACTCACCCGCACACCGCGGATGTGACAGGAACAAGTGAAGAACGTGAGCGTGGGCGGCAGGACAACGTGACATTCAGAGACCGAACCCCCTCCCCAAGTAAAATATACCCAAAGAACTATCCCCGTAGGTCCCGAACTTGGCCAAATCGGCAGCAGTGAGTCAACAACCCGGTACCTCCCCACCCACTCCAAGCATCAAACGCCCGCTCTTTCTGACAACTGTGGGGTGTTGCTGAGCAAAGCTCTCGAGAGCGCAAAGCGAGAGAAGACGAAAGGTGGAAATCCGGGTATCGAGTCGTGCTTTAAATATTTCATCTGACAATGCCCGATTTCGATCTCGGGGCGTCAATCCCCCCGCACACAGCCCATGTGAGCCAGCCCAGCCCCCGTTCTCTTGAATGGGTTGGCTCAGCTACTACGCACATGGCCAATTTGTAGCTGACAGTGGCTGCGCAGGCTGTGAGCGTCTCTCTGCCAACATGGAAGTCGAATATCGGCTATGAGGAGGGCGAGGACTGGGTTGTTGGCAAGATGTCAACTGGCTATCCTCGGTATGCCCCCGTGTATCTCATCTCTTTCCTCCCTTCCTGTCGACTGATAGCCTAGCCAGCTTTTTCATCCACAGGAGCATTCAGGCCTTTGCCGCAGACATCGCGTTAAGATTCGGAACCAAAGATTCCAGGGCCTTCCTGTTTCCGACACGACAAATCGCCGCCCGCTGTGTGCGCTTCGTAAATGAACACGCATCCCCTGCCGTCGCCTCCTCACTCGACACCATTCATCTCGTCTTAGACAAGACAAGGTCGATCCCCGAGGCTTTGGAGTCGCTCTCTCCGGTGATTTCCGCCGTTCTATGCTCCCAGAAAACCTTCCCCGTCCTTAAGCAATTCTGGCAACACACGGGCGACGGCGTCTCTAGCCGCAGAGCCGAATTTTGTCACAGTCTCTTCAAAGATGGCCTGCTTCATCCAGATGACGGGGCCACGACCCCAGCTTCCACGAGCCCGAAACCATGCCGAGGGCCCAGGCGTTACCAGCGACCGGCGTCAGTCGACACGACGAAAGCAACGCCTCAGCAGAAGCCCAACCCAGACCACAGTTCGGCGGCTGGGCCCGAGATCCAGGAAACGTCGCGATTCCTGGAGGAGCGCTTCGGCCGGAATCTTGACATCTCCTTCGTGCAACCCGCCAAATCCGCCATCAAGAGGCGGATCGCCGGTGCCCTCCGGAGCGACTGCGAGCTCACCACTGCGCCTGCCCCTGAGCACGAAATGGAGTCTAACTCGCGGGGCGTCGTCAACCTCAAGGAGGATGACATCTACCTCTTTCCCTGTGGTATGAGCGCCATCTTCAACTCACACCGCGCTTTACTTGGCACCCATGGCAGCCTAAAGAGCATCAACTTCGGTTTCTCCTATGTGGATACTTTCAAGATTCTCGAGAAGTTCGGACCCGGGGCCGTATTCTACGGAAATGGCTCTGAATCAGACCTCGATGATCTCGAAAAGCGTCTAGAGGGCGGCGAGCGGTTTCTGGCGCTGTTCTGCGAGTTTCCCGGCAACCCCTTGCTGGCATGCCCCAACTTGGTGCGCATCCGGCAGCTTGCCGATAAATACGACTTTGCGGTCGTGGTAGACGAGACCATCGGCACTTTCGCCAACGTCAACGTGCTGCCCTTCGCCGACATTGTCGCAAGCAGCCTGACCAAGATCTTCTCGGGCGACTGCAACGTCATGGGAGGCAGCGCCATCTTCAACCCCAACAGCCGGTACTACGCAGCGCTGAAAGAGTGGGCGCGGACCGGCTACGAGGACACGTATTGGCCCGAGGATGTGATGTTCATGGAACGCAACAGCCGCGACTTTGTCTCCCGCATCGACCGGATCAATGCCAATGCCGAAGCCATCTGCGATGTGCTTAGGGATAGCCCGCTAGTCAAACATACTTTCTACCCCAAGTATAACAAGTCCAAGGCTAACTACGAGGCATGCAAGTTGCCGAACGGAGGATATGGTGGCCTGCTATCGGTCGTTTTCCTTCGGCACGAGCAGGCTGTGGCATTTTACGACGCGGTTGAGACGGCGAAGGGTCCAAGTCTGGGTACCAACTTCACCCTCACCTCCCCTTACGTGCTGCTCGCACATTACCAAGAGCTCGACTGGGCTGAAGGGTTTGGGGTGGAGCGCGACCTAATCCGCATCAGCGTTGGCCTGGAGGAAACCGAACAGATTGTGAATGTGTTCAGAGCGGCGCTGATGGCGGCCGGGGAAACCGCTGCAATTAAGGAATAGCGATCGATAGCTAGCGGAAACTAAGAAGTGAATTATTCGCTGCTTGTGGTATCATGCTCGCCTGCTCCTGTCTATCGGTGCTCAAATCAAGGCAGAAAACCGCCACGCTCGGTACAACTCCGCCGTGGCCAGAAAAATTACATCACAGTACACGCAGCAGGAGGCTCCATGCCCCCGTAAATATCTCCTAGCAACTCCCTGCGCCGCTCAAACTCGTTGTATGCCTGTTTTTCTTTTGCCTCCTTCGGAAACCATCGCTCCATATATCGCACGAGGGTCTCGTCGATGTGGGCTGGAGGTGAAGGTCAGCAGATGCCAGTGCGAGTCCGGGGGAAGGAGACATACTCTCGTTTGCGCTTTGGACAACGTCGGCCCGGCAGAGCGGGCAGTAGCGTTTGTTCTGGTTCTGCATCTTGATCATGCAGCGAATACAAAATAAATGGTTACAATCGAGTCGGATAGGCAACCAGCAGAGGGAAAGGCCTAGAAACGACGGTGAGCCCCGGGTTCCAGTCACGACACATGGTGCCAGTGGCCATGTAACCTAAAATCCAGAGTGCCCTTTGGGGAATATGGTACTCACATATTGTACACGAGTAGTCAACGATCTGAGGAACTAAACTAACCACCTCGCGAGCTAGTTGGGCGCAAATGTCCTTGGAAATGGTTTCGGATATGAAGTTGGCGGAATACATCACTTTTGGGAACGTCCGCTTCACTCCTAAGGATGTCCGTTTGTCAAATTCTGGGCAGCCGGTTAGCAAAGTCGTGCGCCAGAATGTATCGTCAGAGATCACTCACTCTTGATGATCTTGGTAACAGCCGTCTGATTCAACTCCTGGAACTGTAGGTTTTGCAGTAGAGTCGCGTTCAAAGCCAGGAATTGGGCATACGCAGTAGCGCTTGACTCGATCTTGAACTTTTGCGGCAGCTGCCGTTTGTTGACCTCATCCTGGAACCAAACAAGTTGTTTCTGCGCCTTCTCGCTTTTGCGTAACCCGCCCGTGACTTCATACGTCGAGAAGAATACCTGCGCAGCCAAATAGAGCTCGAAAATCTCACGCCAGCGATAAAGATCCGACTTGGACAGGTTCAGGATCCCCTTGCGCGGCTTGGCTACTCCGGCAATCTCAGTTCCCAGAATCTTGATCTTGTCGTTCATCGATTGCCTCTCCTCATCCTGGAGCGCGTCGAGCTGCGTGACGTCGGTTTGCAGGAGGCCGAAAAACCGAGAATCCGAATTCAAAGGGATCTTAACCCACTTGTCGGTTTCATAGCCCCCGTGGTCTTGGGCTGGCTGGGATAAGCTAGTAGCATCCGTACCCTCGGCCCACAAGTGAGTCTCGCTCAAAGATCCGACCTCCGCGGTGTTTTTTAACGAGAGGTTTGGGCGCACAATAAGTTTCGGCCGTAGCAAATGAGAAACATCCGTCTCGAGTCGGTATTCGGCGTTATGGTCGGCCAGGAGCTGGTGAAGTGTATCGGGGTCGTAGCCTTTTTTGATGAGCTCCTCCCGAACCTTCCCTAGGAGCTTTTTCAGTTGGCGGTAGGGGATGGCCTTTTCCACCCAATGCTGCGGGTAGCTCTCGGCGGCCAGGGCCTCCTGAAAAGCGTGGCCGAATTTCATGGTAACAGGAGCGGGAACGTGAACGACCAAACTGGTTCAAACCCGGAAAGACGCCTGTGCATGACGGGAAGCGAGTACATGTACTACCAGCTTAGAATGGAAAAAACGCTCCGCTTGGTAGGATGGTCGAGGATGAAGCACAAACAGATTGTCCCGCGGCCGAATGTGAACCGGCGAGAAAATAGCTCAGAAGGGACGCCGGTGAGGAACTATCTCGCTTTTGTACCTAACGGTTACCGGCTGGAGTAAGTGCCTTCGACCAGGCTTCTTCACATCAGGAACGCCGCCCCATGGCTTTGTCCTGGTCTGGGCCCTTGGTTACGTAATCGAATCACTGGTCTGCCTTCATGAACCAGCCCTGCTGACAACTGTCGCGTGACCCATTACTTAGGTCGGCTCGAGGTCGGTTATCATGCAGCCTTATTCGTGTGTCCCTGGCATTCTGCCCACTTGTTGGTGGCGGCAAAAAGCCTGACGGCACAATATGCACAGGCAGGACAGGTCATGGACGGATGTGTTAAGATTCAAGCATGTAACTAACTCTAGGATACGGTAAATTACGATACCTGCTGTCCCACTTTCCCCGCCCCCACTACAATTTTCCTTCATGAACCCCACACACAGTAAGGACGGAATGCGCCACACTGCTCGCCCTGAGGTCCTACCCGGCTCGATGCAAGGGGGCATGTCCTACCGACCAGCCACAGAAAGGCAAAATAGAACACCAATATTTTTCCAAACCCTAGCGAGCTGATAGGCGCTCGAACGGCTTCGTGAGATGGGAGCCGAGCAGTCAGCCCCGCGGGGCAGCGGCAACCAAGTCGCAGTTGAGCGCAAGACGTGCTATTACGAGCTGCTCGGGGTAGGCCGGGAGGCACCAGATGAAGAGTAAGTCGCCCGCTTTATCCAGGAGCTTCCTATGGCCTCCGGCCACACACACAAAAAGCAGTTGGTTGTTAATCGTGGTTCGTGGGCAGGATCCGCCGAGCTTACAAGAAGAAAGCGCTTGAACTACATCCAGACCGCAACTTCAACGACACCGAGAACGCCACTAGACGGTTTGCCGAAGTACAAACCGCGTATGAGATACTGTCTGACGCTCAGGAACGTGCCTGGTACGATTCCCATCGAGATGCGATCCTTAGTGGCGAAGACGATGTTACCGGAACGGCACCCACAGACCCTGGGAACGGTCACACCTCAGCCAATGCCATATTCGCCCTAATGAGCCGATTCAACTCCAGCGTGCCGATGGACGACAGCTCGAGGGGTTTCTTTGGGATCCTGAACGAATTTTTCGACCAGCTAGCTGCGGAGGAGAACGCCGCCTGCGACTGGGCGGGCATCGCGTCGACGGAGTATCCGCCGTTCGGCAAGACCAATGATGACTACAATACCGTTGCAAGACGTTTTTATAATGCGTGGTCGGGCTTCTCAACCAAGAAGACGTTCAGTTGGAGAGACAAATACCGACTTCAAGAGGCCCCTGACCGTCGTGTCCGCCGGTTGATGGAGAAGGAAAACAAAAAATTCCGGGACGAGGGCGTTCGGGAGTTCAACGACGCCGTTCTATCTCTGGTCGCGTTTGTCAAAAAGCGAGATCCCCGCTATGTGCCCAACACGCAGTCTGAGGCTGAAAGGCAGCAAGTCCTACGGAATTCAGCCGCCGCCCAAGCAGCACGGTCACGGGCGGCGAACCAGGAGAAGCTCGCTGAATATGTTGTCCCAGACTGGGCGCAGTCTAGGGATGAGGGTGTAGACCAGGACGAATTCTCGATGTCAGAAGAGGAGGAAGAAGTTGAGGAGATCGAGTGTGTTGTATGCAACAAAACGTTCAAGAGCGAGAACCAGTTCGAGGCGCACGAGAAGAGCAAAAAGCACATCAAAGCAGTGCAAACTCTACGGCGACAAATGAGAAAGGAGAACGCTAATCTTGATCTAGAGGGATCAGGACCGATTTGCTCGGCGCGATCGACCACCCCAAGGGTTGAGGCAGAGGAGGCTGACGCCCTCGAAGGTGGTACGGTATCTCAGGCAGAACAGGTCGAAAGGGACGAGGGGGGCCCCCGAATACCAGGCGGTATCGAAGGGGCAGCCCAAGGCACAAATTCACGGTCGGACACAGAGGATGACGAATACGCGCCGCGGTCAGCCGTCGAGGACCGCATTCTGAATGGGAGCAGCGGGGGGGGAAGGGCGGCAGACACGAGGGACAGCACGCTTGACGTGGTGGGCTTGACAACTGGTATACTGGATTCTTTGACAGTCGACAATGAAAAGGAGGAGGGCAAGAAAATCGGCAAAGCCAAATTGAAACGGGAAAAGAAGGCTGCTCGGCAAGCCGCCGATTCTGGATCATCCAATTCTGTGAGTCTGAACCACATTCCTCCATGAGTACACAAACGAAGCCGGCCCCTGACGCCAGAACTAGCACAAATGCGCCAAATGCAAGGAAACCTTCACATCCCGGTCCAAGCTCTTCGACCACATCAAGGACCTCAACCACGCAGCCCCTGTTTCGAGTTCCAACGCTAAGGCGGACAAAAAGAAGCGGAGTCGATAACGGCGCAATAACGCTGCGCCTAGCATGATGCCTGCTGCTGAAGGCTCGGTTGACAACCACATACGTCGCTAACAGGCATGACAAGGCGCCACAAGCTACCTGACACCCCGGTACCAAGCAGGGAGCGTGTTGCCGTGCTGAAACTGATGGGCACCTTTTCTGTCGGCTCCCGAGTAACCCGCCATCTAGCCCACGCCCTCCAAGGCCAGCAAACAACCTGACCCCGACGAGCACTGTTAACCAAACAACGAAGCAACACATCCATCTCGTGCCAGATAACCGGTACATCCGGTATACCCATTCTAGCAGCCTTATTGTTCAAGTACTGTGTCCACGTCGTCATCATCACTCAGGGTTTCCACTTCGTCAATCGCTTCAGCCCGTGCTCCGCCCATACCCCGCGCCGGGTCATGGCGCGATACGTTGATGATGGATTTGCCCTGTACGTGCTTCACTGCACTTTTCCACATATCCCAGTCATCCTCATCCTGAATCAGGAAGCCAATCAGCATGCTAGGGTCCATATCCTCGACGTGGAGATAACGTAGCCGCCGCGTGTGGCAGGAATCTAGCTCTTCCAATGTATAGTTGAGAGGATTTTCGCGATACTGGAGGGCTGGCCTCGGGTGGTGTGGATCGAGGTAGAATAACCACTGTCGCTGAACACCAACGAAATAATGTGACGACGAAGGTCGTCCCCTAAAAGAAATCAGCAAACAGACAATGGTTTCAGAGGTGCAGGGAGTATTGCTCACCCTGCAATGCCGATAGACTGTTCCATCTGTAACGTAGAAATCAAAGCCTCTTCATACACAGGGTTGATTTTGTCAATTCCCAGTCTCGTGCATACCAATATCAACGTTGGATGGAACGTCTCGCCATCAGGCCTGGCAGTGGCTAGGAAACTGTCTTCGTAGACATCAGGGAGATCCCCTGTAGAGTATATCCGCAACGAGCTCTCGTGTTGGTCTGCCAGAGCCCTACATGCCGTTAGCGGGGCCTTGCTATCGGCGTTCCACAGTGCATCTGACACGGTGTAACCTACTGGATGCAGCGCGCTGTTGCCGACGGTCCAAACCACTCCCCAGGGTGTTTCCCACACGCAATCGCTCCGTGTTTTACGAAGTTTTGTAAGGAGTAGGGCGCGCGAGCGTCGTCAGCGAACAGCGCGACGATATTACGCTCGGCACCGGGGTCTGTGGTTCGCCTCCAATCTAGCAACCGCCGCATTAGCGACAGAGCTTCGGCGCATGCGGATGTGGTAGCTCACCTCGTCCCAATTGTGAAATCAACAGTGCATTGGCCAACAAGCTCTGGCCCGACCTAATCATACAACCCCAACCTGTATCGGATGAAAACCCGGTTTGGTCCCCGAATGAGGTCTTGAGGCGCATTGTGAAGGACAACGCCGAAGCCGCCTTGGGATCGGTGGACCTCGGAATCGGCTCGAAACCAGTTCGGTAAGTCATCCATATCCGAGATCCAAAGTCATCCAAGAAGGCGGGAGGCCAACCACTGTCTTGGTTCCGATTATCATACGCGAGCGAGGAATCGAAGCTGCTTGCGAGTGAATCTGGTGGGGTATCGATAGCTTGCCGATTAGTCGTACCCGGGGTGGCAATCGGAGCTGGTGCGGCATCGATGGCGCCGTCAACTGGTGAGGTAGCGGTGGTAACTGGGGATGGTGTTTCAGGTGCGAGTTTATATGAACGGCCGAGGCACCAGACGGGTTCGTTGGAATCCCGGTCGTTAATCGGCTCCGGGTCCCAGATCTTCTGCAGTATACGGCGACTTACGCGGCTGGCTTCAGCGCCAACTGCCAGCGCGACTTCCATTGCATTCACTAGCTTTGGAGACGTGCTCGCGGCGACGGTCTGCCAGCGGTTGTTTCCTTGCCGTTGTGAAGTCATCAAAGACAGAGTTTCCCAATTTCAGTAAACCGGTCGTAGTAAAGTGAAAAACAAAGGGCGGTAGAGGATGAGAATATCCCAGGCTGTTGTGTCATGCGGCTGTTGGAACAGCGGAGCGGTCACCTCAGTCAACAAACAAGGGAAGGAGGTTGATGCTCAAACGGATATGCTTTCGACGGTACTATTGACCGTATTGCAATGAGAAATACTCTCGGGTTGTGTATGTGGGAGTTTTGTGCGCGGATATGGAGGAACTCGAGTGCGAAGATTACAGATGTGAAGAATTATCGATGGAGCGTGTGTTGAGAAGAAGGTTGAGAAGATGTAAACAGGACGGGATGGCCTGGAAGCTGCGCGGCAGGGCATGTCATCTGTTCCCGGCCCCACCTCTCTCCATTGACCCAAGGCTGACCTCCCCCACTCCCGTCGATCACCCGGCCCGCACCTATCTTGGTTAGGCGGTTTTCGCCGAAGAACAGACCAAGCACGGTGTTCGTAGCCTTGAGAAACCGATATATTATTGCAGGAAACAAACGCGGTTGTTTTCTCCTCAATAATATTTCTTCTATACTCCCGTCCCATTGGGACATCACTTCCAGTCTCCCCTGAGGGTCAATTCTGTGTCAGCTGCAGCTTGTAACCCTAACCCTGTTTTTGTTTTGTGACTCCTTCGGCCAAGGTCGCTGGTCAAACTTCCGAGTTTTGGCCACCGACCACTGCCTCGCCGGATCCGTCTTAGGAAAACCAAGAACGCGCGCACGTTCGCGACTGCGGTCCTTCTCCCTGCGGATCTATGTTAACGGCCTAGTTCTTCTATTTGCAAAGACAAGAAATCATCGGTCTTTACAACTCGACTATATTTCGGCCAACGATTCTGAATCCACGTCTCCCCGTTTTGTTTGCAAGCCATCGCAGCCATGCCGCCCAGAAGGGGCAAATGGCCTTCTCCAGGACCCAAGTCTTCACGTGGTCGGCCTGCAGCACACCGAGGCAAACTGCGAGACTTCTTGCCCGCAACTGCCAACACAGGCTTTCAGTCAAACGGTAGATTAAGATCCCGTCACTGTGAATCAACCTTGGATTACTAACTCCAAATAGGATTCTCTATGAAAGATGAGGCGAAGCATACGGCATCCCATCAATTCTCATCACTTTGGGGCTCGGGAGATGCTCAGCTTCGGCAGAAGCCCGTCACGTTTGTGAGCGCCGGGGTCGTGGAACCTCTCAAGGAAGCACGGCCATCCGACGATGCGCCAGCAGCCCTCACACCCGAGGGTTCTTTTCGGGATCCCACGGAGGGAACCAGCGGCACCGTCGAGGTGGAAAATGCAGACACTCAGACAGGGGCCATTCATGTTGAAACCTCGACCGAAAGCACCCTCGAAACCATGAGACAAGAAACCACTATGGCCGAGCCGCTTACGCAAAAACAGTCAATTGATAATCTAGGCAAACAGTTAAAGACACCAGTAAACGAAACTGCGGGTTTGTTTTTCTTTGATCTCGCAGAGGACGAACCCATGATGGACCACACCGTTCCGCCTCCGAAAATCCCAAGTCCGAGATCCTCATTCTCTGGATCGGATTCGAGCGAAGAGGTTATTCTCTTTAAGGGTCGGACTGCGAACGGCCATGCAACTGCTCAGAAAAACAAAGTCATCAGTCCCAGCTCTATGACTGCACTCTCCACGGAGTTGACGCAGCACAAATCCGAGACAATTGTGGGTGCAAGAAGTCCAATTCCTCGAGCTGTTGCGCATCCAACCCGCTCTTCCCGTGGGCGACCACGGCCTCGGAAGAAGCGCTCGCGGATTCCAAAGGCCCTGGACAATGGGGACGAGGACGAGGACGCAATATTGGCCGATTACATTGACAATATGGCGGCAGACTCGGACAACGACTACATCGAAAGTCAATTCCAGTTTGCCGCCGGCCGTCGAGACCTCGGTGGCGACGATGATGCAGTCAATTTCGGTTTCAGCAACGACAAATCACCTATGGACGACGATGTACTGAACGAGGAGGGAGAAGAGTGTCGAGGCTCCGACTTAAGCGATGCCGATGTTGACGACCTTGTGAATTGGGATGACGGTCAGAAAGACTCGGAGGCAGATATGGACGATGAGACACTTGCCCGACTTCTCGCTAAACAGGAAGAACTTGGGCTGGGAGGCGACGATCTCTTGCTTTACTCCGGCTCGTTTGTCAATAACGATAATAAAACGGCATCGAGAAAGCGCCCCGTCAGAGCAGGCACGAGCCGTGGTGTGCGTGAACCCGCCAGCGCTACCCAGGTTGCGGATGCGCTCGATAATTTGGATCTTGCCGACTGGGGCCAGCTCACCGGGCAGACGCGCAAACGACGTAGCAAGCAACCCCCTCACTTTGCAGTGTCTGACTCGGAGATTGAGGCAACCTTGAATACTGCCTGGTTGCGAGACCGGGAGCGAAAAAAGAGCCGCAAGTTGGAACGCGAGGCTCTCCGCGCCAAGGGGTTGTTGGGCAAAAATGTCGACCCCGATGACCTGCGAGTCAAGTATATGTCAGGCATGAAGCTGGACGATATGAAACTTGAGCTGACTTCCTTTCTCCTCGGCTCCGCTGAGCGGTGAGTGTTTCCTGGGTTATTACTGTCTCTGCATCGAACTAACCACATCTCAGTCTCGACTTTCCCCCCCTTGATAAGCATGCGCGGAAGATTCTCCACGAGCTCGCAAATAAGTTCAAGGTCAAGTCACAGTCCATTGGCAAAGGCGACCAACGCCGTCCTGTACTTTATCGGACGAACCGAACCGTCCGGTACACGTCGACTCGAGCTGAAGATGCGACTAGTCATGTTAACCAAGCGGCATCGCACATCCATCGTAAATACTTCCACCGTGTCGACCTCAAGGGTCCCAGGACCGAATTCCCAAGAAACACGGGTGGAGACCGGTCCGGACACAAGGCACTCGCACTCCAGGAGGGAGAAATTGTGGGGGGCTCGGTCCCAGAGCTTGGCCAGGAAAACAAGGGGCGTAACATGTTAGAAAAGATGGGCTGGAGCAAGGGCATGTCGCTGGGCGCGCTGGACAACCAGGGTATACTTGAACCTGTGGCACAAGTCATGAAGCGTTCCAAGGCGGGTCTCGGATAACATGGTTCCCAACCGAACATTACTGTAGACAGCTGTAGCTCATCTAGATAACCTGACATATTTTCCCGCCAAACGATGCTGGAAATCCACCCGGTCCACGCCAGTCATTTCGGCAAGATCCACGACATAGCCAATGCACGGCGTCATGGCTCAGGCTGCGGATAATGCGGTCGCCCACAACGGATTGTGCACTGGATGGTTTGGTCATATGCACGAGTTCATTTCGCCTGAAACCCTGATATCAAGGCATGTATTGTACAACCGCAAACCCCATAACCATGAAAACATTGCCCCCAAAAAGCAGACCATCCGTAACGCGTTGCATTAAGAGACTCCAAGGGGCGTGTGTGCCTTGGCCAGCCTCGTCATGACTCCCAAATGCCAAGCAATCCCTGTGCCCTAAGAGAAAAACGAGAAAACAAAACCCGACCCCGCCGTCTATTTCGTGCTGGACGAGTACTTGGTGACGGCCTTGGTGCCTTCCGACACGGCGTGCTTGGCCAGTTCGCCAGGGAGGATGAGACGGACGGATGTCTGGATCTCGCGCGAGGAGATGGTGGACTTCTTGTTGTAGGCAGCGAGCTTGGAAGCCTCAGTAGCGACACGCTCGAAAATGTCTAATGAACGCATCAGAAAACAGCTCGCGCATGTGACCGAATAGACAAATACTCACCGTTGACGAATGAGTTCAAGATAGACATGGCACGGTTGGAGATACCAGTGTCGGGGTGGACCTGCTTCAGGACTGCAAGGCTGTCAGTGACCGGTCGCGATTGAGTGGAGCGCGCCTGAGTGGATTCGGAATTGCTTCCACCCAGGCAATCGCGTCAGCGCAAAACTCACCCTTGTAGATGTAAGAAGAGTAAGTCTCCTTGCGGGCCTTGGTCCGCTTCTTCTTGTCGCCCGAAGGCGCAGTCTTCTTGCCGGCATCCTTCTTCTCGGGGGCCTTGGAAGCGGTAGCCGGGGCCTTGGAGGCGGGCTTCTTGTCAGCGGCCTTGGGTGCCATTTTGGATGTCTGGGAATTGAATGACGATGAAAAGTATGCGATGCGACTAGAAGTCTTTGATGAATCTGACGATCGTGCTGGCGTGGATGTTGCGAAAGAAAGTTGGTGGATGCGGGAAGAATTGCAGTTGGCGAGGGGGAGTGGGCTTTTTGTAGCTGGACGCGCCTGGCAGGAGTGGCTCTGCTGATTTGGGGGTGACCGCGCGAGAAGTGGGGACCTTCTTGCCGGCGACGTGATTTGGCGAAAAATACACTCCCAGGAACGGCACAAAGAATGAGATGACGCGATGGCCCAAGCGCCACAACACGTCCCAATTTGGCTGCGCTTGTCTCGTAACTACACTAAGTCGGCACCTTCGTAATTGTTTTCGAAAATGCCCGCTCAACTTCCTCAAAATGGCGGTTACCTTTCGAGAATCAGCATGCTCAAACGCGTCCTCGCGTTCCTTTCTCGTCACGCCTCACCACGCCTCTCATCATACACAACAGATGACCCTGACGCTTCAGCCGTTCCCGTATCTCAAACGCGTTGAGCTGAGAGAGGGGGCAGGCTTCCAGGCATAGCGTTCATTCATCTTTAGCGTTGAAGGCTTGTATTGAAATTACCGAGGCCATGGTGTGCCCCGTTGTCCCATAACGCAGAGTTGGTACCACAGATCTTTCCTGTCCCTGGCTTTTGGGCGCGGGAATCTCATCCAAACCTCTGAGGTCTGGTGATATCATTGTCCTCCAGCAACACCACAATGTGGGGTCGAGTCTCGTATTCTAGCCTCGCCAGGTTGTACCGTGTACATACATAGATAAGAATAAACTTTAAATGTCTCTGTTATTCCTGCCTGTATGTTTGCCTTACCTGTCTGTTGGTAAGGTCGTGGCAGGGGAGGCAGGGGAGGGTAAGGGTTTCTGAAGAATCGCAGGGGGTGTCTCCCGCCAGTCAAACTCGGCGCCGAAAGGGTCTCAACACCATCAGCCTTATGATCCCCATGGCGAATCCCCCAGCCTGATTGGCCACCAGGGACTCAAACATGTCTATATCCGCTCCCAAGATCTGGGGAACAGCCACCAAGCACGGTGACGCGTGACAGATGTGGGCAAATAAGCACTGGCATCGGGAAGAGCCGCATGGAAGGGTACCCGATGCGCTTGACGCCCCGCCTTATACTGGTCCCTGAGGACGGAGACCCCAGCCCTGCCTTCCAGAATGGGGTTCATCCCATCTATGAAGCTACATCGAAACCGTGGTTCCAGTACAGACGCCAAGGAGACGTACAAGTACCGAAACTATAACCCAAAGACCCAGAGGAGTTCATGCTTCCCAAACCACACGCAAAGTTACTGGAGCTAAAACTGCTGGCCCTGGCTGCTTAAATCGACCCCCAAATCTCAATGAAACCCTCAAAGATACCGCGAGGACTAAGCCCAATGAAAGGCTGTGGAAGGCTTCCCTCGACACAATTATGCCGAGAGGCGCTGGGAGTGACAAACTGGCGGCAGCCCAGATGTTGACTAGCAACTGTCATGGAGCAAGGATGTGTTCATGGACGGGATTTCTGGCAGCCGAAAGGTTTTCGAGAGGTACCCAGGAGCCAAGTCAGGTTGGGCCACATACGACAAGCTGAGCCAACTCGATCAGAATCCCTCGGTCAGCGAGCGGTCATTGTTGGCCAGAGATGGGCGAAAAGGGATGTTGTGGTGGTGTTGGAATCAGATCGACCATCTGTGTTGTGCATGGCCTAGGCGCGAGACCAGGGAGGGAAATAAACCCGTTTTTTGAAAGAAGGCTGGTAGCATTATTTTCTCGCCCATGAGCCACTCTTTTCGCGTTGGGCGAGGCGGACGCTTTGATTTAAAAGGGTGTCTGGTGGAGCACGCCAGACCCAGCCCGCAGCCGGCCAATCATGCGGGCCCCGCATAACCTGCTCCAATTTTTTTCCATACCGCGAGTAATCGCACCCCGACGCACACAGCCAGTTTGGGACTAGCTCCAACAGCTGCGATCAACAACCTGAGAAAGGCGCGAGTGATCCGTGATCTCGCACCCTGACGCGAAAACTACTTAACTCGCACATCCCCCACCGCAGCTCAACTTCTTCCAACTCCCAATCCACAAACTTCAGCCCTCTCATCAATTACTGCATCTACGCATCGAGACGTTTCTCGCTATCAGCAGATCCAACTTCCACTTTTTTTACACCCCAAAACATCCATCAACATGACTGGCGGCGGCAAATCCGGTGGCAAGGCGAGCGGTTCCAAGAACGCGCAATCGTAAGTGCCCTTCGCATCTGCCCGCGTCTTATCGTGGTTTGGGTCTTTGGAATCCAAACCTGAAGGCTCAACGCGTCAAACCAACAATTTGTGCTAATATTTTGATAGCCGTTCCTCGAAGGCTGGTCTCGCGTTCCCCGTCGGCCGTGTCCACCGTCTCCTCCGCAAGGGAAACTACGCTCAGCGTGTCGGTGCCGGTGCCCCCGTCTACCTGGCCGCTGTCCTCGAGTATCTGGCTGCCGAAATCTTGGAGCTGGCAGGCAACGCCGCTCGCGACAACAAGAAGACCCGTATCATTCCCCGTCACTTGCAACTCGCCATCAGGAACGATGAAGAGTTGAACAAGCTACTCGGACACGTCACCATCGCCCAAGGTGGTGTCCTGCCCAACATTCACCAGAGTATGTCACTCCCTCTTACCTCGCCCGACTGGTTTTTAACACTATTTCAGACCTTCTGCCCAAGAAGACCGGCAAGACTGGCAAGACTTTGTCTCAGGAGCTTTAAATTTTTGTGGCTGTGTTTGCTTTTTTCTTTCTGGTCGGCACGCTGGGTTCATGATATTGGGGTCACGGTCTCGGGTCATCGGTTGTTTTGTTTTTTTTTTTCCCGCGTGTTTGGGCTGTACATTAATCCATGATGGGCATGGTCATGGTTATGAATGAGAATATCCTCTGAACATCCAATGCTGGTTCCAATGCAAGAGTTTTTCGCTATTATTCCGAAGCCACGTCGACGCTCTGAGTTGCGTATCGGGGAAATTCCATGCTTCAATTCAACACAAGCAGGATAGGAAAGCACGGATGAGGTCGTCAAAATCCTCGTCCAAGCACTCGTGGACCAGAAAATGCTTGAATACGCCTAATGTGTTGGAAATCCTATATACAGGCCATCTCCACCTTGAAAGGGTCTCGTTAAAACTTGAGCGGCGGCGGGGCTTTGAAGCATGTCAGACAGTAACGCAGATGATTGGAATGGGGTATAACTCACGATCGAGGTGAGGCGCCGGAAGGTTCCTTTCGTACTTGGATCCTACGCGTTTTTATTAGCTCTGAATAATGTTGGCCCGAAACACAGTCATGGAAATGCGCACCTCCGGGAGCAGTCGGATGGACGTAGGGGTCCGGATGTTTCCACTTCTCCAGCAGCTTCTCCGTCTCCTTTAGTAGTACCTACGCGTTGCCTACGTCAGCCTCCTCTGACTTGGTATTTCTCTTCTCGATGAAATCAGTTGCGTACCCGTTGCAATCTCGGATCGCTAACGTCCCGGTTCTTCTCGAACAGCGAGCGAATGTAGAGAGCCTGGCCACGCCAGAGATGACGTTGTACCGACCAGTCGAGGGCGAGCTTCAAAGAGCGGCGGTAGAGCGACCTAAGTCAGGAGTCAGCAGTGTCCAGCGCTCGAGTTCCTTCTCCATGGGTATGTCGCTCACAGTGCAGCCTGCCTTGATGACATGGTGGGCGGCGTGTTTTCTCCTGTATTGTCCCGCAACCGGCCCTCTTGCAACAAACGAAGGCCCTTCAATAGCCGTGTCGGGTATCAATTGCCACTCCCAAATCAATCCGTGCTGTTCCTGGTCAAAGTGCGGGGACAATACCGGCGATAGCTACCTGGGCTCGTGTCGCGACTTTTCAAGCCCTCGGCGTCGAGCTTAATTGGCGAAGTGGATTGAAAGGAGCTCCCAAAGCGCTTGCTGCCTGAGGACTCAGACCATGCCAAGCCATGCTTGCCCGAACCTGCCTGCAATTGGGGAGCCGGAGCGGATCAAGCATTTTCCATCACGCCGCTCGGGCCTGAAGCCTGAGGCAGCAACTGGGCGCCTTCTCCCTAGGGTCGCTGGGCCGAGTGCGCTCCCGCACCGGCGTTCCGTTCCAGACTGCCGAGCCAGATGCCCTTCCTTGCCTTGGCAGGCCCGGCAAAGGTGCCTGGATCCCTGTGTCCAAGCGGCTGCAGACTGAGGTCACCAGACCAGTGCTGCGATGGCGCCGGCAGCGCCGCTCCCAGCTCCTTGTAACCCTGACACGATTTGAGGCTGGGATCGAATTCCACCAACAAGCTATTTTTTATCCCCTTGGTTCTGTAAACGGCGCATTAAAACACATTATTACCTCTTGTTCCTCTGTTTTTCTTTTGTATTGACGAGATCAATTGTGCTTTGCCTGTTCCTGCTTCCTATCGCCCCATCGTGTTTTTTGGGCGCTTTGCTGGACACAAGCTATCGACGCTACTGGCAGATCCTGAGCCGAAGCCGACCCGTTCCGCCGCAACCTCGAATTCCCGCAACCACTGCGCACAACATTGTTACCTTAGCTATTCAAACACCGCCATCATGCTGTACCGAGGACTCCGGCTTGCGGCCCGTACCGCCCCCAGACTCGCGCTCTCCAACACGAGCTCAGCACTACGCCAACTTCCCGTGCAGTTCCAACATGTGCGGACCTATGCCGACAAGATCGTCAAGGTGCCGACAATGGCCGAGTCGATCAGCGAAGGCACTTTAAAACAGTGGAACAAATCTATTGGCGACTTCGTCGAGCAAGATGAGGAGATTGCGACAATCGAGACCGACAAGGTATGTACGGCTGTGTTCTCTCCAGCAGGTATCCTGAGACTCACATTCCGTGTGATGCTAGATCGATGTTGCTGTCAACGCCCCAGAAGCTGGTGTCATCAAGGAGTACTTTGCAAATGAGGAGGATACCGTCACCGTCGGCCAGGATCTGGCACGCATCGAGCTCGGCGGGGCGCCGTCAGGTGATAAACCAACCGCGACGGAGTCAAAGGAGTCACCCAAAGAGGCCACACCCGAGGCTCAGCCGGAACAAGATAAGGCCCCGGAACCCAAAGCGCAGGAGACGAAGCCAACTGCGCCACCCGTTTCCCCGAAGGAAGAATCTACCACGACGAAACAGCCGAGCAAACCCGCAAAGGCAGCCACCGAGGGCCCCGCCACGCTGGGCAGCCGGGATGAAAGGAGGGTAGGTTGCAAACGCGTTCGCACGTCATAGGCAGCGAGCTGACAGGCTTTGTAGGTCAAGATGAACCGGATGCGCCTCCGCATCGCGGAGCGCCTCAAGCAGTCCCAGAACACAGCGGCGTCGCTGACTACCTTCAACGAAGTCGACATGTCGGCGCTAATGGAGTTCCGCAGCAAGTACAAGGATGAAGTCCTGAAGAAAACGGGCGTGAAGCTGGGTTTCATGAGCGCTTTCTCCCGTGCTTGCGTGCTCGCCATGCGCGATATCCCGGTCGTCAACGCGTCGATTGAGGGTCCCAACGGTGGCGACACCATTGTCTACAGGGACTACGTTGACATCAGCGTTGCCGTCGCAACCGAGAAGGGTCTTGTCACGCCAGTTGTGCGTAATGTCGAGTCTCTAGACCTGATTGACATCGAGAAGTCCATCGCCGACATGGGCAAAAAGGTATGTCACCACATCTCCCCCGCCCCCCCTCGTGCGATACGCCCTCTAATCATGGGGCAACAGGCTCGTGACGGCAAGCTCACGATTGAGGACATGGCTGGCGGCACTTTTACCATCAGCAACGGGGGTGTATTCGGCTCTCTGCTAGGAACCCCCATTATCAACCTTCCCCAAAGCGCCGTCCTCGGTCTTCACGCCATCAAAGACCGCGCTGTCGCTATCAATGGCAAGGCGGAAGTGCGGCCCATGATGTACATTGCACTCACGTATGACCACCGCCTGCTAGATGGCAGAGAGGCCACCCAGTTCCTGGTCAAAATCAAGGAGTACATTGAAGACCCCCGCAAGATGCTTCTTTAAGCATCGGCAAAGGTCGAGGCGGCATATTCAGGGGTAAGAAGATTGACCGCCATGGCGGAGAAGAGTGATGACACTGTATAATACAAAATTACTGAGGGTTCCTCCCCTGGTACACTGCATCTTTTGGGAGGCGTTTTCCGTTTAGAGATGAGCATGTTTGTTTGTCCTTCGTGGCACGCATTGGTGATGTGCGTGGTACATGTGCTACTGCAAGCCTCGCGTTTCTCCGCCTATTGGAGGCCTAGTGTAGTGCGAATCCATTTATTACCATAACCTGGATCAATTTAACCCTACATTTTGTCCTCGCTTGCCACCAACGGCTTCACCAGTAGAAAATAGGGCCCATGCTATTCTATCTTGCCGCTATCGGGTTTGTCGAGTCTAGTCCTAAACCTACCTCTACGCCTGGTTGTCGTATGACATAACGCATCGCTAAGTGGTAGGCACACGTCTAACACGGTTATTAGCTAGCGTAGGAGGCGAAATTTGCCTATTCACGAAAGTTTGTATACCTACTTCGAAATCACCATTTCAATCACTTGCGGGTTATGAAACCCGGGGGGGGGCGCCAATCCGCCGAGGTATGTACATGGGATGGGTCACAGGTGCAGTCGTCGTCCCCAGGCCATCATCTAGTGAGACATCGCTCCGGCCTAGAGGCATCAGGTTCCTAACACAACTCGGATGAATTCAATATTGAATAGAAGGGCACAAGGCTACAGCGCCAGTTCTAGGTAGTCTATTTGTTGGCTCTAAACTTCAGAAGTATAGCGGTGCAGATTATGACATCATGAACACAATTTTAATCAAAATAAAAACAAATATACCGTATATTTCAATCAAATTGTATCGTCATCCCTCTTGTCAACTCCGATGAGAACCAGTGTGGAAGTAGAATAAACGTGGCAACACCGAGCAGCTTACCTAGGTACCTATTTCATCCATACCCAGATCCACCCCAAGAAAATAAACACGTTCTCTCGTGTAAAGCCAGCATCTGGGAATTCGAGCCTGCCCTTGCGCTTTGGACTGGTTGCCTGCACAGTGTTACTTAGGTCTCCGGACTTGTCAGTCCACCAGTCTGACAACCTCAGGCCGTGTTTCCGGAGATTGTATCCCAAAATTAGAACTAGAAATGTCGGTAACTGCAGAGGTGATACTTGTTTAGTCTGGGTGGGGTACCGTATGCTGAGGACATAGGGGTAGGTGAGGCCTGGGACTTACACTGATGTATGCCGATACAAATTTCCGAACGTTGAACGGGTCGAGGAAGGCGCTTACGCCATTGAATAAGATCAGGATGATGCAGGCCGCCATGCCATAGCAGCCTTTCAGCCACTGCCCATGGGACTTATATGGATAAAGAGGGTGGTCGCGGTCATAACTGGCGGCTTGCGACTCGGACGTGTTTCCGTACAGCTTGGCGTCCTCGAGTCTTTTAAACAATTGATCAGATATCCCGCTTTGCTATAGACGTCATGCGAAGAGTATCTTACGTCCGGAAGAAGTATAGGTAGGTCGCACATATGGTGGCATAAACAACGAGGCATGACACCGTGGAGTTATTCGCCAGCTCATCAAGACGCTGTTCCCATGAGTTAGCCATGATTTACCCCGTAAAATGCAATAAACAATATCACTTACTGCGCCAAGGGCGCCGGAACGTCCCATGTAAGCTACCATCATCAAGGCGCCAGTAACCAGGACAGCCCTGACAGGTACTCCAGACCTACATGCCCGCAGACGCCTTGTGATGAATTCCGGCCCGGTTTGTCCGCGTAGCGCGAGTGTGTGCAAAACCCTGGTGGCGATATACATTGAGTTGATGGCGCAGGTAAAGGCCGAGAAACAAAAGACAGCGTTGAAAAGGTGAGCAGCTTTTGGCATACCCGCCTCGACGACTGCAATAATAAAAACGGAGCGGGCGCTCACAGACGATGCTTTGCCGTTGATAAACGGATGGTCCATCGGTACAACAAATGAAGCTGTCAGCATCGCGAGGGAATAGAGCGTTATGACGCGCAGGTTAACCTTTCGAGCCGCCATTTTCATACTTTCCACATCGGCTAGAGCCCGGCTTTCTGCGGCGGTGGCTGCAACAATGTCCATTCCAATATAGGAGAACAAAACGTTCGTGAATGTTGTCCTGTAAATCGATAAGGGGACGCTGGTAAGCAGGGACGGATAAACGGAGACACGCGACCGGACTCACCAAACACCAAGCAGGGTCCCAAGGGAGCCCGTGATAATATGGGTGGTCTTCAAGTCTCCGTCTTTGGCGGCATAGGCCGGGTTGAAGAATGAATATGGGTCGTTCCAATCTTAGCAGCAATTAGTGATCGCACGCACATATCGACATCGGCGGTCACATACAACGTGTGCCTGGTGGCTCGGTGTAATACGCATCTTCCCGGGCTGCTCAGGGGTTCCATTAGCGCACCGCTCTGGTACACAAGAAACAGTGGTACTGACGTTGAACAATCGACAAGAAGAACATCAACTGATGTCCCCAGTTATGTTAGAATATACTCGTGATGATTCCCACGTCTGGCAGTGCCTGTGAGGGGCAATTAAATGGCAACAATGAGCATGGTGATGAACATAAGTTTGCTTCTCTACGAAATATACTCGAGCTCTCCAAACACCTCCAAGAGGTCATGG